AGCGCGTCCTACGTCGGTCATTCACTCATCCACTCGCCAAAATTGCCAACACCAACGATCCTCGACACAGTTGTTATTGTTTTCTTTCTCCCAGACAGCAGATAGGTGGGTCTTCTATCCAATCTAATGTTTGCTGCTGTCAATATCTAACCACTTTCTCTTTCTTCTGATGCAGGCTCGACACAACGAGATCCAGGAGAGACCATCTCGTGCTCCCTGATATCAACACGAAAGCTTGGGTTGTCCGGCAATGGACGAGTTTACAGCTCATCAGACCACCCGAAAGCCGTTCGCAGATGCCAGCAGCAGACTAAATGCCAAGTCCTCTAACTGGGAATACGATGGAGGGTCCGAAGGAGATTACTTGAAATCGGATCCCATGTCAATCGTGACAAGCCAAATATCACCAAGGGGTAATGATTACAGCGACTACCTACCATCGACTCCCTGTCCGCAGGCGCCTTCTAAGCGAGTCTCCGCCGTGTCGGCAGCATCTACAGTCCTGTCAGGTAGAGGGAAGAGGAAGACACATGTGGGACCATGGCACTTGGGAAGAACGCTGGGAGAGGGTGCTACGGGGCGCGTGAGGTTAGCCAAGCATGCTATTACGGGGCAAGAAGCTGCCGTTAAGATCGTCTCCAAAAAGTCTGCCAGGATGGTTCAAAGCGAGAGTATTGCCGCCATGGACCGTCGTGCAAGCAACTTCGCTGGAAACACAGCGCGACCAATGCCCTGTGGTATTGAGCGGGAAGTGGTTATCATGAAACTAATCGAGCATCCCAATGTTATCAGTCTGTACGATATCTGGGAGAACCGAGGAGAGCTGTACGTGTGAAGCAGGAACAACCAGATTTGTGATTGTTCACAGGCTAACGTGGTGCTAGGTATCTTGTTCTTGAGTACGTCGAGGGTGGTGATCTGTTTAGTTATGTCTTTAAGAAAGGCGCTCTGCCAGAGGAGGAAGCAGTACGACTATTCCGCCAGGTCATCGCCGGTCTTGGCTTCTGCCATCGATTCAATATCTGCCATCGAGATCTCAAGCCAGAGAACATTTTGCTGGACTCATGGCAGAACATCAAGCTTGCAGACTTTGGAATGGCGGCACTGCAACCGACTGGTCACTGGCTAAAAACATCATGCGGAAGCCCTCATTATGCCGCCCCGGAAATCACATACGGGAACCCCTACCGTGGTGATCAAGCAGATATCTGGAGTTGTGGTATCATTCTTTTCGCCTTGCTAACGGGATACCTGCCATTCGAAGGGCATGACGTTCCCAGTACACTTAAAAAGGTGCGACTGGGCAAGTACAGAATCCCCGACGAGGTCAGCTATGAAGCTGCAGATTTGATACAGCGGATTTTGTTGCCCAGGCCAGAGCACCGCCTTACAGTACAAGAAATATTCAACCACCCGCTGCTGAAGAAGTACGAGAAGCTACATCAAGCCATGTCTAAGCACCACGTCGGGCCGCCACCACCCCTATCTGTTTACGAGTGTGGTGACCCAGTTGGTAGTGCCCAAGAGATTGACATGGAAATTCTTCAGAACCTCCAGACTTTGTGGCACGGGGCAAAGCCACAGGCCCTGGTGAACAGAATCCTGTGTCTGGAGCCAACGCAGGAGCGCATGTTCTACAATGCGCTTGTGAGGTTCCGAGATGAGCAGCTGGAGAACTTTCAGGGACAGCCACTGGAGTATTCAGCCAGTGACTATCATCATATTTCACGACGGCCAATGCGGGCGAGGAGCAAGCGATCCCCGAGCGCTCGTAGCCAACATGGATCTCTGAGACGACAACAGTTTTCGGTCAAGAAGCAGGGTCAGCGTCGTGCCGGTTCGATCAAGGAGCCCATGTCATCCGCCAGCTACGACCCGTTCCGTTCGCCATGCAATGTTCGGATACCGGAAGCGGAGTATGCGCATGTCACGATTCATCGCGATTCATCGGCCGCTACTATCAGAACAGCTGCTGGGGATGTTGAGAGGCCGGCAAACCCTATTCCTGACGACGACTTGGACGAAGACAGCGACTGCTCGCCAAGCTCACCATTTGCAGTAGTGCGCAACAAGAAGCCCAGGGGCAGTTCGATGAAGACCTCACATTCTCGGACGTCACAAACGAGCTCCCGTCGAGGAACGGCACATGCAAACACACCGCGCTCGGCCAGTTACCGCCGTAACGTTTCTTTCCACCACATCCGGCATCGATCCCAAGGGTCAGCTTCTGGAAAAGCAAAGCACACGCCGTCGAAGCAGGTGAGCCCTAGAAAGCAGATGAGCCACAGCAGCCTCGACATACCGAATGATGCTTTCTCGGACCGTCACGGCAGTCCTGCCTTACCAGCTCAACCAACTGTTGTCCGTGGTCCCGGCGTAGCAGTTCGAAGCTGCCCACAGCCGAAGAAGCTTCGCGAAACCGACTTTATCTGGAAGGACGAGACGCGCCAGATTTCTCAAGAGCTGAGCAAGATATGTGAAGATGCATTCAACGGCAGCTCTATGTCTACCGGATGCACGACTAGCGTTTGCGGTGACACCGAAACACCTCCTACGTCCGTATCCATCGCCAGCCTCGAGAACTCACAGCACCAAATCACAGCCAACAGGACCAAGGGAAGAGTATTGCCCGATACGCCTAATTCATCACCTTCCCGGGGCGCTCAGGATCTTGCTGAGACCCGTCGCTGGCTGATCAAGCAGTCGAGACAGGAGCCTTCAGACACACTCCCTACTTATTTGTCGGGTGTGATCAATCAGCTGGATCGTCTGATTGAACAGGATGCTGCGGCTAAGAAAATCAACAGACAGCAAAACCTGAACGAGTCCACGTCTTGGACAAATGATCCGCTCGTGAGCTCTTCCACCGAACCAGGACATCTGCCCATTATTTCGGAGGAAATGAACAGTCCCGCCGACAACCAAAACCAGCTGCCCGCCAGCCAAGGTGAAGAGCTGAAGGAACCGCTTGGCACTGGCATTCATGGTACGAGTATCAAGCGCGAGCCCAAGACAACAATCCGCATGGTGCCGTACGACTCGATGCGCTCCCTCGCAGAGGTCAAGCCCTTGAACATTCGCAAGAAGGGCAAAGAGCCTGAAGAATCGACAAGCGACGACACATATCGACCTATGCGCTACGCTTCTGCGCCAACCTGGTCAAGTCGAAACGTCTCTGGACTGGATCCTATCGAGGAGCACCCCGGATCTCAGGCATGCGGTGATGGTAAACCCCAGGAGAACAAGAAGTGGTCCTGGTTCAGACATAGGTCCCATGGATCTAGGGAGAACATGGCAAAATTCGTCAAGGATAGGCCCATCCAGCCCAGTGCCGAGACGGTTATCGTTCACGATGTCAAGCAGCCGGAGGAGCGACCTCCTACAAGTCGCAAATCATCGGCTGAGTCGATAGGAGGACTTTTCAAGAAACTTATCAAACGAAAGCCGAGTAAGACAGCTCTTAATGAACCTGGCCAAGGTGAGTTTATCCACCATCACCACCCTATCTTTATCTAATCATCTCCAGAACCAGAACAACAAGGTCCCAAACCAACCGTAACAATAACAGAAACCCCCCCATCCCCAACAAATACCAAGAACAAAAACAAGCAAAAGCCCCTCCCCCGGCGCCCCCGCGGCAGCATCACCAACAAAAGCACAAACTGGTTCGCCCGCGTCTTCCAAATCAAACCCGCCACCCGCGTAATGGCCCTAAACACAACCAAATTCCACGGCCGCAAAGAAGTCTTCCGCATCCTCCGCGAATGGAAACAATACGGCCTCGAAGACGTCTACCTCGACAAAACCAACAGCGTGATCCACGGCCGCGTGGACGAAGTGAATTTCCTACGTCTACGACCTGTTGAGTTCTCTGCGGAGTTTTACACGGTGCTTGAACATAAGCGCGAGGCAAATTTGAGTGTTGTTAGGTTTCGGCAGGTGAGGGGGGCTGCGTCGTCGCTTGGGAAGGTTGTTGATAGTTTGGGTGTTGCTATGGGACAGCGGGAGTTGCTTGTGCAGGATCCGGGGAAGGCGAAGAAGATGGCGAGTGTTTTTGATAATTTTGCGGATTAGATGTTTTGGTTTGGACGTGACCTCCCTTGGGTTTGAAGCACTCGTTCTGCGCACTTTCTTGGCCACCCCTTGGTCACAAACATCCAACTTCGACATTCCTTGCATTTTCTTTCTGGTTCTCGTTGCATAAATCTTTTCCTACCTATCCTTCTGCATACGCTTCACTGTCAGAGTCACTCATTTTGATCACATTGTCATTCTCCTTGCACTGGTATTCGACATGCCTTGGTTTGTATCTTCTTACTCTCGTTTATACTGCATTCGTCCTATTTATCAGGATTTCCATTTCTTTTGTGGCTACCTACTGTTTGGGTTGATTTTAATTTTACTTTTACATTCTGTCGTTCATTTCTTTTGTTGTACCATGTCGCATTTGAAAGATGTACTTGATTTGATTTGATTTGATTACTTGAATTATTTGACCCGATTCATTGATTGGTTTCTCGTTGGTTCGTTGATTGATTGATTGAGTACATCATGCACAAACTGGAGACTCGGCGTTCTACCTAGTTCAGAAAAGGAAAGAAAAGAAGAAACAAAAAAAAAAAAAAAAAAAAGAGGAGGCCAGGATTAGATAGTTGTCAGAGTATAGCAAATATCAATTACTTTATTTCACTTCACATGGTTCCCCAAACTACCATCCCAACCCCGGTACGTAAGTGCCTGCTTACTCCGTACGTAGTACGGAGTGGCCAAACAACAGGGGGGTATGTTAGGGCAAAGACAAAGCCTTATCACGTGCCCAGCCTGCATTGTACTTTTGCCATACTACTACTGTACTACATACATACTTGTACTTCTTGAAAGACAGGGGAATGAATCCTGCTAATCACCTGACCGAACTGTCATGTAATGCTCGTTGCAATTCAAATTCAAGGCTAAAAAAGAGACAGCCAACCAAAAACCTCGTAAACTCACACGACTTGGAAAACACATCAAATCAAGTAAAAGTAACTTGGCGAATGCAATGCGAAAAACAGTAAAAGAAATAGAAAGCATCAACGATGTAAAATCAGAACACAACAGATAGATAATTAATCAGACAGCCTCCCAGGTTTGATATCAAGTACGTGGAAAACAATAAAAACATGGACACCGCGCGTAAATCAGAAAGAGATAGAAGGAAATGGTAAAAGAAATGAGACGACCTCCTTTTCTTCGCAGATGATAAATGGAAAAAGAATACGACGAGAAACCTCCGGTCAACGAACCCAGCATGTAGACATCAGCATGAATGCGACAGATGACAAAAAAAAGAAAAAAAAAAAAAAAAAAAAAAACGACAGATAACCACCCGAGATATAAGAACACTGTGCAGGAAAAACAATAAAACTAAACCACCGACGCGAAAGAAAGATGACCATCACCAATCCGGTCTGCAAATGAAAATGCAGCAGAAATCCACACCATATTTTCGTTTCTCGACTGCCGATGCGAATAAAAGACAGCAAGCATAAAGCGTTGAACCACCCTGATCTAGAATCGAGACTCGTCATTTGATCCATAGAGCGCGTAGAATACTCTCGTGCCGTTTGAATAAACTGGCAGTCAAGAAACCGCCGTTCCGGTCAGATCATACTTGATCTGACAATGCCCATGACAACACCGCAAGAGAATAGAAATTCAACCTCAAAAAAATGCCCCAATAACAACGATGAACGAAGAAAATAAGAGTAAGGAAATCGCATTAGTGGGTCGCCCCGGATAGTTTATGACGCAGTGATGATGGATTGGGGGTAAAGGAGTAAGTGATATATGGCGTGATGAATTCCGTGTTCAGATCATGCAGCTCATGACGCTTATGCTTCTCATTCCCATGGTCTCGTAGTCGAATAACATGGCATAATGCCGTCGTGTTTTTTTTTTTTTTTTTTTTTTTTTTCTTCTTCTGTGCCCTCCGGTGCACGTAAAGTCGATAAGATCATCCTCATCCCGATTCGTGTCGTGGGTCACATTCTGTCGCATTAAGATTGTCCCAGGCCGGGGCTGGCAGACTAAAAATTGGAAAATCCAATTTAAGTCGCACGAATTTACCACGAGGAAGCAATGTCTGTAAAAGTAATCGGACCCGCATATTCTGGCGAGACAGAAAGGCTGTGCGACCAGCACACAATCCTCCCACATGGACGATTCGACAACCCCTATTCCCACACTCGGTCATCCTCCGCATCGCAAAAGTATAACGACCTATTGGCTTAAGCCACGGCGGTTGAGAGCATTGAGCATGTCGCTGTCCGTGCTGGATCGGCCGGGGTTGTCATTGGGATTAAGCATATCACGAACGTTCAGGCCACCACCCCGCGACGAGGTCGGCGTGGAAGTAGGTGGAGGCGTCATAGCGCCCTGAGGGGGATGCATTGGCGGGTAAGGAGAGGTGTGCGGCGAGGAGGAGTGGCGGCTATCGTAGGGATATGCGGACTGCGGTGAGGGGCGTCGGTCATGCGGTGGTGGTGGTGGTGGTGGCGGATAGTAGGGACTCGGGGCCGTGTGCGTCTGATATCCAGGGGTGGAGGTCGCCGGAGTGACAGGGGCCAGGTTGGTAGGATCCGGATATTCAAAGCCCGATGCAGAGCCACGTCGACCCGGTCGCTAGAAAAACAGATCGCATGAGCATTACCTCAGAGAAACAGAGAAACTTTCGCATCCTGTGCAACTTACCTGGTCTGGAGGCATGGACGACGCAAGGGGCGCCGGAGCTGCAGCATAAGGTTGATGATACATTCCCTGTGGCGGTGGGAGATCAGTGCCCGGCTGTTGCTGTGGTGGTAGGGGTTGACCATGAGCACCGTAGAGCATCACACCACCAGGACGCCCCTGGCTCTGCGTATTTCGCAGGTGAGGGTAGGCGGCATGGGCCGGGACGAAGGCTTGCGCTTGAGAAGAGACGGGTGTGAACATGCACTCCTGGTTGAAGCGGATACAGTTGCTGCAGCGGCCATCTTGCGAGCTCTCAAATCCAGAGCAACGAATCTATCAATCCCATGTCAGCGCGATGCGAACGAGTACACAGTGTAACCAATCCCCACGTACCTTCCGTCTCCGACAGTAGCGACAGGCGATAGCTGTACGCTGGCGGGGGGCAGCAGCTTGGTAGACGACTTGAGGCGGAGGCGGAGGGGCTTGCTGAGCGTAGACATCGGGACGGTAGGCACCCGGAGGAGGCAAATGATATGGGTCCTGAGGACCTTGGATATGGGGATAAGTGGCAGCCATACTGGTCGGTGGAGGGTACTGGCCAGGCGGAGGTGGAGGATATTGGTGGTCTGCGGTAGGATGATATGAAGCCGGGGGGTACTATAGAATTGGAAAGCCACAATTAGCCATTGTCACAGATCAGTGGAGTATATAGCAGCGCAACTCACAGAATACTGCGAAACCGGGGGGTAGTGGTGAGCAGCGGCAGCGGCAGCAGCAGCAGCAGCGGGATGGTCTTCTGGTTGAGACCACTGCGGTGGAGGATATTGGCCCTGACGATGAGGGTCGACGTAATCGTGGGGGTTGCTAGACATTGGGGGAGGACGATGCGCGCGAGACCGGCTTTATAGGAAATGAAAAGTAATAGTCGTAATAGTCGTCGGAAAGACGGGACGAAGAGGGACGGAACGGACGGAGCCAGGCAATCAATCAATCACACACGAAACGCACGATGCAGGTTGAATGCGAGTCAAGTCGTTTTTTCTTTTTTTTTTTTTTTCGTTTTTCTGTGTATTTTTTGGGGTAAAAGGGAGAAGGGCAAACAGAAGGAGAACAATGGAAGTACGCGAAACACGGGACGGGCGTATGTAATAACAAGCGCAAATAAGAATAATATAGAAAACGGTATAGTATAGTAGTAGAGGAGAACGAGGTCACAAAGACCGAGAATAATGCACCAAGTCAGAAACAGAAAGCAGCTCCCGGCGGGTGATTTGCAAAGCTAGCATAGCCTCGTGGTCAGTTTAGGCGATTGCGGGAGGGGGAATTGACAGGGAGTCTAACAATTGCAGATAGATAGACGATGTTGGACAAAGAGGATAGGGTAGGATTAGGAGAGAAGAGAAAAAAAGGAAAGAAAGAGAAGAAGGAAAGGAAACGAAAGGACACGGGTTCGACTGGGGCTCAGATAGCAAGACAAGATAGGGTAACCGCAAGTGGACCAAGGAAAAAATAAAAAATAAAATAAAAAAGGGGAGAAAATGAACAGAAAAAAAGAAGAAAGAGAAAAAAGAAACGAACAGAGACAAACACATAAAAAATTTAAAAAAATATTCAAAAAAATTATGACGTGAGCGAGGGACTAGTTGGAGTGGCCGTCACTGATAGTCCTGGAGCCGCGAACAAGCGGTATGGTGGTATTGCAAATACAGTTACCTGACGTTACGGTACGAGTATTTAATGGAGAAAACACCGAGGTACTTCCTTTATTTCTGTATTGATCATCTCAGGCGGAATATTCTATAGATACCGGACCGTCCGAGAAACGGCGGGCAAGCGCGTCAAGCGTGGATCACATATGTACTCTACAGAGTACCCCGTATAGTCGTATAGTATACTTACATGGTGCATGATAGTCGATCTCGAAATATTATAACGCTCTGTACTCTTAAATATACAATACTCATGTCATGCACAAGTACCGTCATAAAATACGGCGTACTTATTGCAGAATCCCATAGACGTGGACGGGGTCCTCTGAAGACGCAACTAAAGGCCGCCTGGTTCCATGCGGATCAGCTGAATGCTCTCGGGTTGGGCGCCGTTTGGCAGTAAGGCAGGGGTCTGTCGGGCCAATCAGCAATCACGCACGGGTCCGAATATATACAGCCTGCACTCCACTCGACCGTTGAGCGTTGTGATTCGTCAGTGGGGCCCGAGCAGACGCATGCTAAAGGGGAGGGCCGCAGCCGCAGGATCCAATCGACGGGCGGGAAAATGCGGACGGGTAAAGGCGCATGGGGCATTACGTATATGTACTGTACTTGTATGTTACTGTACAGATGCAGAGAATAATCTATACTATTTATCCTATATGTTCTCTATTCAATATGGGGAGCATGGCTATATAGACTAGACCAGAAAGAAGCGCATGGCTGGCTGCCCACATGCACGTCTCCGAAAGCGGTAACTAAGCACCCTGCATGCATATGACCGGGCGCGCTTAGAAACCACGCTGATTGTTCAAAAACCCACTTTCCACTGGGTCTACGGTAATGCCCGAAATCCTTCACCAGAACAGGGGGGAAGACGGGCCGTGGATGGTCAAAGTCTGTTAGCACTCGTAGTACAGAGTAGTATTCACGTCTCTTTATAGGTAAAGTGACGGTAATTGATTGAAGTTCAACATCAATCAAAATTGTAGTATCCCATTCCTTCGATGATTTCATCTCGACTCTTTGTCCCGAGTACCGAGTCGCAGTCGCATACTAAACGACCCATCTCAAAGGCCCGGGACACGCTAGCATAAACAGAACCAAGGATTGCTTACCTCTGGCTCCAATTCACTTGATGATGCCTAGTGTCCGGTCGGTGTACAGTCCCTTCCCCCTTCTCCCTTCATGCTCGTGTGGCCTACACAACCCTCGTGTTATTAACTTTGCACAGTTATGAATGGATGATTTGGAATAGAAGAACCCTATTTGCATCTCGCCCTTGCATCCGGAGATCATATCAGGACGGCCCAGCCCGTCAGCAAGGACCATCGGAATGTTCAAGGATACTGTACATAGTACTTGCTTGTACAGGTACAGTTTAGTACCTAGATCAATCTCTCCTTACAGGCAATGATTATCCCTAATAACCCATCACATCCTAGATTCTTGCACTGGAATGAAAACTCATCAATAGAAAGACAGCAGAACAGTCTACTTGAGAATTACAAATATCGTACTGTAATGTACATTTTAGGTACCAGTACATACATACCCTGTAAATAACAAGCCCACTTCTTAAGCGACAGCCGCGGCCCAACACCTCGGCCAGCCCCGACGCATCTCAATCGCGGGGGCTAATTGGTCCGGAAATCTGACCGCCCAAACCGTATCTCTATCAGAGTACATACATTAACGTGCTTACAGTTGATATAATTGTACATTTGGATAATATAATGCGGGTCAATAACTATTATATTCCGTCCTGAACAGTCTAGATCGGTGGAGGTTCGGTTCCGACGGTCCTTCTCGGAAAGCCCGAACCATGGAACAGGGAAATTGGGGACGGCGGATTTGCCCTCTCAGAATCCTTTACCCCGTAGCATGGATCGCACGCGGGAGAACTCGAAGGGAATACGCCCGTGGATCCCGAATAATGAACCAGATCGGGAAGGTATCAAGGTCTACCTGAACAGTAGCGGTGAACATAAACCTGGTTCTTGGGACGGGCGTTTCTATGAAGTAAGCGGGAAAGGGAAGGGAAAAAAAAGAAAGAAAAAAGTTCTCGAATAATGAATATCACTGCAGGATTCCACCATTCATCATCACTCCACGGGTGGAAGATTAACCTAAAACAAAGAAAGAACGGACATTCCCAGCTGAGTCCCTACACAGCCACAGTTTACGCCATGGCACGGTATGCACTCTGTATGGCTGGTACATTGTCCATTTTGCCACCGGTAGTTCGGCAAGTTTCGAAGTCGAACATCATAGACTACTCAGGAACGGGCGAATATTAATTTCTGTGAAGCGCGAATGGCAACAATTATAATAATGAGATGGATAATAATATGGCCACCATGCAGGGATCCATAAACGGAAAAGACATCGAAGGGCGTTTCACGTCGTACCAATCAGATTGCATAAGTGCCCTTTTCTGTACATGCACCTTTTATACATATCAACCAAACAAAAAGAAAAGAAAAAAGAAAATTGGAGTGGAGGACACTAACTTTCCAGTGCTACAGCCCTGGGCCGCATTCTAACATCCTGATTGGCCCGATCGGTTGGCATTTCCAGGTAACTTGCATTAGCGTGCCCTGCGGAATACGTCATTACAACGGTATCTTTACTGTCAGGTGATGGGTCATGTGATATGTGATATGCCCCGACATGAACCCCGCCTGGTAAGACAAACCAGTCAACTATAACAACGTGTGTTATACCCCCGTTCAGGTGTCAGTCCTCGTGCCATGCACGTGTGATAATACACCGATGCAGGTGGTCTGGTACAACGAATACAGTGTTGTTTTTTCGGGGGTAGTATTCGTTATCCGTCATCCGTCATCTAAACCAGGATGTACTACTCGCTCTACAGGGTATGTACATGCTCGGTTTTTTTTCGAGTGTACGGGCCGCCCCGATTCCGCGATCTAATGCATGAATATGTAGAGGGTATGTAGGAGGGAGTCTAGAGCACGAAGTTGGCAATATCCCTGTCCAAGAACCCTGTCTGGTGGTCTTGTACAGGTATACGTACTTCGTTGCTACTGTTGACTCCGAGTAATTCTGATGATACCTCACCTAGTCAGTGAATGCAACCTGAACTCGTAAGTATTATGTTTCACAGTGGACACACTCGAGTACAGAATAATATCATTTTGATATACTCTTGGAGTACGAGATTGTATACCTCTGATACAGAGTATGAAATACAGTACCGTATTTGAAAATGAGAATACAGCAATACAATACCGTATAGTATAATTTAAATTCGCCACGTTTTCCTACCCAGTCGGCGCGGTGCATTGCCGTCCGCGTCTTCCGTTGCCGCCGACCCACCGTGTGGATACCGGACGTTCACAGTGTACAAGAGCTTGCCATTGAATGTCAGCTGAAAGGAAACGATTTCAGCTCTACACCTATGACTCACAGCACTAAAAATATAGTCAATGATACTAATGACTAGTTCATATACAAGGACAGCATATCTCTGTAGGAGCACGGAGTACGGAATACACACTAAAAAAACTACCATGCATAATCGCACCCTGAACCATGGTTCACACTGGACTCGCAAAAAAGCAAAAAGGTCTCTTTTGCTCCAATTAGACGCCGCAAACCCTAACTTTCCGTACGGCGGTCCGTAACCTCCCGGCCCGCACCCTTCTCGGCAGCCCGCAGGCCTGTTCGGTCATGTGATCCCCCACTTTTGTACAGTAATCTGTTGGAATGATACTACCTCTACGCCAAGGGCTCAATCTAGAATCTATGTCGCATCGAGTACATAATAACAACTCCTTAATAAACCGAAGTACTACTACATCCCTTTCAGCTTTGTGTTTTGGCTTTGTCTTTGTACGTACAGAAAATGAAAGTGTCCGTGCTCCGCCGAATACACTAACATCACCACTAACTCTACTCCGTACAAGCGCGCCTATTGTTGACGTGGCGAAGATCCCATCCACTATTCTCACTGGTATTTCCCCTCAAAGAGACCTGCCCATTCATTTGCTACTGACTTGACCCCTCCGAGAAAAAGAAATATCTGTCAGTCTCGAGTCATGGTCATACTTGCTTGCTTACATGCGGTGTGATGACACCGCGTCTACCGGCCTATCACCCGACATGTTTTCTTATTCTTTTTGTTTCCGGATTTGGAGGTGGTGTGCATGAGCAATTAGAATTGGACCTCGGATGGTCTTTCACTTGGTGATTCGGGCTGGGCGGGTGTCACGAGGGTTCGTTCCATGTGAAAGGATGAAAGAACAATGAGACAAAGAACCGGTTACTTTCAGCAGCAAACATTTTCATCGATATTCAATTAGATTAACTAACAAATCATACGACCGAAGTACTCCGTACTCCAACATACAAAGTCCGCGGCAGCAGATCAACACGATCTACCAATCCCAAATGATGCATACTAATCCCAATCCCACTCGCCCAAGCCACGGACAAAACCCCGACTGTCCAATATCAGCGCCAGATTTAGCAATCCATAGTATGTCATGTACTATCTCCGGAATATGATGCATCACTTTTCATTTCTTCATTTCCTGGATCGGCTTCGAACGAACCGGTTCGTCTCTCTTTGTTCTCCGGATGGAGTAACGATCCTCATAATATGCGCGCGGGTTTGGCGCCCGCGAATAAAGGAGTCATGGGGAGTTTTTTTTGCGGATTCTATATTTAAAATTGATAGTTGATCTGTCTATTCGATCTTAGGGCAATCGGTAGATTGACTGAAACAAGCGCGAGAGTTTATTTTGTACGTCGTGTTTCTATGTAGGAGTATGTAGTGGTAGATATTCGAATTGAGTCTTTTGGCAGACTTTTTACAAATACTGATTACTGCCAATACGAAGCGATAATAGGGCTAAACTTGTATGTTGGTACTTTGTATAGCGCATATGCTACGATGTCACATGAGAAAGACAAAAGGCATGCAAATACACAATACACCATCATATTCAGCCCAATTTCCATCATCTACCAGTTAGATTTACTTTCTTAGACAAAATTAGAAGCAAACATACGTCCAATGCCTCGAGACCATAATAGATCCGGATAGTACTCCGTACCAACCAGACTACGGAACCTTCCGATCTCTGGTTCCAAATCCCAACCAGGTAATCTTTGCGCTGTTAAATCTAGTTAATACGATAATTAGTGACATATCCCGCATCCATCCCGAATATTGGTTAAATGAGACGAGTCAATCTCTGTTAATCACCGGGCTGTACGAAGTACGAGTAGTACACTAGTACGATCCAACATGCAATGCAGGAGAGTATCGTACCCCGTAAGCACAATACAAACGCAAAATCTATTCGTACTGTACACATCATGGCCAGTAACAATGGTATCATGAGGCTCAGGCTCACCTCGTATCGACAACGTCCACGGACGCATTCCCGATTAGGACATTGACCGAATCATAGGCGCGTCTAAGTGGAAACTTTGGCCAAGGTTAGACCAAGATCAGACGCCATAGGTCTTGCGAGCACACAGTGTCCAGGGTAGGAGTCTGTACTGTACTCTGTACAAGTACAGAGTTTGCTGGGCCGGAATGAACAACTGGCCTAATGCACGAAGAGAAAACGACTCCTCCACTCCCTCGTCAAGATTGCCCACAACTAAATCGTGTATCGTGCGCGGGGGTGCGTCTGTATTCCGGTCTGCAAAAAAAGAGTTTTCTGGTTTTTCGTTCTGTAAAAATGGGGTGGAAATGTGAAATGTGGACAGAGGGGAAGGGAAAAAAATTGTTAACAGCATGTCCTGTGTGTGAGTGAGACCACACTCCCCACCGAACAAATGCGCTCTCTCATAATAGGAAATGGATAAATGCACCGGATGGGGGCGCTTTGGGCACGGATGCAGAATTTAGAAAGAAGAAAATCTCGCGTCTATCCCATGTCCTCCAAAGTTCGTGGACGAATTCGCAAGCGTGCAGGTGTGGATAGCGTGTGCCTCCCTGGTGGTCGAATGTGTGGCCAGACGTGCCGTGGAGCTGACGGCAAATCCGACGGGCCGACTGCGGCGCGCGGACAGCAAGCCATAAACAAGATGCAAGTCAGGACTAGCCGGACGGTGGAGGCTTGGGCTTGGTTAGTTAGGTCTCACAAGGAGCCTTGTCCTTGTCCACTCGATGAGTTGTTGACTTCCGAATTGCTCACTTCATTGGATCGCAACTGGCGGTAAGAAAGAGGGGAGGTTTTGGGAATGAGGAACCATCGACGAGGGTCAATGGCATCGATGTCTAACGCCAAAATGGGAAACGGATTATCTTACACGAGTTTCATACAGACAAATTATGCCTAGAGTATAAAAATCTCAGTACCAAAACAAAAGCACACAGAACGAGTGTACGGGAAAGGGGGCACTGTATTGGGACAGGCAAGTGCACCAAATTCTCTCGGCCAAGATACCCGCAAGACAAAAACCAAAGGCAAAAAATAAAATAAAATATATAAAAAAAAAAAAAAAAAACTCAACTCTATCTCATAAACGATCTACTCGTAGTAATTAAGCGCCAAATGAAAGCTCAACTGCTTTCGTTTTCGTTTGAGGACTCTTCTCCTTCTTCCGACTCAGAGCTGGGCTCCTCGCCTACCGGATCGGGCATGACGACGCTATTGAGATACGTCACCTGTCAATCAATCACATGGGGGTTAGCAAAGACCTATCACAAGAAGGGGAGCTGACATTCCCGGCCATCGTTCAGTAGAACTGATTCGACGATAGTGGGTAAGGGATGTCACACCGCTGAAGTGGCTGGGAAGGGATTGATGAGGGGAACAGTGTCTTTTTTGCAGGGGTGGCTAAGGCCAATAGATGCGGATTGTGGGCAGGGCGGAGGGAGGGGCCAAAAAGAAAGCCAAAATGACAACAAAGGGTGGCTGGAATGGCTTACAAAGGGTTCCATGATGCCAATGAGAGCCGCGATTCTATCCTGCACATTGACATTCATGAATTCTGAGTCGGAAAGAGGTCTTCCGATAGTGAAGCTGCGCAAACGGAGCAGCTGAATATTCTCATTATCAACATCGTAGCCCTAGAAAAAACAGAGGAAAGGTTGTCAGTATGGTCCGTCAAAAAAATAATAATAATAAAGATGGGGATGGGAGTATCTGATTTGCGCAAAGTCGAGTAAGCGACCCGCTTGTGCTGTGTAGAGGAGATGCTGAACCATGGAAACAGATGAGACGGCGCAGAAAAAACTCTTCATAGTCCCAAACCCAGTGGGACAGTGGGAGGCTATCCGTTTCCCCTTCCGGACTTCCAAGGAACAGTAAGTGGGTTGCCGGAGTTTTGAGGCACAGAGACAAAGGTCTCTGTCTTTAAGGGGCGCGCGTGGAGAGCGTGGGTGGTCAAAGGGGTCCTGACACGGCCGGAACGATCCGCGGTTGCGCTTCCACCAGACGTCGGGCGATGATAGCTATCGACGTCTTGATAACTGCAGGAAATCATTTCGAAAAACATATTTTTCCGTTCGCACGATGTTGCTCTTTCGCACGATGACCATCGAATTTTCGTCCGGGTCTCGTGATGCCCAAGCCTAGCCTGGACTGCGTGCGCTTGTCGGCGAGAAACCATCCCAAAAACACACCCACGATGTCGAGAAACACAATGCAGGAAGCTCGCCCGAACCGTCCAGATGGAAATTGATGTCTTTTGGTGCCTCGAACGATCATCGCAGATCTTCTTCCAGTATTCCAGTGCCAACAAGCAGACCAACGATAAAGGCCCTGGCGATACGCGCCTCCCCCCTCTGGAAAGCCCCCCGCCCCGAAAGAAACAGAAACTTTTCAAGACTCGATGTCTCCGTGCCCGTCTCCGTGCCCCGTGATAATAAGGATGATGGAGGGTGTTGGGTTCTTGGAATGGACGCGACAAAACAAGATGCGACCATGCGTGCTGAAACAACTGGGCTGGGTTAGCACTTACCTTGGGCTTGACCTTAAGGGCGCTCTCCTTGTTGTGATCGACAAATGCTTTCACGGCTTCCTTTTCATCGTCGGGTATTCCGTTGAGGATTTCGCGCCGCATTCCGGGCTCTCTCAGCACAGCCTTCAAACGGAACGAGTTTTGGTCGATGTCCTCACGAAGGACTGCGAGGGCATTCGCCTCGGGATTCCAAAGTCCGGAGCCTAGATCCAGTCAGCCTCGTTCTTCATAATGTGCGGTGGGAGGATGTTGAGCAAGTTAGGCAGTCTTTCGATCCGAATGGTCGGCCTCGCAGGGCCTGGATATACCGAACGGGATCGTGGATACCATATTCTTGGATCTCCGGGACAGGGTGCATCGTCGGAAAGCGTCCATCGCGCATTGCATACGCTATTCAAAGCTCGCCCTGACACAGGAAAGAGGCGCCTTGCTCTGGCAAAACTTACCGACAAAACAGGAACCGGGCTGCATATGAACATAGTAGGCAGCGTAAGGACCTTTCTTACCCGTACGGGACCTGCGAAACTTAGCTGACTTGCAATAGCATATAGCTGAAGAAACGTTCTTACCAGGCAGCTGAAAAATGCGTCTGTTTTGGTTAGCTCAGTTCGACATTCAAGCGGCAAGGGCGGCATAGAAAGCTCAAAATACTTCGACGGAACAAAATGTTAACATACCTTATACGGAGTAGGATTCTTGCTGAACCGGACATCTCTGTGTATGCGGAAAATCTAAAGCGAACACGTCGATGTTAATGTGGCTCCTTATTCTCCACGCCTACACCGATATTAATGGGTCACCACTTACCAAGTCCTTAGCAGGTAGTTCAGGGATTGTGCTATCCTGCTCAATTAGTTTCTCAGTGAGACTTTCGACAAAGGATTCCCAATCCTTCTTCGCAGCCCGGAAGTCGGGATCATGTGCTAGCAATTTCCGTTAGCCATGGAATGGGATACAATTCAACGTTTGTCAGCACGTTACCTTTGAGCCACGCTCTTTCGTTGTTCTTTTCAAGGTCTTCCAAGAAGAGCATTGTATTAGGATGCACGGTGTGATCCTGATACGGCACATCTCCCGCATCTCTGGCCTTAGGTTTCTTGATGAAAACCTCTTTGCCAGGACCCAGCCCTGTCTTGACGCCTTCCCTCCACAACTCCTTGTTCGTCAATGATGCCACCGCATCATCTTCGACTTCGCTGCGCTCATTCTCGTCGTTCTTGGTACTCGAGTCGCGGCCTTGAGCCTTTTGCTCGCCTTGTTTACCTAGCTTACCCGGCTGATCCTCCTCCACTCCATAATCCGTGGAAGCAGCATCGGATGGTTTCAACTCCGGCATCTCCGAAGCATCCTGACCATCTTTGTGGGCGGATTCATACACAAAGCCCTCCCGCTCAGATCCGTGCTTAGATTCGGAAGCCTCGTTTTCGGAAGACTCTTGTTTGAAGTATTTGCTCTTTTTGGCGGTGGTTTTGACCGAGTTTGTGTCGGCGGTAGTCGAATTGGAAATGTATTTTGGCCTTTTGGACTCCGTCTTTTCGGCGGAGAATGTGTCAGGCGCGCGCCTTTTTGGTGCCGGCGCTGGAGCTGCCGCTGACGCGGGAACGGCCCGAGACGATCGTCGAGGCATGAGTAGTAGCACTCTGATACAGTAGTAAAAAATAAAGTATGTAAAATGTAGACCCTGAATCTCCGGTGTACACTGTAAACTTTCTGAGAGGTATTCGCAAGATATAAGCGGCTATACAAAGTCGAGAGACAAGAAAGCGCTGGTTAATCGGAAGTTCGTGCACAGGCAATACGGCGTTTAATAACTCTCCGGACGTCTTTCAAATTGTTCAGGGCGTCTGAAAATAGACATTCAAAGTTTCAGGCGATTCAAGAAACGGGGAATAAAGGGAGAGACCAGGAGGCTGGTAACTTCTGGGGCGACCTTCGCGTGGGAAAGGGCGGTTCGCCGAACCGCTCACTAGTGCGCTCCGAAACGATTTTTTTTTTTTTTTTTTTTTCCCGTTCGAGAATGGCTTTTTTGCTGGACGACATGATATTCAAGGATCGTTGATTCGGGATAATTCGAGAGAAAGAGTTCAAAGGAGGTTTTGCCCTCAGTGTCGATTCTTGAAATTCCTTTGTCGACCTGGCATTCCTTGAGCGACGTCAGCCCTTTTTTTTTCTTTAAAGGAAAAAGGAAAAAAGGGAAAAATTGAACAAGAAAAACGAGAGATACCAGAACGAAAATAGAATAGACCAGGAACTCTTTCTCCCCCCACCTGACGAGCCTGTGTATAAAGAAAACCATGGCCAATACCACAGAAACCATCCCAGAGGCCTTTGAAACTCGCAAGTGCCAAATCCTCGCAGACCTCTCGATCCCAGACGCAGAATACACAGATCTATCGCCCAAAGGATCCGTGGACGAGGGAATCCGCGATCTGATTCGCGACGTCAACGCACAGCCCGGCTTGGTGACGACCAGTAGCTGTGCTGGGCGGATCAGTGTGTTTCTGGAGGGGAGGAAAAAGCAATCTCAGAAACCCCCACAACAAGAGCAACAGCAACCACAGCAAGAACAGCAGCAACAGCAACAGCAGCAGAGACAGTTCGCACCATCTGGTGGCAAAGGTGCCGGACGATGGTTGTATGTCTCGCATGAGCCTCTGAAAGAAGAGATGAAGAATGGTCAATCATTGCACGGGTTGTTTGGACTTGTGCCGGGGGATGGGAGACCACCGAGGAGGCTGCAGGGCGAACAGGGCCAAGCCCCACGTCTTGTGCGCTTTCATTTTGAGCCCATGGTGTGTACTTTTCTTTCTTCTTTCGTGGTTTACGCTTTGTTTAAGCCGTGAAAGTGTCTTTGTATCAACTGACATGCCTAAAATAGATCCTCCACATCATGACTGCAACTCTTCAACACGCTAATCCGGTTCTATCAGCTGGATCCAGTTCGGGTTTTCGAGAAAGCGGTTTGCAGAGTCTTCGCTGCTTGGAAGACAGCGAAGGTATTAGCCCGATTGTTGCTGTCCGCTCATCGGGCCTTTCGCTGGAATCAGTCATTGGCTACTGTGATGATAGCAACGAGGATGACGGTGGCGAGCCTGTCATCCACAGCCTAGTTACAGAGGAATATCTAGAAATGCTGGTTGCCATTTCGAATGAGCGTTTTTCGGTCAACACAGAGCGAAAGGAGAGATTCCGAACATGTCTGCTCGAGTTATGTTCTCCAGAGAAGGCTCCTGGCTCGAAGTCAAAAGGAAAATCTAGGCCTCCTGGCTGGGAAGACCCTGAGCAACGGAGAGAAAGGAAGAGGGCCGAAGGGCTAATAAGGAAAAAGCTCCTGGAGAGCCAGGTGAATACAGGTGATGGGGATACGAAGGTGGAAGATGATTTGTGAACAGATCCAGTCACAATTGGTCTTAAGATGATACGGGCCTTTACGAGGCGCCAGTCGTTGTGTTATTAGATTTAATGAAAGCAATGATGATGGTATCTAACCTAAACTTGTAACCCTATCCCAAACGGCCAACGAGAACCAGTTAAGTCTCCCACCTCGGTAAATCCAACTTAAATATGCAGAAAATGCTTTGACCCTGAATAAAAATCGTTTACAGTAATAGACCCGTACCAAGGGTTCCGCAAAACATAGGTTGGCTCAATGCCACAAAAAAATGGTCGAGCCACTCCTGCCGGGTCCGTGAACGCTGAACTAGAACCAAAATTGAAACAAAAAAGAAAGAAAAGGTAATAATAATAAAAAATCGGCGATCCAAATTACAAACCTCTCAATGACCCTGGTTCGAAAAGTTCGACAAGAAGCACGGAGACGACAGAGTGTTCCGATGATGTCCAAGAAATCCAGGCCTGGCAGTCCTGTCCACAGCAGAAGGACGCAAGACCAGTTCCTGGCCCCAGTTTTCACCGATACTGCCCAGTCTGTTCCTGGCAAAGGTACCGCTGTAGCTATGCTGGTTCCTGGGACGGCGCGGAGTCGCGTAGATATCGACCTTGGACGATGACGATGTCTCTTCTTCGACAGCGTCGCTTCTTTCGGTACCGAAGGGTGAAATGGTCGTGGTGAGCTTATTGTCAGTTTGGCTGCTCAAGGGAGTGGACCCAATGGAGAGGTGTTCGATACTGAAAGTGGTCTCTTTGTCCTGGTTGATGCAACCGGTCAAGACGAGATTGCACAGATTGACCATCTCGCATTGAACGGCTTCTTCGAACAGCATGCGCTTTGCGGCTTCCTGTGGCCATTCGAACCAGATGCGTCCGTAGGGAGATTCGAGTTCGAAATCGTCCATGGGGAAAGTGTTGGGCAATTCGGAGGTTCCTTGGTCGTGCAGGGTTCCTTTGGAGATCAAATTCGCATAGAACTAGACAATACTTGGTGAGAAATAATGCAGACAAGATGAACGGAATAGGAGAGCACCTACCAGAAGCGTATCCTCGTCAAAGTTTGGTATTTTAGCCAGTGTATCAAACGGGAACCATTTGCCCATGTCTGGGAACTTGAGGATCTCGGAAATATCCTCCGAGTTGACGCATAAGGTAAACTTCTGCCGTTCGTTGAACGTAGGGCAGTTCAGACCGGCGTGGAGGAGATCGCGCATCAGTCTCTGGTCAAGTCCAATGGTTTTGGTTGTCTTGAGGCGGAATACCAGAGACTTGATGTGGCGATTAACCATTTCAAACAAGGTGTTGCGGTCATGGACAGTGTAGAGGGTCGTCGCGTACCAGGGGAACTGCAGTAGGAATATTGTGAGAACACATTCCACGAAGATTCTCAAATGTCTAGTGAATACTTACCTTGTAAAGCGTACTAATGGTGGACTCATAGGTACGCTGAGGGCACTTTGCACAGAACGGGGACTAAAAGATTACCAAAAGGTCAACATGTGTCCAACAAGTCAAAGTGTCGGGAGTACTTACACGATGAGGTATCTCAGCATGGCGAATAGCACCAATAATCTCCTCGCCAGTGAAGAAACCCGAGAATCCAGTGGAATAAGGGTCTCTATTCGGGAGAGCAATCGGCATACCATCCTGCCAGGAGATACACTTCGCACGGGGGAATAGATCTTTCAGAAGCTCGTCTTGGCTGCTAAGTTCCACATAGACGACACGGTTTCCCAGACGAGGAGGACGACCAGTCTCAGCGATCTTGTTAATACGAGTCACCGCTTCCTGAGCATCCTTGACGGTTTCGAACTCGGCATAACAGTCCATGGTCTTAGCAGTCGAGCGCTCCATAATAATATGGATGGGGCAGGGGCTAGCGAGACGGGCCTGTCGACCAAGGAACTGGATAATTTCCTGCTTCGTGATCGAGTAGGGGATCTATAACGTTGTCAGCCATATACTTTGGGTGATTTTTGAGAGAACTAATTACGTTTGCAACCTTGACCACTCCCCATTTCTGCGACTGCTGCAGATGGACCGCACTTCCAATAGGCATCGCATTAGGTGAGACAAGCTTGTCCACAGCAGCCACGCCACCAGAAGCCTGAATGATTGAGGTCTCCGACGGATCTTGAGAGTCAGCCTTCAGCAGTTTGTTCATGGGATTGTCAGAAGCACGAGGGGTCGAAGGAGACAGAATCAACGGCTGCTCACGAGCTGGCATGCGTGGAACCGGCGCAGGGAGAGGGGTAATGGTCGAGCGATGCTGGCGAGGGCGATATACCGCAGAAGCCATGCCTCTCATGGGATGAAAATTAGGGTTCAAGAAGTTATCTTCTGGCCGAGAAAGCAGATCCGGGGATCCGGGATACTGGTCCTGCTGGTAAGCATAACCAGACATGAAGGGAGAGTATGGATAAGAAGCTCCATATCCAGAGAAGTGAGTATTTCCCTGTCGGTAGGCCATGGTTGATAGTTCGTTGCGAGAATTCAGGACTTGGTGACGAAGGTTATGGAAAGAGAAACGAAGAGGTAGAAGCGACGAGGACTGGGGGCATTGAAATATTGTCTCGCAGAGTATTGTAATGGCGCGGGGTTACAATAGCGAGGAGCAATGTGTCGAATTCACTGTTCTCTTATTGTAGCGCCTATTGTCCTTATTGTATTGTCCTCTTGCGGTCTTGTCAATAGCGCTGGAATGGTCGCAGCTTCCTCAGTTTCCAAGTCTTTCTGTAAGGCAGCGCCCTAATTTGCTCAGTCAAGCTGTCAAAAATAATTCAGGTTAAAAGGCTTACCGGATCAGAATGTGGGATAGACATGGTGCAAACGGTTTGCATTTGCTGGTAGTTGCAAAGTTCAGGTTTCGATGGCTGTTCAGCAAAATGAAGCTCTTTAGGCCAGGGTGAAATGCGATACAGTGAAGTAAGGTAGATGGAGGAAGGTTATTAGAAAGAAGTAGTAGAATGCTTGATCAAAACAATGAGATATCTAAAGAGAAATAATATGATTGTTCTTTGTTCTATGTTAGAGGTGTTTCCCTTTAGACAGCACAAACAGTAACATACCTGAAATCAGTCAAGCTGACCAGCAATAGTTCCTGGGAGTAAGTTACATAGATATCCTCTTTTCTACGAATTTTCCTGAAACCGGCAAAACTAACTGGCTTATAATTAGACAGGATGCCTGCCACTAGTTGGATTTGGTACAATTATGGACAGGTTGAATTGCAAATTCGGGGTTACGACTTCAGGATCTAAGAGGGAACATAGTAATCTGCTGCGAAATGTATGGTTCCCATTACCAGCCTAGATCGCTTGCGCAGAAGTCGCATGCAAGCAACAGAATCGACGCTGAGTTATCATTCGTGGAACAGAATAGAACAGATTGTAGGCGAGTTTAGTCGAACTAGATCGTATATTAGCGAGGCGCTGGTATATGCTGGAGCATGACTTCTTACCGGTACGAGGAAAGATTCGGCAACATAACGAGCACGGGCATTCAACTGAGATACGTTAGCGTCATCATTCCATCCACAAACATCTGAGCCTGGTACAAAACGTACGAAGAGCTTCATCTCCGAGATTTCCTTATCCACCTCTTCCATGAATTGGATAATAAAGTCGACAAGCTTGTGCTTCAACATGGCTTCGGTGTGGAAGTTGGTGATCAAGAACGAGATATCATAGCCCTGTTGATTCGTCAGTAAAATCTGCCCCATCCCTTCAATCATCCCATACACACCTTTACTGGCTTCCTCCGCAGGATGAAGAAAGATTCCGCGCGCTGCGTCAAGAACCTCGTGAACTTATGGACAAGGATATGCTCGATTTCATCCGCCTGCTTTATACTGATGCTCACACGGACACTGTTGACACTGGGCTCGATGAGGACTCTCTCGTTCTCGTTGCGCGAAACGGTCAGGGGATTGAGGAGGAGTTCGGGGGACGTGGCAGCCTCGATTTCCGGCACGTTATGTCGTTCGGACGTTTGCGAAGCGAAGTTGGAAACCGCAAGAGCCGCGGTCAGCGACGAGCGGACACATTGGAGGTAAGGGCGCAATGATTGAGACTAGAGGTTGTTAGAATCAATGTGATTATCGGTTCTTGATACTGAAGCTCACCATGATAGGGGAATGCGGAGGTCCAATGGTGTACTTTGTATTGCAACTGCTATCTCCGCCGACGTGATGACGACACTGCTGATGTGATATAAATGTAGGAATCCGAGGATATTCTGCCAATCACCAGAGAAATAGCAAGCCCGCACGATAGTTCAGTCTGGAAAGTAAGATGATAGTACTATCAATGCTCAACGTAGCTTCAGGAGCCCGACTACGGCCGTCCCGCTCGGGGCGGTGATGTCGATGCTGTTTGTTTAGTTTGCATAGTTTGCATGTTTCCTGCCCCACGCCTGCTATGATGATCAATCGCCTCTTGTATCGTACCTGTTACTCTACCCAACGAAAGTCCAGTAGCGGCTTGCTAATACTTCAAACCCTCTGAGAAAGACAAATATCCGCAAAATGGCTTCTATTCCAGGTATTCCGTACTGCTTCTCGTACTTTCCTTTCAGTGACTAACCTAGACCGCTTCCGATATAGTCATTGTCAAGCACCAAGGTAAACGCCACGAGGTCGAGCTCGATCCCTCGTCGAACGGCGAAATCTTCAAGTTCCAGTTGTACTCCCTCACCGGTGTCGAACCTGAACGACAGAAGATCTTGGTCAAAGGAGGCCAGCTCAAGGATGATACGCCCCTGTCTTCCCTCAACGCCAAGCCGAATCAAACGTTCATGATGATGGGCACACCCTCTGGAGATGGGACTGTTAAGGATTTGGGACGCCCTAAGGAGACAATGAAGTTCTTGGAGGATATGACGGAGGCTGAGGCTGCAAGGGCAGAGGGCGCCACTCCCTCCGGTTTGCAGAATCTTGGAAACACTTGCTACCTGAACTCGACCCTGCAGACCCTGAGAGGTGTTCCCGAGCTTCAGGATGCACTCCAGAACTACCAGCCCTCGAGCTCCGGTGGGTCGTCGGGACTTGGTGATCTCAGCAGCTTTGGTCTAGGCGGCCTGGGCGCCTCTGGAGATCTCACTGCTTCCCTCCGGGACTTGTTCAAGCAGATGTCCGAGACGCAAGAGGGATTCCCGCCGCTCATGTTCCTTAACTCATTGAGAAACGCTTTCCCCCAATTCGCCCAGGAGGACAGGAATGGACATGGTTATGCTCAACAGGATGCTGAAGAGGCTTGGTCGCAGATCTTGGCTCAGCTGCGGCAGAAGCTGATGGTCAAGGAAGGTGAAGGATCCGAGGCATCTTTTATTGACAAGTATCTCGCTGGACAATTTGAATCGGAGACCGAATGTGATGATGCCGCGGCGAAGCAAGTTGGGGAGCAGCCTACAAAGAGCTCGGATGTCTTCTACAAGCTTGACTGCCACATTGGCAAAGATACTAACCACTTGCATGATGGAATCATGGATGGTCTTGAAGAGAAGATTGAAAAGAACTCGCCAACCCTCGACTGTAACGCGATCTATACGAAGCGCTCACGCGTCGCCCGACTCCCCAAGTACCTGACGGTGCACTTCGTTCGGTTCTTCTGGAAGCGTGAGACTCAGAAGAAAGCGAAGATCATGCGCAAAGTGTCATTTCCCGCTGAACTTGACGCTGTGGAATTCTGTACCGAAGAACTCAAGAACCAACTTGTGCCTGTCAGGAACAAGCTACGCGAAGTTCGCAAAGAAGAAACGGATGTGGAGCGTGCTCGAAAGCGCCAGAAGATCGCCCATAGAGATGAAGAAGAGAAGCGGGCAGTGGGAGCATCCAGCATGGAGCCCATGCAGAAAAAGAAGGTAACGGAAGAGCGCAAGGAGTCCGGAAAGGCAGGTGATAAGGACACAGAGATGACAGAAGCGTACAAGACGGATGCGGAGTACGAAGCAGAAGCGGCTGCATCCATCCTTGCTGCTAAGAAGGAGCTTGCTGCCCTCGTCGATCCCAAGGTCGCCGCTGAGGCTGGAACGAACCAGTCTGGTCTTTACGATTTGCGTGGTGTTATCACTCACCAGGGTGCCAGTGCCGACAGCGGTCATTACACGGCATACGTGAAGAAGCAACAGAGCAATGGCAGCGACGAGGACGGAAAGTGGTGGTGGTTCAATGATGACAAGGTCACTGAAGTGGAGGCTGAGAAGATCGAGACTCTTTCTGGTGGAGGTGAGTTAACTCCGTATATACATGTGAGGATGAACTACGCTAACATATATTCTCAGGTGAATCCCACTCTGCACTTATTCTTCTCTACCGTGCGGTTGAATTGCCCACTGCGGAGTAATTGTTCACGGACTATGCGGCAAATGGTCATTGTTAGGGTCTGTCCAACATAAACTAGGACATATCTCTATTGTTAAACTTAAATACATAGAAAGAAGACACGATTCCCATGTTATTCTTGTTTACTTCTTGGACATGACAATTCTGTTCGTTTGTTGGAGAACAACGTCGGATATATTTACCTACCACAATCTCAAATACTATTCATGCTGGGAAATCTCAAATGCATTGATCTCCATGTATCTTTGACCAGGGTATATGAGGTACGAAGGCCAAAAACAAGAAAAATAGAATAGAACAAAAGGACTAGAGGGTTAAGAATATGAAGTAGACCAGCGAGTACCATCACGTGATATCCACGAACCAACCTCGGCATCTCAGTCGCATCAACCTCCCCTCGATCGCGACGTGCAATTGCTATGTAACCACCATGTTCGGTCCACGCGCAGCATTACGATCCCAAACTCACCTCCTCAGCGCACCCACGCGCCCCATCTCCCGCCTCACCAACTCGCCCTCCCCTCTCCCGCGATACACCAGCACCGTTGCCTACGCAAACGCACCCTCCAAACGCTCAATATGGCTGCGCCGTCTAGCCTACACCACAATATTCGGTGGGCTAGGTATGCTCGCAGGACAGCTGATTGAAGAGAAAGTAGCCGCGCCGCCGGTCCCGGGGTCACTTGAGGATAAGATTGTCATGGAGGAATTGCTGCAGATATATGAGAAGGCTACTCCGATTGTTATGGAGTTAAGGAGTAATCCGAATTATGAGGAGTCGGATGTTTATCAGAATTATTCGGAGGAGGAGAATAGGCATCGGTTGACGGCGGGGCCGTTGAGGGGGAGTAGGGGGTTAGCGCTGCAGGTTTGTTACCCTTTCTTTTCCTCTGGCGCATGCGCAAGCCAGTCGGCTGCCATTCCAGATTAACAGAACACTAACCAAACCGCAACAGAAAGTATTCTACAACCGCAAAGAACAAGAATCCATCAGCATCGTCTTCCTAGGCGAAGGCACTGAAGGCTGGCCCACAATCACCCACGGCGGCGCCCTCGCAACCGTCATCGACGAGAACCTCGGCCGCGTAGCGCTACGCAGCTTCCCCGGGAAAACCGGCGTCACTGCGAACCTGCAACTCAACTACCGGGCACCTGTGTACTCGGGCCATTTCTACACTTTCCATTCGAGGCTGGATAAGGAGAGGATCACGGAGAGGAAGGCTTATGTTACGGGGGAGGTGAGGGATCCGTTGGGTGGGCTTTGTGTTGAGGCGAGTGCGCTTTTTGTTGTGCCGAAGAAATTGAAGCTTAAAGAGCTTGGGGAGACGTATTGAGGTTGGTTTGGGATTGATTCATTGCTATGCTGGTATACCCGATATCTCGCTTCATGGGGAGATATCTTCCGGTTGGGTCGTAAGGCATCTGGACTAGGCCTTGCAGAATTACCACATGCTCTTAACACACTTGGAGCTTTCTACTTATCTTCTTTATACATAATTCAACCCCATCGGAACAGAGGTATTATGCGAACTTAGCTAGGGTGCATTGGTACTGCTGATGATACTGTATCAATAGCATACATAGTGGAAAAAAGATAGTCATCTTCGTAGCTTAGTTAGAATAAACGTTCAGCTCACACATCTGATTAGAAGAGATGCGATTGCAATTCTAGATGCTGTTCACCATGACCTATGGTATCAATCAACCTATCTCGAAACCAGTAAGCCAAAAGGGGAGTATGTACTCAGAAAGGCAGTACAAGAAACAGCGCCAGACGCCCACACCATGCTTATAAATCACGGATATAATCAGATGCAACAAACGATTCGAGAACAGGGGTATAATCAAATAGCGCGAGAAAGGAATACAGAAGAAAAATAAAAGTCCATGCAATAGGAACGCCACATCATCACAATCAAGTGTTTTCCACTTGGTTCATTGCACTCCTCCTCGGTACAAACGCCAAGGTACTGTGTGAGCTGGTCGACTTCGATCTCAAGCGTCTGTCGTCTTTGCGAAATCCCCGACTTATTCCACCACCAAGACCCCGTGCAAGGGATGCAAAAGGCGATGCTCGCCAGAACTCGATATCCCCTTCGTGCTGTTCATCTCTGGGGAAAAGGTCACTGGATAATCTTGACGAATCAGCCGGTCCGCTGCGTGGCCTATCTAGAGACCTTTCACGTGAATGGCTGGGAGTTGGCGAGGTCCAGGGCACTGGAATTTTGACCGTTATGTGTTCAGAGCAGATACAGCCACAACCGCTAGGGCAGGATCGAAATTCCTGCTCCTGTCCGGGTGTTGTAGTAGTCTTGTCTTCGCCGCTTTGGCTCGAGGTCTTCGAGAACCACGCCTGGTGGCAGGTAAAGCAACTCACATGGCCACAATTAAGGCAGGGGATGAGCATCCCCTCTATCACCTCTCCACAGATTACACAAGGGAGGCTGATGGGGAGTGACTGTTTGGGCCTGCAATTCGGACAGGTAACGCTAGTTCCTTCGGAAGGTTTTGCTTCCGCTGATGCTTCAATCGAAGGTGGTACTGAGAAAATTGACATCTGAAGAGAATGACCACATCTGGAACAATGTCGCTGGATTTCGAGGCCTTGGTTTCCCGGGTTGTCTTCAGCGGACTCCGAGTCACTGCGGACCAAGGTTGGAAATGAGAATGATGCTCTAGCACGACGGTGACTGGAATCACATTCGATAACCCCACCGATTTTAAGGACTTCGCTCTGTTGAACTGGTAGTCCCCAAATGGAAAGCAAACGAGAATAGGTTGTACGATACGACCTGTAGAGCCAATCCTTCTTGGGATCCAAAAACGAGTCTTGAGAAGGCCCTACGTTGTCAAAAGCTCCTTGATTTTTCATGCTAACTTTGAGCCTCGCTTGCTGTTTGGGGACAGCCTGGGTATTTTCGCTCCCTGCATCAGAGTGTGTTTGCGAATTGAGTGCAGTCGGGACCATCAGATGGTCAGTACTATTCGCCGCAGCCTTCGCGGGGAACGCGCCACTGGGCCATGCAATGGGCGCATTGGGACTGCCGCTTGGGCTTTGCTTTTTCCTACCAAAGACACTAGTTGGAGGAGAGGCTGACGACGGGCCAAACGTGAAAGATCGAGAAAGCGAGGAGGCCAAAACTGAACCAATACCGGAGCTACTGCGTGGCTGTGATTGTTGATCCGGAGATGTCGCGATTGAAACCGTCTGACTCGCATGCTTCCTGTCTGCAGATATGGCACCTGGTCGAGAGGTTGCAGGAGGAGTCGTGCCTGTCGAATAGGGTGGGGAGGTACCGCGCCAAGTTTCGCTTGACGAACGTCCAGAGCTCTGTGCCGCGGGTAACATGTGACTTTCCTTTGACGCTGAACCGACAGGCGTAATTGCTTCTTGGGATTTTCTTTGCGCGGCCGCGGTCTCAGAAGGAGCATCCAATGAAGAAAGAGGCTCCGTGCGCCTGGGAGTTAATCCACCGTACCCACGTTGATCACGAGTGAGGTTTCCCTCGCTATTGGATTCATGAAGGACACACGAGAGCATAGCAACCATTTGTACATCACCAATGCGCTCGAAATGATCGAACAGAGCTGGGATAAGCCAAGACCGACCGAAAGGGTGATTACCCCATTGAAGGCCTTTCCCTGCTGCTCTGTTGAGAAACTGGATTGGGTTTGGGGCGTCGAAGCTCGTGTCAACAACGCTATCTTTTCTTTGCGTGGACCTGAAGGGACGGCGCTGGAAGATTCCGTGTTCAGATTCGAACCCTGGGCTTTGCTGATTGAGCAATATCAGTTTGACAAGGCCCCAAATCTGGGCCAACTCGTGATATCCGGAATCAAGGGCCACCGAAGCATTATGGGCACAGACATCCACGCTCTTGCCGCATATCCGGTATTTACTCGCCAGCTCGCGTTTCGCTGGTAGGAGACTGCTAAAATCATGAATTGACACCACGGTCTGCGAAGCTTCGGAAGGCTTGATATGTCCACTACCGCCAATTGATCTCTGTGAATTGTCCGTTGACCTGGGTCGATGGAACCCAAGACTACCTGCGCTGCGCCATGTTTGAGGAGCCGGGAAACGGGCTGGCAATCCCGACGACAACATGTCAGATGAGCCCGAAGAACTTGATGATTCGGTGTCTGACTCGTCGGAATATTCTGAGACGCCATCATCAGTGCTTGCTATGGTACCCGTTATTCGAGGCCCGGGAGATGCGGTCTGAAGGCGACCAAATCCCTCGAAAACCTTATCAGATCTAGACAGCCTTGTCATCTCCTTGAACCCCAAGGTTTCGAGCATGGTTGCCGACTTGTCCTTCTTTGGTGGAAAGAAGCATACTAAGCGACCGTCATTCGCCCAGAGCGCACCGCAGGCTTTGGCAACTGGCACCATCACGTTGGCATTAACCGGCCTAAGGAGCTCTGAGCTCATTCCCAGATCCTGGCTATGCGACAGCCCGACTTCGTCTTCATCGCTCGAGTCATCGCCTCCCAGCCCACCGTTGACAGGCGATTTCACTGTCTCGGCAGTTTCTCCTTGAATCCATGCAATACTTTCTTCCAAAGTACTTTCGCCTAGAAGGTAACGGACGGCTCCTTCAAGACACCCTCTCTTACGAGATAGATAAGATTCTGCAATGGTTTTCAAATCTGAGACCAGCCTGGTAGCGAGCTGATCTGTAACGGCTGCTGTTTTTTGAATGTTGAAAATCGGTATCGACGCCCTAGGGTACTCGACCGGAAACTTGATATCCGCTTTCAAGAAAAGGGATGCACTCTCTGCACCCCACGGTCCATGCAATGATATTGTCGCCTTTCGCTGCCTCACATCAACGGATTCGAAAACAACTTTGGTGAACTTTTCCCCGACGTGCGAAATTTCGTCTCCTAGTGTTTCGATGTCCCACCCCGCTATCTTGACGCCGCGCATCCACGCAATGGGATTGGTCTCAGTCCTGACAGTAGTTTTACCCCGCATGCCTACTCTTGAGTCCACATTTCCACCCCAAGTACGAGAATATGGCATTGAGATGGTGTTGTTCACCCCAGTGCCATCGGGAAAACGCGGCTGCGAGCCGGCTGATAGACCAGAGCCTGTGCCATCAAAATCTTCCGGGCCATCACGAAAAGTTTTGTAGACTGCGCCTGAACGAGTGACATTCAAGTTATGAATGAATGATTTCCCTTTCTCGTAGCCAACACGCCGCAAGACATCGGGTTGCACCCTGTGTAAGCGAAGCTCCTTATCTGATCCCCAAGAAACAAGCTGGAATTCCCGGTGATCGGTCTCATTTACTACCCCGCCTCGAGGTCTCCAAAGAAATTCCTTAACCTGACCCTTGTGCCCTGGAAAGCTATGTACCAAGGGGAGCTCATCGGTCGTTGGACCGGGTTGTTCTCCGGATCTGCGACTATACAGATGGAGGTCGCTATTGCCCCTTTGGGGCATGGCCAGCACGCCCCATCCAAACGGAGTATTCCTTGCACGCCACACAGGGAATGGAGTCCTGATCAACTTCTCCGGTACGTCGCGTTCCGCGGTATAGTCCCAGAACTTGACAGTCCTATCCAGTGAGCAAGTCACTAAAGCGCCGGGACGTACGCGGTTCCAGTCAACGCCGTAGATTTTGGTATTATGCGCTTCAATAGATCGAATCGGAATTGCCCCCATCCTATCATCCCATATTCGAAGGAATCTATCGTGTGAACTTGCGATGACATGAGGGTCTTGTCGATTCCACTTAACCTGGGTAGCCCCAGCAAACCAGTCGGAAAACGTAATAGCTGGTCGTGAGGGCGTTCGTAAATCCCAGCTGTGAACAAAACTATCGACAGAGCATGTTGCGATAACGTCCGGATGGTGGGCTGAGAAGTTGATATCGGTTATAGCTCGGGAATGAGCGTGCAATACATGTTCAATGGAATTTTGCGAAGTATTCATAGCCAAGTTCCACACCAGAGCTTTCTGATTCGACGTGCTCACAACCCAATAATCGCGAGCCGCAAACGGCGACCACTGAACGTCTGCGACCTCCCATGGAGTATGGTGTGGGAGATACCGAGGCGGCGAGTACGGAGAATCGAGATCAATGATGTGGAGACCCTCCTTTGACGCCAATACTACATCGCGTCCACATGGCGATATGGACATAGAACCAACCGGCTGTTCCACATGGAAGGTGCTGTCTTCGCCAAAGGTTGGACTCTCAAAGGCCGATGTCAGAGGCCTGGCCTCCATTGAGTTGGACATGGCTTTTGATGGGAATCCACGGTTTTCCTTGACGAATTCCTCCACGCCCTGCCGTTCAGCTGTTGTCCAGGAGTTCCCCGGAGGATAGCCGGGTCTCTCCAAATATCATGTAACGGGATGGTGGAGGATGATTCAAGAATCCGAACGATGCTCGCATTTCAATGATACCCATGGAATTGTTGTCGACTATGTGAAATGCAAGGACCCGACGCTATCGCTTGCGCGCATTGCGAATTCGAGAAATCAATCGGATAAGAACTAGACCGGGAGGGATAAATTACTTCCAAGCGCTGGGAGTGCAGCTAATGCAGACAATCCAATGTTAGCCGGTACATATAGATAAGGAAGGGTTGTCCGTATAAATAGTGCAAGTTCCATTGGGGATCTAGCAACTTACCTCGACAATGAATCCGACGTCTGTGCAGATGATCTATACGGAGAATAGATTATGGATCTCTCCGCCGAAACGAACCTAGGTTGCTGTGGAGAGAGCTGGAGAAAAAGAAAGGATCACAGGCTGCACTCGAGGTCTGTGTCGCTCGCCGTACAAGCTACGGCAGGCGGTGAGGAACCCTGACGCAGTGCCCCTCTGGTTACATAAGACGACGTCGAAGAGCATCCCCAATGGTAACTTAGACTTTTCCTTGGTCGTTTTTGGCGATTTAGCACACGACTTTGCTGGAAAGACGCTACCGATTCGTGGCTTGAATACTTTTACATTTCTTTCTTTGCGTCAAAAGGAAGAGAATCCCACCAGAACCCAGCAGCGAAACCATACACCCCACCCCGGTGGACGATAAGAAGATGGCGTTGCCAAAGAGAATTATAAAGGAAACCGAGCGTCTTATGGCAGAGCCGTAAGCTATTTGCACCTACGATTTCTTTGCTATGGGCGATTGCTGACGAATCGCCCGTTAGGGTCCCTGGTATCAACGCCGTGCCTCACGAAGAGAACCTGAGATACTTTGATGTTTCGATTCATGGACCTGTGCAGTCTCCATATGAGGGTAGGAGACCTCCGCTATGACATATCGCTGCTGGAATGTCCTATAACACTTTCTCGAAACAGGTGGCATTTTCCGCCTCGAGCTGTTCCTGCCGGATGATTACCCCATGACTCCTCCCAAGATCCGATTCTTGACCAAGATCTACCATCCCAACATCGACCGCCTTGGACGCATCTGCTTGGATGTCTTGAAGAGTGAGTACCCTTCATACGATACTTGAATATGGCTCGGGATATGGTCAATTAACACCCGTTTACAGACAACTGGTCGCCTGCCCTACAAATCCGCACAATCTTGCTCTCGATCCAAGCCTTGCTTGGTGCACCGAACCCGGACGACCCTCTCGCCAACGACGTTGCTCAGCGCTGGAAGGAGGATGAACCAGCTGCTATCCAGACTGCAAAGGAGTGGACGAGAACACATGCTATGACTTGAATTGTTGGAAGCAAAAGTTCAATCAAACCTGTTATGACGAAAATACGAATAACTCAGTGACGAAGTGATTATGAAGGGGCGATTACCGTGGCCATAGAATTATTCTTTTGCTTTTTTGGCAGGCAAGCTGCCGTGCTACCTGCGCTCTCAATCTTCTTTTGAACTGGAGAGCATTCCTTATCCTCTATCTTGTATATAGCGTCCCTAACAACTATTTCATAGCATACAGCAGAGCCAAGGCTCTCGTGTTCAATGTCTTTATTGTCGACGATTGAATCGTAATGTATATTTATGTTATAGGTCAACAGAACAATTGGTCCTTCATGAAATGGCTGCAGATTTCTAATCAATATTGACAGAAGTATCGTGAGTAGACATGATAAATTCCTGCTGGTATCGCAAGTCCCTGATATAGAGAGAATGTGGTTGCATCTAGCCTGGTTATTCACTGTTCCCGTACATTCACCAAGCTCATATTTGAAACATTTGCAATGTGCGTACTAGAACTCTCCAAGAACCATCCAGACGGCTAATACATCTACCTAACAGCCATCTACTTCCAGATTTTCAACCATGAGCTTGAAGACTCCCATCGACGTTGGGGACGCAGGAAGTAAAGATTCTGGTGAACAGACACTTGAACTTACGATTGAGTCTTCGGCGTTCTCAGATTCCAACAGCGATGACGATCAGGACATAGAGGAGACGCGAAAGTAAGCAACTCCCTACTACTCCCAAAAAGATAAATTCCAAACTAAAAGAACGATCTTTTAGGTCTACGGCCGATACGAACTCCAACCTAGGGCTGGACAGCTCTTCCGACGTCACAGCTAAGCCGCTCGAGGACGCTCCTCACTCGAAAGACGAGAGATACGAGGATCTGTTGCCTCCAACTAGCCCCAAAAGTCCCGGGAGCCGCAGCTCAGAGCCCGCGAACGAAACCAAGGAGAAAATAAAGCGTGATTCCTTTCTAAAAAGATTTACAGTGTTCGCTGGGGTTCCGGGACAAACAGCAGTCAGCTCTCAGCGATCCAGTCTGTATTCGCTTACTGGTTTTGGAGACTTTCGGCGTTTTTCGTTGGCTAGTTCTGTCAGTTCTCAGGCTACTGAGAAGAGTGATGCGACTCATAGGTCCTCTGGTTCTCATGGCAAGCTTTCGAAGTACATCAGTTCGTTTAGTGGTGCGTTACACCGTATTGTCTGCCTAGATAAGCGGTTTGGGCTGACGGGGTTTGGTTCTTCCAGGAGACACTGCCTTTCCCAACCTCGACTTCGCAGAAGCCGTATCTGGCCCCAGTCAATCCTTGAAAGAGGGTGGGTACCAGTGGGTTGCTGATTCGTTGGTTGTGATGCACTAATGCCCTGCTAGGTAAAACAGAGGACGAGCAGGCGATTTCCTTCCAAAAGAAGGTAGGTCTGCGCCCAATCCATACCTAGCTAACCCTCACTAACAATTCCAACAGCTGAAGCACATCCGCGAAATCACCGGAACCCAGGTCGATCTCCGCGCCGAAGAAGACTCCGACTCCCCACAGCGACCCAACGACCCCAGAATGTGGCACACGAAGAATCTAAGATGCGCCTCCTGCATGGGAGCCTGCGCGGTTTGCCATGCTGCGTGCTGCATGTACGAGGCTGGCTGTCGCGCGAAGAAGGATCCTGAAACATGCGCTTTCAAAGCTGCCCAGGCTGAGAGGATCGTTTCGAATATTGAGGCATTGGGGTCGCATGTTCGGGATAATACGACCTTCATTATGTGTACTTTGGGTGGGGGTTGCGGGCGATATGTCTGCCCAGAGTGCTGTGGGATTTGTCTTAATGTGGCTTGTCGGGATGTTCAGTGCAAGGTATGTACAATGGTTTCCTCGTTGTGTCTGGGCTGCTATCACTTGATATGGATGTTGACCTAGCCGTATAGGAATGTAAACCCGATCCCTGGGGTCCTTGCGACTGGCATGATGAAGGCATCACATTGCTGTAATGTAATATGTCGGGCCGCTTAATGATAAACCAAAGAGAAATGGAAGAAGAAGGCAATTGTACTAGTACTGGAGACGAGTGAGGGCTACCGAAATAGCATATATACCTGCCTATAAAGCGGACAAAGAACATAACCCCAGCAGCAAATGGATTTCGACGTCAAGTAACCATGATAATAAATGTACTTTATTCTCAATTAAATCTAATTGTAGAAAATAATTGATATCCAACCCCGTTATACTCTTGCCGCTCCGGGAGACGATTCGGCCAACCAAGGGCAGCCGAGATCACGTGTCGCACTTTAGCGAGGCTCCGCACCGCCGCACCACAATTGTGTCAGTCTCACGACCAGGTCGCCGCAGCGATTCGACTCAACCACCCAACGCCAACCGACAACACTCGACCGGCTGCGCATCACCGACAACCAAGATGCGTACCTACGACGATTCTTTCAGCGGTCAGAAGATCTACCCTGGAAAGGTGTGTTTGTGCCCCCCCCCGGGCAGGCAGGCCTGTCGAAGTCATTTATCGATGACCCGCCACGATCTTGCATATCGAATCGAGACAACGAATTCGCCGCCTACCTATACGTTTCTATGAGAATGGCTGGTTAACGGGAATTTTTTTAAAAAAATTATAGGGTAAGCTGTTCGTCCGTGGCGACAGCAAGATCTTCCGCTTCCAGAACGGAAAGTCCGAGTCGCTTTTCCTCCAGCGCAAGAACCCTCGCCGGATATCCTGGACTGTCCTCTACCGTCGCCAGCACAAGAAGGGTATCTCTGAAGTCAGTACCGCCCAATCCCTTTTGGTTTGAGAGTTTCGAGTCGTTTCCGAGAAGAGGGGATACGAAGGAATTCGACGAATACATCGAACCGTTACACACCGGCACAGATGAAGATGGGATATTTGGTTGAAATAGAGGGGAAACTACGCAATATGGAAACAAGATGCTGACCGGTGATTTTTCAACTCGAACAGGAAGTTGCTAAGAAGCGCTCTCGCCGTGTCGTGAAGTCCCAGCGTGCCATCGTCGGTGCCTCTCTCGATGTGATCAAGGAGCGCCGCAACCAGCGCCCCGAGGCCCGTGCCGCCGCTCGCCAGGACGCCATCAAGCAGGCCAAGGAGAAGAAGGCCGCTTCCGAGAGCGCTAAGAAGGCTGACAAGGCCAAGTCCGCCGCCGGTGCCGCCAAGGGTGGTGCCAAGCAGGGTGGTAAGAAGCGTACTTAAAAACGGTTTAGGCTTGGGCTGGGTGTTCTTTTTTCCATTTTAGTACAAGAGAATCTCATGTGGTTGGAATTCTATGATACTTCTCCCCGGAGCTGGGATTTGTTTTCCTAAACAAAATCGTTTACAACAGTTCGGCGTACGATGTGAGCGAAGGGTTTCTTTGCGGATGAAGCTTCCCGCTCGGCTTTCAGGCTGTTTCTATCACTACGCCATGGTTTATAGCCAATAAATGGAAAAGAAAATGTGATAATGTCTGTTATCATTTGGGTCTGTAGTACTACGCGACATAGTTCAAATGCGAGAGTAGAACTATTCCCTGCCAGCCAGCATCGTTTACTGTCTACCGGCTAGTATGACTAGATATTGGCGGAGTCTCCAGGATCTCTCCGTACTTAGCGCCATACACCATACAGCGTCATGGCGATCAGGCTTATCGCCAGCGTATCACATAATCCGTAATAAATCGTGACAATACCATACGCCCGACCCTAATCAATAAGCATAGGGCACAAACCTACGCTAAGCCCTTTCAGGACCCCGAATCAAAGCAATGACTGTAGATGCAGTCATATCTCGAGTCAAACGTTGTACAAAATACAATAAGGAATAATAAATAGGAAATATAAACCCCCAGAATACCACCCTTGAAACCCCCCCCAAATAAACCCACTCCATCCCCTCGAAAAAGAAATTTTCCAACCTCAGGCATTAATACCCGTCACGTTACGCGACCTAACTCGCCATCTCGCTTACCGGGCGGTGTAACGCGGTTTTTGCCCACAGATCCCTTTCCGCCGCCCCCTCTCAAAGCAGCCTTTCTGACAACTCCTCCCCCATTTCGATCCGACAAGTTATACAACACCACCAGCAGCCATGGGTAAGGTTCACGGATCTCTCGCCCGTGCGGGTAAGGTCAAGTCTGCGACTCCTAAGGTGGGTTATTCCTTTTTTCTTTGATGTTTAGCGGTTATCTGCGAGCGAAATGAGATGAGATGTGTTGGACGGGATGTTGCCACCGATGGGGAAAGGGGATAGTTGGGGGGTCGGCGACAAAAAGGAGGGCTATGGGGGATTTCGCTCGCGATATACCGATGGTTTTTGATGGGTGTTAAAATGCTGATCAATATTCGATAATTGCAGGTCGAGGCACAAGAGAAGAAGAAGCAGCCCAAGGGCCGCGCCATGAAGCGTCTCAAGTACACCCGCCGTTTCGTCAACGTTACCATGACCGGTGGCAAGCGGAAGGTACGTTGAATTCGATAAAAGACGAACGACTCTGGATGTTCGTGGGATGGAATGAAGCTTGGAGATACTCTGGGATTCTTCGCATGTCTCAGCGGGCGCCCGGTCGGCTCCATGGCTCGAGCATCTTAGCTGTATCTTCCAGCTTCGACCATTCCACTGAACAGATCCGGAGTTTGATGATACGGCAAGGAACACGAAGCTGACGAACTCGACAGATGAACCCCAACCCTGGCGCATAAACTAGTCGAACCTCTTCTTCCGATACGGTGAAAAACTAAGATGATGACTTCGAGCGGGAATTATCCGACCGACGACAAGACAACCTACAAAACAGCATCATCTTGAGGATTCGGGGGGTTTATGTTGGTGGGGAAAAATTGAATTTGTCAATCTACTACTCGCCGGGCCAACGCTTTTTTTATTCGGGAATACCATGGGATATCCTACTTTGTTTTATAAGTGGCTTGGTTTCTGGTTTGAGAGTTAATGAAATGGGTTCATGATTTCCGTGGGCTTTTGAAACAATCAGCACGAGGGAATTTCAGTGTTTCGTTTTCTTTTTGACTCTGCTTAACAACGGATATTGGATGTTGGCTGGTTGCCTTCCAAAAGGCTATGCCTTTGATGAAATCAAATAGCGAATGCATCTATTTGATTTGCAGCATTATGATGCGCCAGTAGTCTGTCATGGCAATCCATTTACGTACTCGCCCATTCGGTAGCTCCCTTGAACCTCTAGGATACCGGTCGGTTCTCCGATATAGTCCATGAACAATCAATGAATGCAACATGTATTATACCCGAAAGTCTTGCTCGTAAGGTTAACTATAATCACACTATTCGCCATGAATAGAAACCGTGACTCTATAATCCATTAATGTCCCGCTATATAAAGACGAGACGCATTTGGTCATGGATCCATCAATGCCTTGATCTTAATGCAATACCAGCCGAGTTCCATCTCGCTTTCTCGAAAGATCTCAATCGAAACGAGGACTCGAAATCTATGTAGTCGCTCTCAACATGTAATTCAGGAAACGCCAGGATAAAAGACATTTAACAGACAACGATCCGTGAAGTCGTTATGAAGAATCTCAGTAGTAATGCGCCATCTCGAGTCCAGCACGCTTGAAACCGCACTTGACGTAGAAACCCTCATTAGCCTCTGAGCAGTCGAGAATGCTCTGCAAAACGTTAGCTAATGTCCCTCATAAATCAAAAGAAAAACGAAAAGGGAGAAAAGAGGAATACCTTATAGCACCCAACCCTCGCCGCCACAAAATCCAACGCCTGAATAATCCTCAACCCCAACTTCTTCCCCTGCTGCCCCTTCTCCACCGCAATATCCTCAATATGACCAACAAGCCCCAACGAGTGAATAAACTTGCGCTCCACGATCAAACTGCCCGTGCCCACAATCCGCTCCGCATCGTCACACACAACCAGCAGGTAGTACTCGTCGTTGCGCGAGGAGATCCAGTCGTACCGCTGGTTCCACTTGTCTTCGTCCACGTCGCCCACGGTCGTCAGCACGCGCAGGACGTCGAGGTAGCCTCGTTGGAAGTCGGAGCGGTGGAGGGGACGGATTGTGTAGCCGGGGGGGAGGACGGCGAGGACTTCGGGGGAGATGAGGTTCGTAGAGAAGAGGGGGGTTTCGACGCCGTTCTGCGCGGTAAGGACGGGCTTGGTGGCCGCGGGGACTGAGGTGGTTGCGAGTGTATCGTTTGTCATTTTGGAAGTCTTGTTGTTTTTTGGGGATTGCGTGAGGTAGAATTGGTTGTAGAGGCCACGAAGGAGAAATTGGGTGGTTCGGAGGTTTGACTTTCTTTGTCGGAGAAGGAGGTCAGGAACAGGAACCGGACGAGACGTTTGTTGTGGAGAAAAGGAGAAGTTATGCAAAGAGAAGAAAACAGAGGATCAGATAAATGTCTCTGTCAGGAATAAATATCAATCGACGCAGATATTGGAGCAATGCTGGAAAGAACGAAGGGGCGATGGAGCGACTTCCGGAGGAGGGCGAAGCACAACGGCGGTATGGACACTCTTACTGGCACTGTCTCACCTCGGACACGAAAGGCTGCTAGACCGAACAACGGCGCAAAACCAATGAGAAAATGCAGCAAAAATGGTTATTTTTGACTCCGTAGCAAAATTGCTTTTTTTTTTTTTTTTTTTCCCGAGGTACAAGTATGGATATAGCAGTGCTATTTTTGGTTGCGCTGACGGCGAAACCCGGGAAGAAGTCGGTATGCAGAACCAAGTAAATAGTACAATGTGATTTCTTTCAAGTATACATGTAACATGCTAAATCTGACCGCATGGCTTTATTCAAATATGAAAAAGGGGTTAGCAAAATTATAGCGTCGACTCATCATGCCCCATTTCACATCTCGGACTCATCATTTTCCAAACTACCCGCTTATTTCTTCTCCTTAGGGGCCAACATCAGCTCGGGGCGGACGTATTTCTCAAAGTCCTCCTCGGACAGAGCCTTGAGCTCCATAGCACTCTCCTTGAGAGTGATGCCCTTCTTGTGGGCGTTCTTGGCCACCTTGGAGGCCATGTCGTAACCAATAACGGGGTTCAAGCAGGTAACAAGCATCAGACTGATACAAATTAGTATGGAACGGAGAAGCCCAATAGAAGGCAAAGAAACTTACCTCTCGTGAAGGAGAGTGCTGATTCTGTCCTCGTTGGCCTGGAGACCGTGAACCAGGTTCTTCTCAAAGCTGGCCATGCCGTCGGCCAAGATGCGCACGCTGTGGAGCAGGTTGCGGATGATAGAAGGCTTGAAGACATTGAGCTCGAACTGGCCGTTCATACCACCAATGGTAGCGGCGACGTGGTTACCCATAACCTGGGAGCAAACCATGGTGAGGGACTCGCACTGGGTAGGGTTAACCTTGCCAGGCATGATCGACGAGCCGGGCTCGTTCTCAGGAAGAATCAGCTCGTTCAGACCGCAGCGAGGACCAGATCCGAGGTAACGGACGTCCTGAGCAATCTTGAAGAGCGAGCCGGCAAGAGTGTTGAGGGAACCGGAGGCCTCGACGACCGCGTCGTGTGCAGCCAGAACCTCGAACTTGTTGGGGGCGGTCTTGAACTCGGTACCGGTGAGCTTGGAAACCTCAGCGGCGATAGCCTCGTCGAAGCCCTTGAAAGTGTTCAGACCGGTACCGACAGCAGTACCACCCTGAGCGAGGTAGCGAAGGTGGGGAATGCTGGCCTCAACGCGCTCAATGTTGCGGTCGAGCTGAGCAACGTATCCGGAGAACTCCTGACCAAGGGTCAAGGGGGTAGCGTCCTGCAAGTGGGTACGACCGATCTTGATGATGTTGCTGAAGTTCTCAACCTTCACCTGAAGGGCGTTGCGCAGGCTTCTCAGAGAAGGCAGGAGGGTGTTTTCGAGCTCGACAACGGCGGCGATGTGCATGGCAGTGGGGAAGGAGTCGTTGGAAGAGGCAGACATGTTGACGTGGTCGTTGGGGTGGACGGGCTTCTTGGTACCCATGGTGCCACCGAGGATCTCAATGGCACGGTTCGAGATGACTTCGTTGGAGTTCATGTTGGACTGGGTGCCGGAGCCGGTCTGCCAAACGACAAGAGGGAAGTGGTCCAGCAACTTGCCTTCCGCGACCTCAGTGGCGGCCTGCTTGATGGCCTCACCAACCTTGGGGTCTTGAGCGCGTTGGTTAATGCTACCCTATCGCAATTATCCGGTGGGAATTGTTCTTACCAAGGCCAAAGTTCATGTTCACGGTAGCAGCAGCGCACTTCAGGGTACCGAAGGCCTTGATGACGGCCTCGGGCATACGGTCCTGGGGCTGGTTGATGTCGAAGTTGCCCAGGGAGCTGTTCTCCGTATCAGTATCCACCGAATTCACATAGCTATAGCTGTAACGCTTGTCAGATCTCGAATTGGCGCTTACCGCTGGGTCTGGGCACCCCAGTACTTGTCCCCGGGGACCTGTTTAGAGACGCAATTAAAGACTATACACAAGGCAATTGCAAAATGTGGGTAATTTACCTGGATCTCACCGAAAGCATCGCTCTCTGTCCGAGTTTCAGCAGCCTATACCATGCGCAACTGCGTTAGCAATGGCATTCCCAGTATTTCTCTCTCTGCTCCTCGCTAGACCTCCAGGCACACGGCGCACATACCATTCTGCCGGTGGTAGCAAAGGTTCTCTTGGAAAGGGTGTTAAAGGACTGGAGACGAGGGAACTGCTGGAGGGATCGGGTGTTGGAGCAGAGAGCGCGACGACTACTGAGAGAAGCGGGGGTACGAGGAACGAAAGCCACAGCAGCGCGGGCAACTGCGGGGGAGGAGCGCGTCACAGAAGCCACAGATCGCACGGCGGCTCGGGAGGAGAGGGCGGGGGAGACCATGATGACGACCGGCCAATGGATTCCTTTCCAGAATGGAATTGGAGAATGAATGTGAATCTGGAAGCGACAGCGACAACAATCTGAGAGAAGGTGAGGTTAATTAAGGCTTGTCTCCTCCGACTGTTTCTGCCGAATACACCCGGCCCGGTATCGGCATGACGCTGTTTCTATGCGTCTACTGTGTGCAAGTGCCGGTATTACCGTACCGTATGGTAAAGATCTTCTCCGGACACCTTCTTCCTATTTGGGTAATCTTCATTCTCTCCGGAGCACTCTTGCATCGTACTGTGTACAAGCTATTGCGTTGTGGAAGATAAACCCTTGGACTATGACTGAAGATTGCTCATTGTCTCTCTAGGGCGATATACCTTCAGAACCCAACACATCCTCGTCAAACAAGAACAAGATATAGCCTCAGTTCCACTCGTCCGGGTATACTGTTCTCGACTTGACTCTGGTGATGGATTGAATTGACGGATTGAATAACTGTCAAAAAGGATATTGACAAGGCAGCTTACTACAACCATGTTCTCAGTGTAACATGCTGCGGCGGGCTGCGACTCGAGAGCATCCCGTCAGTTAATTGCACGGTTTCGTCTGCAGGAGTGGTGGTTCATGTAAACATCCAAGAACCTGAGGATAACTACTATTCCATGGAATTGACGCACCGCTATCTGGCAGACACATGATATGCTAGCCGGGTGCATCTTTAGGGCATTACCGGAAGAGAGACAAAGAGATTGAGGACCCTAGGCATATTATCGTAATGCATGCCCATTGGCACAATTTATCCTAAATGTAGTATTAGTGCAGAACAGACGCTAGAATAATACCTGTTCTACTGCTCCATTCTTCTGTTGAGGTCGATTTGATATCCGTTGATGTCATAGATCCAACCCCACGTTTTGATATTGACGGGTTTTCCATGGAATATTCTAGCGTGCAAACTGCAATTGCACCTCAGGAGTAACTCTGATATTTCAGTAGTAACCAGGAACAAAAGTCTGCTTCTTTCCTGCCCTGATTCTCATTCACTTTACGATCTAGATCGACCCACAGCACAAAAGAAGCGGCGGTTTAGTCATCCGCCTTTGGCTCATCTCCAACTCCTCAACATACTTTTGCCATATTGAATAAACCAAGTCTCATAAACCGTCATTCTTTCTGGTGGAGCTGAATTTCTAAGACAAACGCACGCACCATGACGATCCTCGACAAAATGGGCCCAGCGGCCACAGACGAGATCTTCGACCTCAACCGTGAATTCTTCAACGACACCTACCCCGAGAAGGCCAGTCTGGGCGTGGGCGTCTTCCGCACAAACGAAGGTAAGCCATGGCCTCTCCCCGTAGTGCGCGAAGCCGAGCAGCGCCTCTTTGACGAGCAAAGCCTCTTCCGGCACGAGTACACGGCCATCGAAGGCGACATGGCCTTCGTCCGTCTCGCGCGGGACGTCCTGTTCAACTTCCACGGCAAAGAGGAGTCGGATGCGCAGAAGGCGGATAAAGAGCGGATCGCGTCTGTGCAGACTGTCGCGGGGACGGGCGCTAACCATCTCGGTGCGATATTTCTCGCGCGCAATATGAAGCCGAGTAAGGTGTGGTTGTCGGATCCGTCGTGGGCGAACCATGACACTATTTGGGATCAGGCGGGTGTGTCGCGCGCGAAGTACCCATATTACAACCCTGCGACGCGCCTGTTTGATTTTGAGGGTATGATGGCCGTGCTGGAGAAGGAGGGGCAGGAGGGCGATGTTATCCTTTTGCATGCGTCTGCGCATAACCCCACTGGTCTGGATCCCACCAAGGAGCAGTGGAAGGCCATCGCGGACCTGTGCGAGCGCAAGAAGATCTTCCCCTTCTTCGACTCGGCGTACCAGGGTTTTGCATCTGGTTCGCTCGAGGAGGACTCTTGGGCTGTGCGATACTTCTTCAACGAGAAGCCGCATCTGGAGATGTGCGTTGCGCAGAGTTTCTCCAAGAACTTCGGTCTCTACGGTCAGCGTGTTGGTGCCTTCCACTATGTCCTCAGCAACACTGAGAAGCAGCTGAACCGCACAGTCGTCGACAACCTGTGCCACTTGATCCGTGGCGAGTTCTCCATGGGTCCCTCCGGGGGATGCAGTATCGTCAAGAAGGTCCTGACGGACGAGAACTTGACTGCTCAGTGGCACGAGAACATGAGAGAGATGGCTTCTCGGATCCAGTCGATGCGTCGTGCTCTCTATGACGAGCTCGTGCGACTTGGAACTCCGGGTACCTGGGAACACATCGTGCAGCAGGTATGCCACTTTTGTCTCCTCATATGAAGTACAACCACTAACAATAAATCACAGAACGGAATGTTCTCCTACACCGGCCTGACCCCCGAACAAGTCCAAGCCCTGAAGGAGAAGTACCACGTCTACCTGCTTAAGTCCGGCAGAGCTTCCATCAGTGGCTGTAAGTTCACCTATTCCGTTGTCCTTGACACATATACTAATACATTGCTCTAGTGAGCACGAACAATGTCGCCTACATCGCCAAGGCTTTTGATGATGTTGTCCGGAATGTGAACTAGACGGTTGACGATACATGATTGGATAGGGATATTGATGCATGATATGACTTAGATGGCATTTATTTTGGATACGTTTGTCAACAATTCAAAGGCCATGTACAAAGAAATAGATGAATGATTTATTTGGTTACTCCAGACATTTGACATATTTAAAAGTTGTATTGAAGCTTCAGAACGTCAGCATCTGAAGTAAAATGCTGACAATCCTATACCATGTAACTACTGTACACATACCATCGAACACATAAAAGCAACAGAGGAGAAAAACATCCCGGAATGGTTGCCACTCGACAGTCATTCTATGGATTAAGTAGGAAGGCCCATGACACACTATACTACCGGATATAAAAAGTCATAAGACGCCAAACAACATAAGCCATTCATAGGAAGAAAGGAAGTATAAAAAATAAAAAGGGAAATAAGAAAGCAATCGGACACACTCCGTCTACTCAGTAGCCATCATCCATCATTAAAACCTAAAGGGGAACTTCGTTGAAATCTCCCTCGCTTTGTTTCCCCTTGAGCTTCTTCTCTCCATCGGCGGCAGGCTCTTCATTTTTGGATTTATCCTCTGGCGAAGCGTTTTCCGGTTCCTTCGCGGCTCCGTTCTGCTCGGGTTGTTCTTCCTTCTTAAGTTCTTCCTTCTCGTCTGGAGATGCGGTCTCTGACGGCTCAGATTCACCGTTTTTTTCGGGCTGGCTGCTAGGCCCCGGGGATTCTTCCTTCGGTTCTTCTTTCTCTGGGGCGTCTTCCTTTGGAGCGTCGTCCTTGGGAGGGGGAGGGGGCGGCGATTGCTCGTTTTCTGACTCCTCTTCCTCCTCTGCCTTGGGTTGACCATTCATGGGCTGTCCCGGGAAAGGAGTCACTGGCTGTTCACTTGTGGTAGACTGGTCACGTTCGCGCGAAGGCAGAGTCTGAAGGTTGGTCTGCGTCTGGTTCTGGGATGGAGCCTGGGTCTGGGCAGTTGTTGCTATCGAAGCTGTGGAGGCATTATGTTGGTGCTGCGACGATCCGTGAATCGGTCCTAGCTGCCGGGTCTTGGGGTCCGCATTCAGGTAGTAGCCCCGGACACTCACAATCGTGCCCTCCGCCTCACAGGCATCGACCCACTCCGGCAGCACTACGGGAATGTTCATCTCCACTGCCTTCTGCCACAGCGGGCCTCGTCCTTCCGTGCAGACAAAGTGGGTTGTGTCGATGCGAACGGTATCGATCAGCTTGCCTCCGATGCGGTCCAGTGCGGTTGCGAGTGCCTCCTTCTGCTGCGGGGGGAGGATGCCCGGTGTGACCGTGATTCCAGACAGATCCGTCATCTTGTGTGTCCGACAAGTCAACTTCTCCGACTGGTAAGTACCGGCAGTCGTGCGCAGCACCAGGTGGAAGGTGTATTCGGTATGAATAGCAAGTCCGCTGATCTTAGTACTCCGAGTCTCGGTGGGTCTTGGTATCGAGCCAGCTTTAGAGCCATTGCGGTAGAGAGACAGTGACTTGAGCGACGCTGTTGCCAGATCGATAGGATCCCATTCCAGGACCAGCGATGTCTGCGTGGCATTTCGGAGGCGGAGGATGGGCGGCGACGGGGTTTTGATACCATAGGTGTTCAAAATACGTTTCTGAAGAGACTGGAAGTCGGATGCGCTGGTGGCTTCAGCGGCATGATTGCGCGCTACTGTAATGTCGACGATGCTGCCAGAGGCGATGTTGTTGGGTAGGAGGACGGAGGGGAATTCGATCTAGCCAAGGGGAGAAGCCAAATCAATTAGCGGTTGTTCACAATTAATTTGACACATGCTTCATTTTATTCCATGTAATCTCCAGTAAATTCTTGAAGAAGACGTGCAGAAGCAAGACTGGACTCGCGATCAATCACTGCGCAAAGGGGAAACGTGAGCTTACGAGGCGGTTGTCCTGGGTCAGGAGCACAGCGACTCCAGCGTCTACCTTGCCAACGGTCAAGGAGACCAACATATTGGGTATTCGAGTCCGTGAGATCAATGATTTGGGGGAAAGATATGAAAAGAAAAAAAAAAAAAAAAAAAAACCGCGGGGTGTCAAAGTTGAATTTATTGAGATAGTTTTGTTTGGCCGTCCGTTGTCCGGAGAAAGAGGGAGGTGATTATTGTTCCTGATCGGCCGTTGGCGAATAGGCGCCAAGAGGAATGCGACGACTTCCCGTCTATGTTTAGTACAACAATGATATTCATAATTACGATGACTATGGTTATGTACTTGCACAGTGGACGAGTCATTTCTTTGTTGAGCCAATCGAGGTTACGTGGTGTATATATATCCAACTTTTCTGAGTCACATGCCACATATATAGCCCTGACAGCACATCATTATACACATACAAAGTACATATTTACAAAAGAATCATGATCAGTACCATATCATCTAGTATCCAACACGCGTTCTCGCTTCTTGTGGCTATTCGAATCGCCGCTAGGCCTATTCTGCTGTCTTTTTGCTCGTAGCAAGGCATCAAGGGCCGAACTCATCTCTCTCTGAATCGTGGGATACTGTTCTTTGATGGTTGCCTCACGAACGAGAATCTCGAACGACCCCGTCAGATTCCCGCCCATCTTAGTCTTCCCTGAACCCCGAGCATTGTCCAATATCCTCCGGCCTTCCCGATCAAACCCTCGCGCCTCCAAAGCCTGCTCAAACGCAAGACGAGTTCTCCTAGCACTCCACGAACGAACCACGCGGCGATACGGCTGCAAGGGGTATATTGCAACTCTCCACCATAATGTATTTTGATCTCTGATATCGCACATATGGGCAACTTTGGGTCGAAGTGGATGAAAGGGTGCCCCTAGATACCGTTTTGCGATGGGAGGTATAAGCGCTTTCGGATCATACCGTATAGAGTAGAGATTTGTCGATGCAATTAGTTTCATTTTGTTCTTTCCTCAGTGCCCTAAAAGGGACACGAGCCACAGCTCTGTCGTTGTTTTCGCGGAGCACTGCACACTCGTCGGCCGATTGAGGAGCGCCACTTCGCGGCTCCCCAACGGCGAAGCAAGTTGGAGAAAGAGAAGCAAGGAGAATGCACAAGTGAAAGAGCTGCTTGGAAATTGACAAATAGGGTTCAGAATAGGAGGAATTCCCGTAACAAAGTGTGCCCTTTCTTTGCGATTTCCATCAAAATCCATGGATACTTTCCCTTTTCGCCGGCAAAACAGTAGGCGGTGAGCATGCATACAGCATCATTGGTTTATATCCGTGGCAAGCCTTAGGCAGCATTCAGGCCACCCGCCACATCGGGCTCCCCACTATACATTTAAAAGAACTCGAAATTCCATCCTCCGCTCGCTCTCGACACTTTCCCCCACTTTCCTCATTCTCAACCGACACAGGTACGCACTTAACACAACATCCCCCCGATACCTATCTCCAGGAGGTTATTGACTTGGTTTTCCACACAGCGTTAATTCGCCATGCCCAAGAACAAGGGAAAGGTGCGTTTACGAATTTTTCCCCTTCCGTGACAAAGAATATCAGCCGCCTCGCCTATCTGATTTTTTTCGCCTTTCACTTTGCCGTGATTTCTATGTCCACCAGCACCGCCTGAAGGAAGCAAATTGCGTGGCAAAGAAAGAGGCGAGAGAATGGAACGAATGGGGCTGGCATAATGAAATTTCCTCGGTTTAGAACACACGCTAACTCTTCGTACAGGGCGGTAAGAACCGCCGACGTGGTAAGAACGAAAACGACAACGAGAAGCGCGAACTCGTCTTCAAGGAGGAAGGCCAGGAGTATGCGCAGGTCGTGAAGATGCTGGGTAACGGCCGTCTGGAGGCTCTTTGCTTCGACGGTGAGAAGCGTCTGGCACACATTCGTGGCAAGCTCAGGAAGAAGGTCTGGATCAACCAGGGTGACATTATTCTCCTCTCTCTGCGTGAATACCAGGACGAAAAGGGCGACGTTATCATGAAGTACACCGCCGATGAGGCCAGAAGTCTCAAGGCCTACGGCGAGTTGCCTGAGAACGCCAAGATCAACGAGACCGACACCTACGGCCAAGAAGGACTCGAGGACAACGTCGAGTTCGACGAGGACCGTGAGAGTGACGAAGAAGACAAGGAGATCGATGTTGACGACCTCTAAATCACCTTCCTCCCTCATTCCCCCTATTTATTCAGCCTTGCAGGAGTCACTGGGCTTGCTTCTACCTCTCCTACGACCAGCCTTTTTCGCCGTTGGTTTTCCCCTGCACCGTGGTCCAATCCAAAACGACAACCAATCCTTTCGGAATGTTATGATTTCTCTAGTTGGCATTGTATATAACCATGTCGGCCATCTTTCGAAACGGTGACAACGAGATCGGATCTGCGGCGTGCCATGCTTCGATTTACGACTTCCTCTTTTTTTTTATCGATACCCAGTGCTGCTCTTTCAAGATACCCAGGGCATGAATCATTAACAGGGGGAATCCTGATGTTCGCCCATGACTGGAAATGGATTATAGATTACGACTTTTCGGGATCATTTTCTGTTATGAATTGGCGTTCTTAGGATTTATGCAGAAGAAACGGTTGCAATGCGCATGGATAGGACGGACTGCATTTTGCATGTGGCGTGTCGTGTTTTCGTGTCGGCAATTGTTTTTTCTGTCTTTCTCATTGTTCTTCCTTGTTTTGTTTTTGAAAATAATGATAGATTGATGAGAAGGGTATGAAAATATAATTTCTAAAAGCCACTCAATACTTAAACTCGTAGTATTTTATTCGTAATTGTTTATCAGATCTAGACTATCTCCTAAGACAAAGGGTATCCAGTGAAGCCCTCCTATTGAACTCTACAGCGAGATCCTCGACATAACAAGATCTTTATGGATTGTCTAGATTATCTCGTTATAGTGGTCTCGCTGTAAAATAACCTATTTCCGATAAATCATGAATTATATCCAAACTAGACAAAACAAACACAAACCAACTACGTCTCCTCAAACACACTCTTCCGAAAGAACCCAACAATCTTCCTCGCAGCCTCCTTCCCAATCAACGGATCCAACTGCTCCACATCCATATTCGCAACCTCACTAATATTCCCCGTCTCCAGAATTAACCTCTCCAGCGCCTGCGGCGTCACACCAGGCACAGCACGGAGCATTTCCTGCGGTAGGAAGTTGAAGATGCGGTGTTCAATACCTGCGGCGGCCATCATGTTTCCTGTTCCTCCAGGAGCTGCTGCTGAAGCTGTGACTGGGTCCATCTCGACGTCGAGACCGATTTGGACAGCTTTGATGGGATCTGGCTCGGGGCTGTTCTTTTTGAGTTCTGCGAAAATCTCGGCTGTTTGGTAGGGCGAGGAGGACCAGATGATTTTTAAGCGGGGGAAGGTGATTGTTAAGAGGACGAGGAGGTGTTGTGCGGATTTCGGGCTGGAGGCGTTGACGAGGGAGCTGCTTGCTGAGACGGAGGTGGTCATTGCACCTGAGGATGAGAAGCCGTAGTCCGTTAGGAAGGTTGTGCCTGGGGTTGCGGCGGAGGTAAATGCGTCGAAAGTGAAGGATTTGCTCTCGTCGAATTCGATTAGGAGTAAGGGGTTTGTATAGTGTTGGAGCATGGTTTCGGCTTGGTTGTAGAGACGGCCGTTACGTAGGGAGGTGATTAGGTCGCGGACTGATTTTCGTTCGACGCAAATGTCTGGAGTGAGGACGTAGTCGCCGACGGTTAGTTGGCATGGGACGATAATCATGCTGTTTCCGTGGAGCAAGGATGGTAGGGCGCTTCGGAACTCTCGAACGTCCACGACAACTCGTGGTGGCGACGCCGTTGCTGCCAGTCTACCACCTCCAGCAATGCGTGTGTTCACGGTTCGGAGGAATTGCTCCTGAGGGTCTTCCATGCTCTTGTCATGGGTGAGGGTGACGGCCATGTTCTTGAGGTGATAATATTAGCAAGAAGCCCTTTAGTAATTACCTGATGATATGCAAACTTACTCCTTTCTCTTTGATGAGCTTACTGAACGAATCCTTCTCACGTCTCACTGCACTCAGGTATCGTTGTTCTTCGACTGATCCTCCATAATAGATGAAGTACACCTTCACGTCTCGTCCAACATGGGAGCTGCGGTAGACCTCGACTCGTCGGATAAACGCAGGATCTGGTTCGTACATGATTATGTATCGTGGCCGAACCTCTTCCAAGATATGCTCGTCCATGTCACCGTCATATGGATGCACCACGACCAGATCATTCATATCATACAGTTCGTAGAAGTTATCCATGTCTTCTAGAACATCAATGACAATCTCCTCCTTTTGGGTCTCCTCAACTTCTGTGGGTTGAATTTCATCCAGTAAGCTGGTTACTTGGTCTGGCAATTCAACCTCCGTTTGCACGCTGCTGTTCGGTACACGACCTGCAGCCGAGGAGACAGCGCCGCCACCACGCACCCGGCGTCGTTTATTCGGAGGAGCCTTTCCTTGTTGACTTGGCGTTCCCGGTTGAGCCTGGTTCTTGCCCGCCTGTGACTCGTTGGTGGCTTTGGTGGATAGATTTCTATTGACATTCGAGAGAGAACGCTTCCAGTCCAGGTATTCTCGCAACCTTCGTCGCATCATGATTTCTGCAGAACTCTGGGTGCTTTCGCTTGAGATATCCTCTGGATCATTATCAACCTTGGCGTGCATCGTCCCGAGATACTCTCGAATCTGCCGACAGGTTCTTTGATCGCTGCACATGATCAGTGTGGTGTTGTTGGATTCATCCATACTTGCTGGGTTGAAGTAAGTATCATGCTCAATCTCTTCCAGCACTTCCGTTAGGACTTTCCATTTGGGTTGCTCTTCTAGAATGGGTTGAAGTGTGGAAGGGAAAGGGCTCGAAGACAAGTGGTTTATTTCGTGGCTTATCTTCCCTTGATATACCCTAGACTTTGCCGTTTGGAAAAGGACGTGGGCAGCATCAAGGAAAAGCCAAGGCGAAAAGTTATGCCTGCTCGAGCCGGGAGGCGGAGAATTTGCAGCAACAATGGTGTCGAGATATTTGACGAACGAAACAGCATCGTATGTAAGCAAAGCGCTAGCCAAGTTAATAAAAAGGGAGATCATCTGGGATGGTAAGACTACTTTTGGTGAACGTACTGAAGGATTGCCCGCAGATCCGTCAGATCGTTAACAATCTGCCGGGTCCTGAAGCTCACGCGATGCCAAATATGGTCAAGTTGGCGCCTGATGGCGATGTCGAAGCTCCTGTGCAAGGCGCTGTCTAGTGTCCAATCTTCCACATCGATTCCTGTATTCGCTTTCTTCAGCTCGCTGATGCTGATTTCGACACATTCAAGAACGGCATTCTGAATCTCGCGCATCTTATCCGTCATCGGGACTTCTAGCTCAATAACTTCGGCTTTCCGCCGTCCCTCCAGCGACTCCGCAACAGTGATGTGAAATCGTGGCCATAGGGAAGCCTTGCGCAGGAAGGTATTGCGCAACGAGTTGGCCAGAGGCGCAAACCCGGTTGTGAAAGGCTCTGGTGAATCCGAGAAAGCTTTGAAAAAGCCCAACTTGTTGGCTTGCCGATAGATTCGGATAATGAAAGCTTCAGTTGAAGTGGCCACGATCTTGTCGGCATGTAGAATGACCATTCCGGTAATCTTTTCGGGGTCAAGGAGTCCTGAACCGATTGCAGTTAGCGCGCGCTGTGCTGCTCCCCAGTGCGGCGTCAACATACTCGACAAGAGATCAACGACAAGTATCCTGGATGTTACACTCAAAATACCACCCTCTGCGTAGAGTTTCTCTCTGGACTATCGTTAGTCCCTTCGCCCTAGTCGATTGTCTGAATCCTCACGAATTACATACCGCATCGGTAAAGTTGCTCTCTCCGTGTTGATGACCTTGAGACCCCGAGCGAGAGGTGTCTTGCTGATGGCATAGTGCTCTGCCAATGCTTTGGAACGGTCAGTACCTTTGCTCGCGTCCATCCACTATAGTAGCATACCCTCTCCGATCCACTCATTCTCTCGATCATCTGCACCAACTACCAGCACCAGATTATTTCCAGCGGCATCGTAAAAATGCAGTAGATTCGTCACCAAGCGTAGCAGCCCAAGGCCGCGAGCCAGGATGACCAGCTCATCCTCTCCGCGGAGTTCGGTGAAGATGTCCTGCTGATATTGCTTTGAATCGGTTCAGTCAGCACTTGATAGGGGCTCTTAAATTACAAAATAGTGCAAGGACAAGGCATACCAGCGGTAGGGACAGCTTCACCGGGACATTTGTGCGTTCAGGTGGCATGAGGAGCCTTTTGACGCGGCGAAAACGTTCTTGAAGCTATTCCGCGATAGAGCACCGCGCAATCACGTGTCTATGATGCAATCGGCAGAGGGCTACGGATCACTATATAGGATATTCGATAACTCCAGGGGCTACTCCGTACACGAGTACATTGAGTTAAACATAGCTTTACCAACAGTCAATTAGTCTATTGAAGTGGAATCTGGAACAATGCCATTATAAGCACATGATATTCTAGCAGTAATACTATCTACTTGACCTGCCCTGCTATTTATCGCATTCATATCCAATCACCAGCGTTGCCATCTAGTCTCATCAATATCATCGTTCGATCCCTGATCTCCTCTGTTCATACTTTGCGCGGCATACCTAAGAACCACAGTAGTCAGCCAGTGTATTATCTTGTCATCCAACCCAGAATCATCACGTACTCTCCGGATCCTGAAGAATAGTCGTTGCTTTTCGTTGCCAACTGCCACTGACCCTGCCAATCCCATGCGCTCTGGTTTTGAGATGAGTTGTCGCTGCTATTGCTGCTGTACTTGTCGGCTTGCTCGTATAGATAGCTAGTAGGGTCCCAGGAATCCGACATATTGGCAATGCAATAATCTGTGGCGATAATGTAGTAGTCGTAGAATCTCTGCTATCTCTGCTATGGATTCAATATGAGAGCAAGATGTAGGGGATCTTATATACCCAGTGGGGGCAATTCCACCCCGGATGACGTTAAACCCTTATAAGACCGGGAACTCAGATACAGCGAATGACGCTACAATTAAGAGAGATCATTCGATTCATCTGGTTCTTCGACCGAACTAGCTGCGTCCAAGGGTAGTAATGGTGAAGTCTGTCCCCTGGGTTGGATTCCTGAGGAAGAACATCTCCAGGTTCCAAGAAGGGTAAGGAGAGAGAGAGAGAGAGGGAAAAAAAAAAAGGCTGATTGCGAACAATGCAATTATTTCGACCAGCAAATTATTCCTTATAGTCTATGACCATCAACGGTGGAAAAATAAGCCGTAGTTGTTCTACTAGAGAAGCGACTATCGCTGTTCTCCGTAATAAGGGAGTTCCCCACCAAACCGCGCCCTCTCTCTCTCGCTCGCTCGCTCTCTCTTTCTTCCTTCTCCTCTCCCTCTCACCACTTCCCCAAGCTTAGCGACAACAATATAGCCACTCCCTTGTCTTTTCACCTTCGTTTCGTTTCCATTGATATTCCTGTTCTTATTTGGGCATAAGGTCCCTTCTTTGCCACACCCGGAAATCCCGTGCCTGGGCGCACTTGGAGTCTGCCTGGTGCCCGAGTCTCTGCGCCGATTGCCTCTGCAATGTGTCCTCCCAGATTCGTTTAATTCAGCTCTACCAGTGCTACGACAGCTTCTCTGCCCCGTTTGGGCTTCTCATACACTTCCCCCTTCACCTCTCCGTCTTTGTTTCCCCTGCGTCATCGAGCAGTGATCCGTCATGCCATCCATCCTCAGTGACGCCGACAAGGAGACAGTCAAACGAAATGTCCCTAAGCCATCGAACAAAATTCACGCTGTAGCAGTCGCGCGACTGTATGTCGCCCATCCAGATCCTCAGAGATGGGTCTACACGGGTTTGCAGGGTGCTGCGGTGCTTGCGAATGATCTCGTCGGGCGTACCTTTTGGCTGAAGATGGTCGATGTCTCGGTAAGCGCCTACTGCTAAGCTCCCTTACAAAGGATCGCTGACTGATGCGCTTTTCTTCTGAGTTATAGCCTGTCGGAAGAGGCGTTATATGGGACCAAGAGATATACGACAATTTCCATTACAACCAAGACCGGACATTCTTCCATACGTTCGAGCTCGAAGACTGCCCGGCCGGTCTATCGTTCGCCGATGAGAAAGAGGCCAAAACGTTCATCAAGAAGTTTCACGAGCGGGAGAAGAATGCCAGCAAAGAGACCAGACAGACGCCCTTTGCCTCGACTCGTGGTCAAGGTCCCGCTCCTGTGATGAATGGCAAAGGCGGCATGGGACGCTCGATTTTCGGTAGCTTGCTGGGCCATCGATCATCATCAGTACCAAGTGGACCTCCTCCCCCAGCGCCTGCAGCAACCTCCGCGCCTTCAATCCAGGTCGCTCCTCCCCCGCCTCCTCCGTCAGCCAGTCCGTCACGCAAAGAACTGCCTTTCGACACCAGTGACCCGTCTTGGAAAGGCCTTCTGGATGAACTGATGCAGATGGGAATTACCGAAGACCAGATTGCTGAGAATTCTGACTTCATCAAGGCGTATATCGACCAGAAGCAGGCTGCGGAGGATGAAAATCAGAAGAAAGGAAAAGCTCCGCCTCCGCCTCCTCCCTCCGCACCTCCTGCCCCCAAGGTTAGCCCCCAGAGCACTGGCAACAGCTTAGGTAGTCGACGAGGTGCTCCTCCTCCGCCGCCCCCGTCTCGAAGGACTCGCCCCGACGCGCAGGAGGATGGTGCGTCAGCCTCACCGCGTGAACCGTCACCACCCCGGCCCAAGTTCCGAGCACCGCCGCCAATTGCAGATGCTGGCAGATTTGCGCAGGGTACTAGCCCAGCGCCTGGCACGCGTTCACGAGCAAGCTCTGGAGCGAATCCTGCACCCCCACCTCCTCCGCGGCCTCCAAAGACGCCAATGGAGGACAGCGCTCCTCGATTTGGAATCCCTCCTCCCTTCCAAGGAGAGCGCAAGGTGTCAGCACCACCGGCACCACCCAGTCGAAGTCCGGCACCTCCAGGGCCTCCGCCGCCTCCACCTCGTACAACAAGCCCTGCGGCACAACCACCCCTTCCTCCCAAGGTCCCTCACGGACCACCTCCGCCAGTTAGAAATCCAGTTCCGCCTCCCCCGACGAGAAGTCCAGCATCACCTCCTCCGCCTCCACCTGTTCCTACTGCTTCTCGGCCCACTCCTCCTACAACTACTGCACCACCAGCCCCTCCACCTCCACCCCCTGTTACAACCACCCCACCGCCGCCTCCACCCTCCACAGGCGGTCTTCCTCCACGTCCTCCACCTCCGCCAGTGAACACTGCTCCCCCTCCACCTCCGCCGGCGCCGGCGCCGCCAGCATGCATCGGTCCGCCAGCTCCTCCACCTCCACCGCCGCCGGCACCTGGCGCTGGCGCTGGCGCTCCCCCGCCGCCTCCACCACCACCACCGGGTGCTGGTGCGCCTCCACCTCCTCCCCCTGCTGGCGGCGCTCCACCGCTGCCCAAGCCCGCTGGTGGAAGGGATGATCTCTTGGCCTCGATTAGAGCTTCAGGAGGAAAGGGTGGTGGTGGTTTACGGAAGGTCGGCGATACAGAGAAGAAAGATCGGAGTGGGGCTCATGTGCCTGGAGGTGCTAATGAATCGTCATCTGGAACTCCAAGCGGTGGCGGTGCTCCTCAAGGAGGCTTGGCAGGGGCGTTGCAAGATGCACTGGCAAAGCGAAAGCAGAAGGTCAGCGGTAGTGGTAAGTATTCTATTCCATGTATTACCGCCTTATACAACATGTTCTAATTGCATTCACAGATGATGAGAAGGACGATGATGACGACTGGTAAGCTGTCGCTTGCCTTGACCACTATCATTGTATCCTCACTGGTCGACTTATGGTTATCGGGTGGATTCATGGACTCTGGTGTCATGGGGAAACCTTGCATAATGAGTATGGGTTTCTTTCAACGGTGGTTCACGGATTCGTCAAAAACTTTTGTTTCAAGGCATACATCCAGTAGGCGAATAGCACAGGTCTTTACGCATAGTCTTTGCGTCGGTGCAAATACAAAAGAACGGCTTGCAGAAAGGCATTCGATTATTCTGTCCGGAGTAGAGTCATAGCTGTAGTTCTGGAATACATTTTGCCGTTTTTGGAAAGGTCGGATCAACTTTGAGCCGCCCGCCGCGACCCCGATGGAAAAAAAGACGAGCCGGTTTGCTTTCCATGATTGCCCCGACAAGAACTAACGATATTAATTCGTTAAGTGAAACAAAAGACAGCATCAAATAACGGCTGCTGGGCGTGCGGCACTATTAGGAAAGACAGATATGCTGTCTCCCTCGCCGTTGAAGCCCTCCGCTCCATCAGCGTCACTCCTCCGATTTCTGCGCTCTCAAACCGATTATTTCACAGCCAATCCGTCAACATGCCTCCGTTCTACAACATGCTCCAAAGGTCGACCATCGCGCGCCTGGAGAACATCAAATTGGACAAACCTTGACCCTGTGCCATGTAGAGCAACAGTCGAAGCAAACCTTTTCGCCATCCCGAACCTCTCGACCAAAAAGCATACTTCTTCGCGAGATCGATGCGCACTCGACAAGGAAGAACCAATCCAACTATCACTTTCGCCTCTTAACCCTTCGTCTTCACGAGCTGCGTCGACAAAGAGCCGACCGCTACTGCGCAGGCTTTTTGATCTGAGGCGTAGCAAAGAATCGGACACCAAAGGGAAATCCAACCGATCTGGGCCCGCGCTGATCGACGACGGGACAGAGTCGAGTTTCAATATTGGGCGCGGATTAGTATCCAAGGCGACAAATGAATTGCGATTGCGATGCACCGAGTTTGATAATAATGGGAATGTCACGCTTGTCAACGGGGAGTTCAGGAAAAGTGAATTGATCGCGAAAGTTTGTCTATCAGCCATTTTCGGTCTATTCTAACCGATATCGCGAGAAAGCAAGTCGCTGACCAGAATGTCGAATGATAGTACGGTTTACTTCCTCGAGATCTTCGCAAAATCGATTCCTCGACCCTGCCCCACATCCTTGTCCGGCCGAGCGCTATCCTCATCAATCTCTTGCATCTTCGAGTCCTGATCAAAGCTGATCGGGTTCTTGTGTTTGACGCCTATGGATCGACAGACTCTTACATGCAATCGTTGTTCGTTTACGACCTGGAGGGGAAACTTCGACAGAAGCAGGCCCAAAGTGCAGGTGCCCTACCCTATGAATTCCGCGCCCTGGAGGCGGTATTGATCAGCGTTACTGCCGGGTTAGAAGAAGAGTTCAATGGCGTCAGAGACCCGGTTGTGCGGGTTCTTCGAGCTTTGGAAGAGGATATTGATCGGGACAAGCTGCGTCACCTTCTGATCTATTCCAAGAGGCTGGGTACCTTTGAACAGAAAGCAAGGCTAGTCCGAGACGCTATTGACGATCTCCTGGAGGCAGATGATGATTTGACTTCCATGTATTTGACCGAGAGATCTCAAGGAATGCAGCGAACAGATGATGATCACCAAGAAGTTGAGATGCTGCTCGAGTCATACCACAAGGTCTGTGATGAAATTGTCCAGGCTAGCGGCAACTTGGTTACTGGTATTCGGAACACTGAGGAAGTGTAAGTTGATCCTCGTCAACCTGGCGCATATAGAATCTAACCCGATGCAGTGTCAAAGCGATTCTCGACGCAAACCGCAACTCCCTCATGCTTCTCGATCTCAAGTTCAGCATCGGTACACTCGGTCTGGCCACCGGAACCCTCTACGCCGGTCTCTACGGAATGAACTTGAAGAACTTCATCGAAGAATCCGACTTTGGTTTTGGCGGTGTCTCCGTGACCTGCTTCGCAATCACCGCAGTCGTCTGCGTCTACGGACTCCACAAGCTCCGCAAGCTCCAACGCGTCCGGATGTGGGGTGAATCCGGCGTTGGGGGAGCCCCCATCGCACCTCTCGCCAGCAGTGTCGGCCACCGGTCCAACTGGCGAGCCGACTCGATCGAACCGGTCTGGGGCAGCTACCCCGGTGAAGGACGGGTTGAAAGAATCAAGCGTCTTAAGGAAGGTGCCGCTGCGACTGCTGCTAAATCGGCTGCGTCTGATGCGACAGCAACCAAAGCGTCGGATATCATGAATAAGATGGAGTACACGAGACGTGTTCGCGAAGATGCCTCGACGCACGGGTCGACGGAGCACTATCCCTCTCGTGACAGAGATCACAAGGGTTCCTCTTCCTCTTGAGAGGTTGTCTACTTCCTCCTTTTACCTTTATTTTGTGATACCATCATGCAAACCATTACAACATCCAAGGCAATTCCCGTCATGAACCTGGGCAAATTGTCTTGAGAAAAGCTACATACCTTTCCTTCTCATTTCTTGTTTGGAGTCACTCGACTATAGAAGGCGTTTAATCTGGGGTTTTTGAATATGATCGGTGAGTGGGGGTAGCATAACATTGTTCTCATAATCTTATCTCACTTGCGAGTTATGCTACCTTCATGCCTGTATGATTAGAGCTCCCATCTCCTTTCCATTTGGTTGCGTTTTGAATCTCGAGGATTCGAAAGCAACAGAGAACACGGCCCAATTTGACCTGGTTTGGCCTCAATCTCTGAGAAAGCTACGGGAGAAACGGTATTAATGGATCTCCCTGTATGTATGTACTTATACGAGAAAATATCATGACCCTTCTTCAGAATACCTTCACTAGACGCTCGTAATCATTCACTATTTCCTTTCTACTGAATGGCTTAGCTCCCCTTCTTTCTCCCCTAATCTACTCCATCTGTCTTCCATCCTTCCCTTGCTTCCGATTCTGACTCTTTGTTCCATCTCACTACCCAGACACTCTGCCAAGCCGTGCCAATCGAATATAACGAGGATAATCTTATCAGAAACGCAAGCCACTGACCGACCTGAAACCGCGTAGGAGAAAAGACGCGCACAAGCATATTACGAGGCCTGGAAGAACAAGACTGGAAACTTAGGTGCTGTTATGCAGAGGGAACGCCCCCTTTTTTTGAGGTTGAGAAAAAAGACACCATGAGCAATTCTTTGAATTACTCTCCTTAAGCTGGGAAATCCTTTCAGAGGCACACACAGTCCAAGTGGACATTCCTCGACCTGGGGTTCGAGCACCGCACGCGGTGGTGGAAGCAACTGAAACGAGAAGACGTCGTCAATTACCACATCGCTTGTCCCGACTGGATCACTGCTCGCGCGCAGACCACGAAGCCCAGCGATATTGTGACTATTATTCTCATTGGATACGGTTCCTCGACCGGGATTCACCTAGGAGGTTCTGTGCTAAACCGCTGTCATTGGCAACGGCATGTAGCCTGCTACATTCCGGGAAGTCCCTGTGCAGGCTACATTCTCGAAGAACTAGATTATGGCTAGAACGATGAGGGTGACAGGCGATAGAAGCTTTTACGCATAAAACATGCCTGTCACCCATCAAGCCAGAACCCAGAGCTGTTCCGGTTCAATCAGCCCTGTCACCTGGTGCCTCGTGGATTCTACATTGCGGGAAGACACTCTGCATCACATATGAAAACTGTTTTATACATACACTTGGCAGCCTGAGGTAGCTCTGAGTATAACTCATCACTCCTATTCCAAATCATGTTTAATTCATGCGTAGTGCAATCCCTGAGGATCTTCAGTGACACCTGTGAAAACAGCTCTTGATCTGGAAAGAAGTGCGCTGCAACAAGCAAAAGGTTGTATGCATGGGCGTTCGCAGTTTTGATTGACGCAATGATTCTCTCACACCATATTTTTATCTAAGGCATGAGTGCTTTAGCACAATCATACTTGTCATAAAGAACGGCAATCTCGGCCAGCATCTGCGCATCCACCTTCTCAAGTTCCCTGAAATGGAATACCCCCAACATTATCCGCATCGCATCTGAATAGTCATCGTTGAGCGTGATCTCAGGGCGGATGCTTTTGATTATCTTGATTCCTTCGGAGAACTTGCGCGAGAAAAGTGCTGCAAATACCGGGGATGCGAGTGCGAGGGCTTTGGATGACACGAGGAGTTTTCTTGTGCTTTGAGGCGATTCGCCTGTCACCACGAGGATGACGTCCCCGTTTGAGTCGAGTTCTTCGATGGGGACATTGTCTGCGGGTAGTGCATCTTTTGCCATGGTGGGGGAGGTTGAAGATTATATTCAGTTTTAAAATCATTGCAGAGGGGTATTTGTAGTGCTGAGAATCTGATGTTGTGATGATGCGTAGATTGTCAGTAATCTGAGTGTGGTGGTCTTATGAAACAGGGTGACGCAGGTCTTCTTTTCTCAAAATTACACTCTCCGGTGCAGTACACGACACAGATACTCAACACTTTTACAACTCATCACGCTTCTGCTCCCGAAGCTTATACATAGCCACACCATGAGGTCTCACAGTCGCCTTCACAGCCCCCCTCGGACCAACAGACCCAATCTTCGACCCCATCAAGTGCTTATATGACGAAGACGACACATCCGAGTAGACCTTCTCCGCGCCGTCATGCGCAGTAACCCCGACGACGGAGCAGTTACGTTCTTACCCCCACCATGAACAATCGCAGAAGCAGTCGTGTTGCTTATCCGGTTCGCCCAGAGATCGTAAATATCCCATGAGCAATCGCAGAAGCAGTCGTGTTGCTCATCCGGTTCGCCCAGAGATCGTAAATATCCCATGAACTAGCAGCCTGTGCCGCAGTGTCCTTCACGCCTTCGTCCCAGAAGATTTCCGCGAGGGAGACGGTCATCTCGCGGGTCTTGGTGCCTGCGTTTAAGAGCAAGATGACTTGGTCGCCGCTGCTAAGTGAGCCGCTGTAGAGTTGGATCTCGCCCTTCTTGCCGTATTTGTCGATTTCGTCTGCGCCAGCGGCGGATGGTGGGTGCAGAGGCGGGGTCTTGGTTGATGGCGATAACGGCGGGGTTTGGGAGGATGGAGAGGGTTTGGGGATCGATTTGGGTCATGATGTTGCTCATCATTAGGGGGGATTTGACGGCTGTCCAGAGACTGGAGTGGGAGGTTTATTCGTCGTCTGTTAGACCGCCGTTTCCGACCTTTTTTTTTCACGTTAGTGTCTCAAATCAGGTACATTGGTAGATACGAGTTGGTGAACATACGAAGCAAGTCAAGACCAGTCCAAGCACCCGCATACGCCTTGGACGGCATAAACGCAGCCATATCCAGCACATTCATAATCGAGCAGTGATATCCCGGTAACTTGCAGTCGAGTCCTTCCTTCTGCAGGGACAGTTGGGACCATCCCGATTCCACACATTAATCAGGTCTCCGGAAGTTCTCCAGGAGTTGGAGGTCGTAGGCGCAAAGTTCCAGGGCCCGTCGACACCCCAGTTGTACATGGAGTAGACGATTAGTTGGCCGGTTGAGTTAAGAGCCTTGCTCATGGCGTTGTAACGGTCAAATGACAGTTTGGAGGTTCCTCCTTGGCCTTCATTGTAGCAGTTGTCGTATTTGAGGTAGTCGACCTAGCTATAGTCAACATCAATCGCAAGGCGGGTTGTTTAGAGGGTGGGAGATTAACACCCCAACTAGCCCAAACATCCGCATCCTTCTGCTCATATCCCAACGACCCTTCATACCGCGCACAAGTCATAGATCCAGCACTAGGGTAAATACCGACTTTCAATCCCAGCTCGTGAATCTTTTCAGCCACGTGCGCAATGCCATTGGGGAACTTCTTCTTGTCGTGCACGAGGTATCCGGAGGAGTTTCTTCCAGCAGACCAGCAGTCATCCATGACGACGTATTTGTAACCCAGGTCCTTGGATCCGAGATCGACGATTCTTCGCGCAGCGTCGAAGATGACGGTTTCATTCATGTCACAGGCGAAGGAGTTCCAGATGTTCTGGGGATGGTCAGTACAAGCTTGGGGTAGTGCGCGTAATTGGAGGCATACGCATCCCAACTGCGGCTTCAAAGCCAGTCCGTTATCCAATGCATTGACACCTAAGCTGTAAAGTGCTTCTGTTAGGAGGAGAGGAGAGAAGGCCCTCATCTTGATTTGTTTGGAGGCAGACTAAAGACAGACGCAATGGCTTGAGAAAGAAAAAGAAATAAAATTCGCATCCCCGCGACTTCCAATAGCTATATATGATTTCCTGCAGAGACAAACATATCTTCCCAGCAAGGAGCGCATAGACACCAACAACCCTCCCTGCGGCTTTCCCACCATCGTACGGAGCACGGAGTACGGAGTACAATGTCTGGGGAAATCCATGAAGAGGCGGGGATGAACCGGACCACTTCGCTCAACTTGCAAACCAGTGAACTCAAGCAACAGGCCAAGAAAGCAAACGGCCAGCAAGCTGAGCATAACAGCAGTAATATGGAGTCGGTTCCTGTATCTAGCGGAAGAATATCGGAGGATATTTTTGCAAATCTCCATAGCTCCACCCCGCATTTCGGCGTCATGGCAGCAGCAGCAGCAGCAGCAGCAGCAGCAGGGGAAATCTCTCAATCGGAGAATTACCGGAGTATATACTCTGTATGCACTGTCATCAATGCCGTTGACTCTGTCCCCAGCCGCTGTGGATGCCTTTAGCTCGCTCCTTCCAAACTCTGGCTGCTTCTTGCAGGCCTCCTTCTCGGGCACATTCCCGTCGGACAATTTCCTCAATCAGCTCGAGTGTCTCATCCTCGGAGTCTGCATCTGCATTTGCATCGGGATGCCCGGTCTGCAGGGAAGAATTTTGCTTTTTACTGTTCCACTCCGAAGTTGCTTGTTGCCGGCCTCCAATAACGGCCATGTTTCTCGTACTTGGGATCCGTAGCATGGTCTTTTCCACATCGTACCCGATTTCTTCGGCAACGCTCATGGCCTTTGCGGTAAGACAGCCGTACATTGACTTGTTCGCTCCGGCGTCGGTCTGAGTGTCGAGCTTGGCGGCCCGAAGCGCTTTTAGGTCGCCGGTGGCCGGTTGTGGATTTTGCTCGGCTTCATGTGCCTCGTCTTCTTCTTCGTCGTCATCAAACTTATTGTCCTTGGGCGGAGGATAGCGATAACGTGCTCCAGATAGCGCGTGTGAGCAGCACGGAATCGCCATAAAGGGCAGTGGTGATTGCGGATTAGCAAGAGCAGCCATCAGCGGTGTCCAAACAGTAAGTTCATCGGCATGGTTGGACATGATGAAAGTATCTTTCGGGAACATTCCGGAGTGTGTCTTTGCGCCAACATCAAGCGCGTCCGCGCTTGCTCCCGGACCACTGAGAATATCCGCGAAAGGTTTGGGGATATACACCTCCTCGCTTAGTCGCTCTCGCACCGTCTCTGGGAATATTTTCCATGTCTTTCGGCAACGAGCATCAAAACCCCAGCCCCGGTAGCCTTCCATCAAGAGCACGTAGACAAGTACACCATTTCCACACGCAACATCCACAAAACCTGGAAAATTCGGATCGTAGCCTTCCGTTTCCCTCTCCTCCGCAGGAACGACGCCGTACATACTCCTCCAGAGCTCAATGAGGAATGCAGTAATCGATAAATCCTCAAAAACATGCTTCGACGGCTCCGTATCCTCCACCCAATTCTGGCACAACCACGAGGCATACTTCTGCTTTAACCGCGAGTATGTGTCCTGGACCAGATGCCGTGGGAGCACATTATCTTTGTTTGGCTTGTAGTTACCACCTTCAGGCATCATGGTGGAGATATCCGAACCCCGAGCAAGTCGAATCTGGGTGTTGAGCAGTGCATGCAATGTCCGCTCGAGACGGTTCTGAATCGGCTCACCGGGGTAAAGCATGAAATGCAACGACAATTGTCCTGCCCCGCCCTCTTCTTCCGAAGACGTAGCTTTGGACTTATGGAAATCATACAACAACGCCCAAGACTGCAAAAGCGGATGATAAAAAGGCAGCTCCTCCTTAGACGCTATATGCGGCGAATAAACAACAAGCAAACGCTTGTAGTCACCATCATCCGCTCCATAAAAATGACAAGTCTGCTCCAAAGGCCGATCCAATTGTGGTTTCCTAGGTATCAGCCTTCTAACCACCGTTCGACTCAGCTCGAATCCCGCGATCTCTCTCGCAGGAATCGGCGGCACGTCGTCTTCACCAGCAACATCAGCATCTCCCGATGAGGCAACCTTGCCAGTAGCATCAGCAAACAATTTTTCCCTCTCCGCTGGTGTCCTCAAAACACCAAAACTATCATGAAGGATATCGGCCCGGAACAAATGACTCGACATCCGGTTCGGATTCGCCAGCAGGTACAGCGTCAGGTTATCAATAACTTCTGGCGTGAACGATAGATTGCCCTCTAGAAGATCTGACGAGGTGCTCCATTTTTCTTCTTCACTGTCGTTTGCTTTGGTGCCCTTGAGGATGTGGAGTGGTGAGGGCTCAAGGGTCTCTGAGAGTGGTTTTCCCGTGAGCTTGGATTGGTCGCGGGAGGCTTGTTTGATTCGGACCATGATTGTTGTATTGTGGACTTGACAAGCCCTGTTCCCCTTGTATTTATCTGAAGGAAGTCACAAAGTTCGGTTGCCTATCCAGAAGGTAGGAGTAGCAGGTTCGATCCCTTCATAAGATTGATGATCACGTGATTGTTTATGGCCTGAGGCATAATGGGATGCTCTAGATTCAACTCTAGTTTGACTTCGCAATTGATAGTTCCTTGAACGCCATGTAGCTTGGTCGATAAAATTTGCAGTACTAGCCCTTGTATCAGGAGCACATCAGAGGAAGCCAACAATCCCTGGTCGACGAAAGCAAGTATCCAACCCCAATGACGTTATCCGCTCTGCCCGCCCCGCCAGCAGGTACAAGTACAGTTCCAATTCCAGTTACCTCGTAGAGAAACCATCATACCTTATACCCTAGAGCACCCCTGTCTCTAAACATTAGATTACTAAGAAAAGAAAAGAAAATGCCAGCCCCCCGCTGCTTCATCATCCGCCACGGCGAAACCGAATGGTCCCTCAATGGCCGACACACGGGTATCAGCGACCTCCCGCTCACAGCCAACGGCGAGAAACGTATCGCGGCAACAGGCAAGGGTCTTGTGGGTGATGACCGGTTGATTGTGCCGAAGAAGTTGTCTCATGTGTATGTCCCTTCCCCCTCCTCACCCTTCCAGGAATAATTCGATGGGATATGAATGTTAACGGCTATAGTTACGTCTCCCCCCGCGCTCGCGCGCAACGAACGCTCGAATTACTAGAGATCGGATCCAAGGAGAGACTACCATGGAAGGAAAGCCGGAAGCCCGAGGAAGACGAGCCGATTCGGACAGAGGCCAAGGTGGTGCTCACCGAGGCCGTTCGCGAATGGGACTATGGTGACTACGAAGGCTTGACGAGCAAGCAGATCAAGGAGCAGCGGGCGAAGGATGGAGAGGAGCCGTGGGATATTTGGAGGCAGGGATGTCCGGGTGGAGAGTGAGTCAACTCTCAATCCGTATTAGATTATCATTCTAGGTATAGAACACCGGAAGCTAACTAAAACAGAACCCCCGAAGACGTCATCCGTCGTCTCGACGCAGTCATCGCAGACATCAGAGAAAACCACCACCGCAAGTGCTTCGAAGACCCCGATGCCTCCGGAGATGTCCTCATCGTCGCGCACGGCCATATCCTCCGCGCCTTCGCCATGCGCTGGACCGGGAAGCCATTGACTGAGACATCATTGATTCTGGAAGCCGGTGGTGTTGGTACTCTCAGGTAAGACGGTGGATCTAAGAGACTTCATATCGTGAATGGCGCTGATAGAATCCAGTTACGAGCATCATAACATCGACGAGCCGGCGATTATTCTCGGAGGAGGATTCGTGGTGGATTAATCGTATCATGTGGGAGCAAATCAAAGGAGCCTATGCAGGATTTTTAATTAGTTAGACGATGTTCCAAACACACATAATAGATGATCACCGCACAAATCCCAAATTAACTTACCATGTAAGATCCTCACCATGCCATACCAAATCACGACTCCGACTCCTCCTTAATCCTCCTCTCCCCTTCTACTTGACTCTCCTCCTTAACAACCCCCTCCTCCCCCAACACCTTCGCAGACCCCATAAACAACCCCCCAACATACCCGCCCAAGAACCGCATATCCTCCGCCTGCACAGCCGTCATTCGCAGCAGATTCTCCGTATCCGCGAGGTGCGCGTTCAGCTGTGCCAGTTGCGAGTGGAGGTGGGTGTATTGGCGCGATTTGGTCGTAGATGTGGATGAAGCGCTGGTGGATGCTGAGGCGGAGGTGGGGAGGATGGAGGGGCGGAAAGAGGATTGGGAAGGGTTGTGGTAGTGCGAAGGCATTTTGTCGAGTTAAAGAGACACTGCTCTGCTTTGCGTTGACTGTTGTCTTCCGGGGAGTTGATGTGTTGTTTTTGTTGTGGTCGTTGGTTGTCAGGGAAAAGTAAGTTAACTAAGAAGTGGTTGGCGGGCGACGCCGCAAGTAACTAAGTTAACATGATACAGGATTATATAAGCTACCACAGAAACCCTACAGATACACATCTCAAGTAGGATTTGTACTTGCATCAAATTAAACAAATTACAACGGCTGTTGCGGACTTCTGTCATTAATTCCTTCTTATGAGGATGCGAACCCAGTCAAATCGAAGTCAATTAGAATAAATCGAATCCCTGCCCCTTTTATGCGCCAGAAACCACAGACCATGAAGTAAAGAAAAGTAGAGATCACTCAGCCATCGGATATTTTCACCTCACAGGACATTGAAACACGCATGGGATAGCAATGGAGAAAGAGAAAAGACACAAAGGAGAAGCATCCATGCCACAGTAAAAACGGAGAGATTTGGCAAAAAAAAAAAAAAAAAAAAAAAAAAAAAACATATACGGGTCCACGAAAAAACATGTTCCCACGCAAGTAGTGTACAATCTGGAAAAACGAAATGCATGATTGACAACGAGAAAAAGCATCGATGCCAGTGTTCGGTGGTATAATTGTAGAAGATCGAAAGAAAAGGAGTATTTCCCGGGCCGAGTGTTCGTGTTCTCGGCCTCATTAGGATAAACAATGCAGATATAGGAGATGAAAGAAAAGGGGAAGAAATGAATGGACAAAGACACATACACACGCCCGATCCGACCACTCCGAGGCAAAATGAAAACAAAGCATGAAAAAGAAATGACCCCCATGTCCCTTATGTATATGTTGAACAAAACAGTATTAGTTATGCTTCTCTTTTCTTTGTCGTGTCCGTTTCTTTCCCTCGTACTTGCTCAATGCCCAGAATCTCGTCTATATGGAAATAAGGGAGGAAAGAATCGATGGCAAACAGACGGGGAATGCAATGTATAAACGGCGAGGTAAGGAAACGGTGGGTAAAGGCTATGGATTCGAGCTCGTCTCGACCGAAATATCAAGGATCAATCATGAACGCGGGTGATACGAGGGTAAAGGAGAGGAAACGGTGATGTTGTCTATCGCACCGGCGTCGTGGCTTGCTGAGCACCAAGGCTGATCTGGCTGCTGTGGGCCGAGTTCTCGGACTCCAGGTTTGCACTGGCCGCACTATCACCACTCTTCGCGCTGGCGCTCGCACTTCCGGTCAGACTTCTATGTTTTGGGGCGCGCTTGGCGGGAATTTGGTTGTTGCTCACCCCATAATGTTGCTCAACTTGCTGCGGTCCTACCGCGTTACCATGCCCCGGAGGGTGCTTGGGAACCGGTGCTCGCACGACGGGAGGAGAGGGATTACCGCCGTGGGAATGACCAGGAGGGCCGAGGTTCTGCGGGTCTTGAGCCGTCATTGGTCGGCCCATCCGTGGCCCGGGCCCGGGGAGACCACCATAGGGCGTGGCGGGGGAGTGGCTGTTGCGGCGACTCGTAGGATAGGGGTGCGGAGGGAAATCGCCCATTCGACTGGTCGTCATCGAATTGGCGCGCGAATCCGCCTGCATCTGATTCCGGTCGACGGCACCATACCTGTTGGACGAGTAGCTCATCATGGGATTATCGAAAAGGGAGTCATGCAGGCCAGGGATTTCCTGCATGATGCGTTCGCTCGCGCGCTTCCGACCACCACCAAAGTACCGGCTAAATGACGAAGCAGGTCTGCTGTTGCTGCCGCTGTTGTTAAGACTCACTTCCGGGTTCTTGCGGAACTGGCTCGCAGAGGGAATTTTGCGGTTCTTCCGTGAAGTCAGACTCATCATATCGACATTGTCGGGATCAACCTGCGGAATGCCAAGAGTGTCCATGGGGTCGAAATAGTCATCCTCGTCCTCCTCGTCAAGAGCGGGCCGAGACGGTCCCCGTCTCCGGCCGCCACCGCGGCGCATGCTCATCTCCTGTTCTCGGACCTGCAGCTCCCGCTGGCGAAGCGCCAGTTCGCGTTCCCGCAGGGACAGTTCCGCTGTGGGAGCAGAGGGAGGGGGACCAGCAGGCACGTCGCCGTTCTGCGCGGTTTGTGGAGACGCGCCGCCTTCAGCATCATCGTATAAAACCAGATGACTGAACTCCTCTAGGCCTTCCACCGACGTGTCGCGGGGAAGTCGGCCAGCAGGAGGTGCCTGAGGCGGAGGAGGATGGGCACCTGGTGGTCTCATCATACCTCGTCTTGGGGGTGGCATCATTATACCAGAAGTGGTTCGGGCAGGACCTGGGCGCATAGGACCATTCATCGGTCCTCTCTGCGGCGGCGGAGCGGACGACATACGCGGCGGTGGTCCCGGCGTAGCCACGGGGGGCGGCGAGTTCTTCGTCGGCGGTTTACTCGTATTGGCCGCGTTGATGTGGTGAAGCATGGCGTAGAGAGCTTCAATGCGAGGCACCTTGATATCCGACTCCATAGCCAGCTTAATGGGGGAACCCAAGAATGTCTCAACTTCCATGGGGCGCCGCGCTTGGAAGTCCTGATACATGGTGCTGGGCGCTTCAGCTGCAGCCATCTTATCAATAGTGGACTGACAGAAATCAGCCGGGAACTCGCAGCCATGGGCTCGGGCAAGGTCAAGCAGCTCATCAATTATGCCTGAAATTAATTGACGAACGCCGACTTTCTCGAGCAATTGTGCGTAATTGGAGGTTTCAAAAAGAACGCTTGCAGGTTGGAAAGCAATAGGACTGCCAGCAGGTGTTAGTTGAAAGCAAAGCAGAGATAGGAATAGCTAATGGCACATACCCAATCATGCGTTCAAACTGCTCTTGCCTGATATTATCTGAGACCTTGCAGTCCACCCCACCCGAAGACAACGTCATGGCCAATGCGGATGCCATATCATTCTGTATTGATGAGGGAATGTTGGATTGTTTGCTGGTTGCACCGACCCAAATCTTGGAGCTGCTGAGGTGTTCAAACTCGCTGGCACCGGTTTGCGAGATCTCAACGCCGGAGACGAGCGACAAAATCACGTTTGTTGGGAAGCGCTGCTCGAGATGAGACTCAATACCAATGGAGTTTGTGGTATTCACGAGGATGCAGGTGTGTTGAGGAGTGACGACCGACTCGATGACGGCGGCTAGGTCGTACACGTCGGGCAAGGCCTTGACGCACAGAATGACATAGTCGTACGCATTTTCTCGGGAGGATGCTTCTTCTGGGGCACGGACGACTGCAGAGTGGGCAGACAGGTTAGTCATCTGCACTGATGTCTGTGTTCTTTTTCTGGGGGGGGCGAGGAGAAGACGTACCATGACGAGGTTTAAAGCGTTCATTCCCGAATGCTTTCGATCTATCGTAGAAACTTGTGTCAGGAATCCACTCAAGAAGCAACTAGAGGAATCATCGAGGGAAACGTACTTGAATGAAACTCCATATTGCGACACGGGGTCAAAATTGGATTTCCAGACGAGGGTCACATCGCAAGAGGTGGTCGCTTGCAATCTCCAGGAGATGAAAGCCGAGATAGCATTGCTACCGACTAAAACAGCATCGAGTCAGTTGTCTAGACATTCTTTTTTTTCTTTTTTTCTGTCCTTTGCAGAAGTGGACACAATGAATGATTCAGAGGATCAGGAGGAATTGGAACCGTGCGTTCTGCATGGCACACAAAGACGAGGTAATGGTGTAGATCAAGCACAAACGAACCTGATAAGATGCGCAGCCGCGGCGAAGGAGCCATTGTTCACAGACACCAAAACGAATTGTATTAAAACCGCCAGTCCCGATATTCGACGTCAAAAAGGATTAAAACCGCAGACGATGGGTTGGTTGACCGATCGTAACGGAGAGAGAGAATCGATCGGGGAGAGGACGAAAGATGGCGTTGTCCACCGAGGCGCGACTGACGCTGCCTTCCCAGGTACAACACACGAAACCGGACTTTTCACGAGTCGAAAGACGGTTGGTCGTTTTGGAAGGAAACGGCGATGGGATGCGTGTAATTAGAAGGAGATTAAGAAGAAGAAGAAAAAAAAAAAAAAAAAAAAAAAAAAAAAAAAAAAAGGAGATCAAGATAGAGAGAATGAGGGGAGGGAAAAGGGACAAACGAAGGGCAGGAGAAGGAAGGAAGGGAAGGCTAGAGAGTCGAGACTGCCAAAGGAGAGAGACAGAGCAAAGATAGAGAGGGATTGAGAAACCGCAAAGGGAGAAAGGGAAAAGAAAGAGGAAAGAGTAAAAAGAGGGAAGGAAAGAGGAAAGGTTTTTTTTTTTTTTTTTTCCCTCCCCTGCTATTTTTTTCCAGTATTTCTTTAGGTGGAAAATCCTCGGTTTGGGATACGGACAACACGCTGTCTTTGGCTTATGGAGTAAAAATTTGTGCCCAAAAGCAAGCGAAAGAGTAAAACAAAAGGAAAAAGTGAAGGAAACACAGACTTTTTCTTGTGTCCACCAACGGTGGTGATATCTTTCTTGTCTCTCCGTGTCCTGCGACGAATCCGGAAAACAGGAGGCAAAAAAACGAATTGTCACCGCAAGCGAATGGCAATAATACGGAGAATGGAATTGTTTTTCTACTCTACTCCGTACACATCAATTGATTCGTATCCGGAGTTCTTCACCTCAACGCAGCGGTTCTTTGTACAGCGTGTTCGTCAGACCACACATCATTTCTACACATGACAGCAGCAAAAAAAAATAAAAAATAAATAAATCATTCAGAGAGAAAGGACTTGTCGGCGGGCTCTGTCTATGATTATCCACCGAATCCACTCCGAAGGACCGTCCTATGTACTAGACTAGTGTCGTTAATTAGCGAGGTTTAGTCTCGATCGATCCTTTGCCAATCCACCAGACATTACTTATACGGAGTACAGGGTACAGGATACTGTGGACTTCGTAGTAGAGCACAATTGCATCAGCTACGAGTCCCTTATTTACTCGTACCTCTCACTGAACCATGGTGCACCTCACACATAACCCCGGGGATGAATCAGCACTCTGGTCCGGGGTGACTATGTATCTACTCTGTAGTGGCACACCGTGCTTAAGATGAACCCGGAAATGCTCTATCCAATAATTATTGCCCATAATATTTGCTTCTGTCTTATATGCATATTTGTACGGACCAAATCCCGCCCATATCGGAATCACGGCCGTCTCGGCCTTTTCAAGGGGGAGGTGAAGGGGGAGGCGGTGTCTGGGCAGCATACCGGAGCTATAATCAGATCATACAGTTGCAGAGATCGCATACTGGGTTTTTTTTTTTTTTTTTTTTTTTTTTTTTTTTTTTTTTTTTTAATGCTTTATATTTGTTATAGTGATTCTACGAGTTCTGGTTTGTGTCTCTGTGCTCGGTGTTGTTATATTGGCCAAGTGCTAAAAAAGGAGACAAGTGGAGTTGTTTGTCAAAGTCTATCGATCTAGAACGAGAACGAGAATCAGGAGTGGACTCTTCCACTCTCATCCATTCACTACTTACCTCTGGTACACTGTCTCTGTCCCGTCTATTTCTCCCATGTACAAAATACACCTCAATTCTCTTATAACAAACCATGCTTCCATACTGTACTTCACTATATCCTAACCAGTCCAGCCATCCCAATGCGGAATCCAGGTTCCAAAAGCAGCCCCACTGCTTCTATTTCCAGCAACACACCCAAAACATGCCCCACCCTGCGGCTGTGGATCCCGGCCGAAGGATCTGACCACTGAGGATCCCCCATCAGCCACTCGCCGCATCCGTCGAGTTCTGGTCTCTTCTGTTTCAGCAAATCAGAGGATCTGAAGTTATTACATGGTAGCACAAGTACCCGTACTTGTAGCTCTGCGCGAACAATAATGGATTGTTACATGTCAGGAATACTGCTCTGAGGAATAGTTTGTTCCGGATCGGTGTAGATTATATGTACCTGTACGGGTGCAGACAGGTCAGAGAATATATAATCCTGCTGGCATTCTCCGTACCTGATCACCAACAGGAATAAAGTTACGGTTAGGATAATTAACACCAACCCAGCCACACTCTTTCCGAGCCATACAGAGCACCCAGAGCAGCTCAATTGTACGCAAATAATGTAGACACTGTCACGTGGATCACAATAAGAGTACACCAGAGAACAAGCACAAAAGATCATCATGATCGTCCCCGCGGCCAGTGCGAACCACTCTGTCAACCAACCTACAGGTAAGAGCACAGTCATCACATCCGTAGAACACACCCGAAAACGGAACGATGAACATCCCCTGACATAGATCTGGCATACAAGTACATACGCTTACACTACTAACTCCGGAGTACACCAACAGAGCACTCGCAATACACTACGAGTTCCGAGTACGGAGCCGTCTGTCAAATCAAAACCCGCCCCACCGATCAATCAAGTAAATCCGGTTTGACTTCCCTCGCTAATTTCCAGAACATTAGTCCCGTCCAATCACAATATCAGGCTTTATCTCTTCGCCGTACAAAGTACTCTGTACGGATTTGATATCCTTGACTGAGCTCTGAGCTTTCTTTTCTGTGGAAGAAGCTGCCCCTGGAATTACTACGAGCATAAACGACTAGTACTCCACACTGACGTTATCCGTACGTTTTCAGATACACACGTGACTGTATGTCATAGAAAGTACTGTGGCTTACGTGGCGCAGGTGGCAAATTGAGTTCACGTCTATCAACCTCGTGTCGGTTTCGTAAAGTTAGATTGGTTTAGCTTTCTGTGATTGTCGGTGATCAGTCAAGTGCTACTTGTATTAGATTGGCTCTGAGTTGGCATCCCGTCGTACTTCGTAATACATACTCCGAAGTCGCGAGTATCCCGTACCTCTTGGCAGTCTCAGAAACCAACCAGCTTTAGAATTAAGTCCCTCAGCTGGTTAGACTTTACGTACTTGTAATAGACCCTTTCTCCCCCAGTAACCAAGACAATCCCGGATCAACCAATGAAGATCGCCAAAGTACGGTGTACACACTCCGGATCTATCACCCGAGGCCAATATATCGGATCGGATTACGGGAGTTACAAGCAAGCCAAGTCATCGCTCTATTACAGAAGTTGATACATAACATATCCACGGCTGCCCGAATTAAACTGGATTTATAATCGACGAACACTTATTTTTTTTCCCTTTCCAGATGTCTCTGTTTAACCCGTTACCGCATATTTCACCGTGTCTCCATAAGAGAAGCAAGTCAAGACACTGCCAGAGACAAAATTGCAACCGAGCCCTCACGCCAAAAAGAATAGAAATAAACGGGAATAAATGAGCAAAAAGTACACAACGGTAGAACAAATTCAATAAGCAAGAGCATAGGAAAAATAATTTAGCTGCAGGGCTTGTCCATTGACGCCTATGACCCATCAATTTATGCCATGTAGGTGCTCGAGTCCACACCACCCTCGGGGTACTCGGGGAGGGCGACCTCGAACCGCTTCTCGATGTCCTTGAGAACCTTCTCATCGTCCTCGGTGCTGACAAACGAGATCGACAGACCCTTAGTACCGAAACGACCAGCACGACCAACACGGTGCAGGTAAGAGTCGGCATCAGCGGGCAAGTCGTAGTTGATGGCAAGGTTGATACGCTCAATATCAATACCACGACCGAAGACATCGGTAGCGACACAGATACGCTTGTTGAACTCCTTGAACTCCTTGTACCGTTTGATACTAAACAAATCATCAGTTTCAATCTTTTTTACATGCTGGCAGGCAAACTTACCGCTCTTCCTGGCTGACACCAGAGTGCACCGCAATACTGGGAAAGTTGCATTCAACCAGGAGCTTGTTAAGCTCGTTAGCACGGAGCGTACTCTTAACGAAAATAATGACCTGGTTGAACTCGAGGCTGTCCAAGAGTTCGTTCAGCTTGCGGTTCTTCTCCGCCTCACTGAGCTTAACGTAGTACTGCTGGAGACCGTGGAGAGTGAGCTTGGTGTCATCATCCACGTAGACCTCGAGCGGGTTCCGCATGAACTTCTTGCAGATAGGCCGGACCTCCTGCGAGAGCGTAGCGCTGAACATCATAACCTGCTTGTCAGCAGGGGTCGCGCGGAAAATTTCCTGGACGTCACGGCGCATGTCTATGTGAAAAGTCAATGGTCAGCGACTGTTCATTGGAAATGAGAAAAGACACCTACCAATCTGATCCAACATCTTGTCACACTCGTCAAGAACGAATGCCTTGACGTTACGCAGAGAAAGCTTCTTGTCACGGACCAAAGCGTTGAGACGACCAGGAGTAGCAACAACGATGTTGGGGAACGATTCCTTGTTGGAAAGGACTTCGATGTCCTTCTGAATCGGAGTACCTCCGTAGAAGACTGCAGTCTTCACATCGGGAAGGTACTTGCTGAACCGAGCATACTCGTTCTTAATCTGGTATGCCAGTTCACGGGTGTGGCACATAACAAGGATGGAGCACTCCCCAGGAACAGCTTCCAACTGGTGAAGAGTAGTCAGGACGAAGACCGCGGTCTTTCCGAGACCAGACTTGGCCTGGCAGAGAACGTCGACGTTCAGAATAGCGGTCGGAATGCAGACTTGCTGGACTGTAATGAGGCGGATGGCATGTTAGACTTGTATTCGATGCATATACTGAGAAAGAGAAAAGCAATCCGCGTCGCAATGTCCGTCCATCCCCCGAAATAGCCGATTCAGGAACTAGTTGTTGCGAAGGTCTCTCCGCGCAGGTAAACGAGAAAACTAAGGAAGATTCCCGTGTACAATGAACGATGAAACAGCATTCACATCAGGAGCTCTTCTGCAGTCGACATGAGGAGCCTATCGTCCAGGCACTGGTGGTAATAAAAGAAGGGACCCTAGGTTTTTCTTCCCAAAAGGAAAAAGAATTCTTAACCGTCCTCAGGTCTTCTTCTAACCGTGAAAGTATCTTTCTTCTTTACAAAGAAAGTCTCGCCTCTCTCCAACAGGATCGCTGGATCAATGAGCAAGTAGCCACACGGGGCAACGCGCTATTATGCGCTACACGGATTTCTCCTCTTCTTATTCCCTGCTGATATCCATCGAGACATCCTCATGTCGGCTGCAAGCTCGAAGACTGATTTGGCGCCTCAGAAAAGATAAAACGCAAATATAGGGAAAGAAGCGACTAGATGTTCTTCTCTTTCTTTCTTGTTTCCCCCGCGGAGATGGACGGACGTTGGAACATGGAGTAATGGAGAGGCTTGTGGGAGAAAAATGTTATCAACTAACCCTCCGATGGATGTTCGAAACCGCAATCGGTGATGGCACGTAGAAGTTCTCCTTTGAGCAAAAAGTCGCGGAAACCGGTCGAGTGAATACCGACGTAGCTTCCCTTCTTGTCCGGGCGGCCGCCCGTGACCGTCAAGTCGCCCTTTTTCTCTTCGGCTCCATTCGCAGCGGGAGCAGCAGTGGTCGCCGCACCGTCAGTGGTCTGGAGCTCCTCATCGGAGTAGTCGATGAGATCCTCCTCGTGAGACATGGTGATGGGTGGTGGTGCTGGTGGTGAGGAAAAAGACGGGTGGCTAAAAGCTGATGTCGCGGCGCGTAATCCCTAGACAGCTAGAGAGATAGGATGTCGAAAATAAATAAAAGGAAAAAGTGAGAGTAAGAGAGGTAAATAAAACGCTCAGATAAAGCAAGTATTATTCCCAACTCACTCAAGATGAATTGAGACGGAGAAAATATGGGAGGCGAGGGAGAGGTGATGGAAATGGAGAGAAGGGCGTCGCGAGGGATGAGATGTTCCGGGAACTGCCAGGGTCATGTGACCAATTCACTCACCGCCAACTGCAGCTGAGCCACCTGATTCGGTCATCCTGTGTAATTTGTCGATACCGCGTTTTCCTTTTTTTTTGGTCCTCCTTCACCTCCCTTTTTCGACTCATCGCAAACAAGATCCTCCCAATGGCAAAGGGAAAGGGGAAAAATGTTAATAGCCACTTACGCGCGAGACTGGATTACCTGCACAAAGCCGCCGCCTATCTCCACTCCACAACGATAGCCTCTAAACAGCAGCAGACCCAGCAGAGCAACACTGAAAACAATGCTAGTGATGAAAAGCGCGAGGTTGAAACCGGCTCAACCCGGACCGTGCCGCAAATCTTGAGCCCTGGTGCTACTGCTGTTGCTGTTGAAAAGGCATCCGGTAGCGTCAACCAAAAACAGGAGCCGACCCTTGAGCGTCTACCCAATCTATCCAGAGCTTATATCTCACAGCTCCGCGGAATATCATTGAAGACACAGCTTCGGCTACCTCAGGAAGTGAAGCGGTCATTCTGCAAGCGGTGTGATACTTTACTTGTGCCTGGGGTCAGCTGCATGCAAGAGATCAGGAACACGAGTCGCGAAGGCAAGAAACCATGGGCTGATGTTCGGGTCGTGCGTTGCACAACATGTGGTACAGAGAAACGATATCCTCAGGCGGAAAAGCGGAGCAAGAAGCTTGCCGAACGGAAGAAAGAAAAGGAACAGAAGGAAAGACAAGCTGCAGAAACCTGAAACCTTCACCTTTGCCTGGTTTTCTTTCAGATTCTGGTTTACATTTTGGGGGTCTTTATGTGGCGTCACACATGTTCATAGAAGGATCAGCTTCGGTTATGGGCCCTATACGCGAGTGACGATCCCGCCCGTGGTATGTCTACATGCGAGAACCCGGATACTCCTGTCCATGGCCAGGGGTCCTAGGGGGGAGCTAATTCCCCGATGGTGTCGACCTCAAACGGGCCATCTTCAGAGGCTTATACGTCCGGCTCTGAAGCTTAGAAACGGTCTAGAAGTTTGACCGGAAAGCTCATGTCTTATAGGTCAGTATACCAAGGGTCCTAAGGATCAGAGAACCTCAAGAGATCAAAAATGAACAAAACATGGAAGGCAATGGCTTTAGGTAGCCGATCCATCCATAAATAGTTTCCACTCGCGCTGCAAAACAAATGAAATAGATACTTGACATGGCGCTCACGACATAAAGCATAATACTTCCTCCAATAAGGACATGAACTAAAACAGAAGATATTAGGGAGAGGTGCAAATGGGGGAATCACAGCGCTGCAACAACAGACAACGAAAAACCAACATCATGAAGCCGAACACATAGACCATGATCCTCGTGAAATGGAATCAGCTGCAGAAACCTCGTATCATTAAAGACAAACAAAACCATCAGAGTCTATCATTATTCCTGAAATCATTGCTTGATAAAACTCCGCGCTATAGCATCCTGCCATTCCTGTAGAAATTGACTGTTATAAGACGTTTTCATATTCGAAAAGAAAAGAGCCGCGAGGCCGTGTCCCAATCTTTATCCAGTGATTTTTCCAAATGCGTAGAAAGATGTCAATATGTAAGAAGATTCTCCATGAAAGGTCGTTTGGCACATGGAACGTCACAGCTAGAAGCTGCTAAAAGTCATAACGATACAATGTCCGTGCAGGACAGATCGAGGCATAAGCACATTCGTCTTTTTTTTGATATTTTTTCGCTTTTTAATGATGTGGTTGTGGTGTGGTGATGGTATTGAAGGAAGGTCAGAGGTGGTGGGAGAAGCCAATACGACCATCCGGCAGTCGAAGAAGTGCATAAAAACCGATACAAAAAAGCCTCCAGGGCATCTGAAGATATTGTCCGGATCATCTCAAAGGAATGGTGTAGGAAGAAAATTATAAGTGAAACAGGTCAACGCTTTCGCCGGGCAGCTTGGTCAAGACGCTGATCGAGTCCTTCAATTCTTGCGCGGTACTGTTTGACGATTTCTCTTATATTCGCAATTTTGGCGAACTCTGTTTCAAGGTCGTCAATCGAAGTGAGAATTGAACGGGTACGTGCGATTTCAGCGTCTGCATTGCGGATGACATTTCCCGCGCGATCGGTGCTATTCTGTAAGGAGAGTTGCATTTGTTCTTCCAACTATTTCCATGTTAGAGCTTAATGAAACGAACGTCATGGCGAATGTGCGGTGTATATGTGCGAGGCGTGCAAAAGATGAAAAGCTCCACAAAACTGCCCATCCATCACCCTTTTATTCCATGTTCGGAGGCAGGCCTTGGAACGAGACCAGATGTGAAGTAAAGATGGAAATCTTGACAAGAAGAAAAAAGAAGAACATACATAGTCGAGACGATTCCGGATCTGTTCCTGTAGATTATCCAACTGATGCGAAAGCGCCCTGAGACTCATCGGATCAAGCAGCAATCGACCATGGCTGCTGGCCGCACTGGCAGCGCGCGAACTAGCGTTGCTGGTCCTTCCAGTCCCTCTGCCTCTGGTAACCCCACCGCCAGTATGGCCACCCTGAAGCGCGAGCTGCTGTTGTTGTCGAAGGATTTGGATTTCGGAGGAGGTAAGACCAAGCGAGGTGTCGGGAATCGAGGCTGATACGGACATTTGGTCCCGGCAGAGACATGCTCCAACCGCGACGAGAGTCTAGGAAGCGCTAATCGATCTCGATGTAAGAAAACAGGACGGGCATAGGTTCATGGTGGTAACCGGGAGAGAAGAAGAATGCGGGCACCGGAGAGAATGGTGAGAGGTAGGATAATTGAAAGCGCCGCAATTTGTAACTCAGACACCGGATGGAACCAGGTGCAAAAACAGCCGCTGAACCTAGGACGATTATAGTTCCTTATCACCTTCTATTGTCGAAACCAGTGGTGTCATTGGGAACAAAAGGGTAGAGGCCGAGGCAGAAGGATGGACGGCCGGCGACTGTCGACAAGAGAAACCGTCGATATTGTCGGCGGCAAAAAAACAATCACGGCGTTTCTCTTCGTAAACCGTCGACTTAAACGGTGATAAAGAAGATCGAAATTAGAAAAAGAGTCAGGTCCTGAGGGGACCGGGGGGAGAGGGTGAGAGGAAAGAAGAATGAGGAAAGAGGGGCAAAAGAAATGAAGGTTTGGTGATCAGACCAACACCAAATAGGATAGATTGATTGCGGAAGAGCCAGACTAGGAAAGAGAAACAATCGTCAGTTGACTTTTAGTTTCCTGTTTACTTCTCTATATTGCTCCATTTATTCCGCCGTTGACGCTATATGTAGCTGCTGGATACATGTCTGTATAGTGATGGGGATGGTAGGAACATATAAAAACACATCCAGCTCCAGTGAGAACCAGCTCTGGTAGAAGTAGTACCCTGGCAGTCATTCTATGCAACAATTGGGCTTGACTCCGTGGTCGCATTAATCTTCAGTTCCTCAAAGTCCGGTCCATCGAGCTTGGATCCTCCGCCGGCCCCGGCTTCGACCTTGCATTCAACTTCCTAACCGCATAAACCTCCACTCAACAACTCACTCTCAAGCCATATTCCCAATACTCGGTCGAATCATCACATTCATTGCGCATACATATATCAACACTCTCAGCAACCGCGCGCATATTGTCGTCACATCGCTCAGACAGCAAAGCGCAGGCGTCATAACCGCCATCCGATCAACCTTACCTTAGCGCCAGAGGAGAAGACGCTTCAGCTACCTGCAACTTTGTATTTTTTATCAGCCTGTGAGCGTTCTCCAAACTAGATCTGGCCGGTTCTAGTAAGCTGCAGGTGCTGCAAGAGCTCCTTGCTACACTCGGCCAGATTTTGCGCGGCTCCTCCACCCCGGAGCTTTGCATAGTTACACCAGAAAGCTAACTCGTCACACCCCATGACTATAGTCTGTCACAGTGATACCTGAACAAGAAAAAAACCGTCACAATGCCTAAAGAACGTTCCATGAATCCGGCTGCCGCGCAGCACAAACTCGACAAGCAAAAGTCAATGAAGAAGGGGAAAGCAGATGCGCTGGCCCGCCGAAATGAGAAACTCGCCCGTCGCAACCCCGATCGCATCCAACGCCAGATCAATGAGTTGAAACAGATGCAAGAGTCCGGCCAGAAGCTACGACCACGGGAACAGCAGATCTTAGAGGCACTGGAGAAAGACCTGCGCACTGTGCAGAAGGCTCGGGAAGCTTTGGGTGATAAGGCACCCAAGTTTAATGAAAGGGGTGGTGACGGTCCAAGAGGGCCAAGTGATGGGGTACTTGGGAAAAGAAGACGGAGAGACGATCGTGATAACCGATTTGGACAAGAAAGTGACAGCAGTGAGACAGATGAGGAGGTACGAAGAATACCCATGCCACGGGATACTCCGCCGCCGATTCCCAGACAGTATCAGAAGAGAGATGCAGGACTGGCTGAGGGTGCGCGTGGGCCACATACTCTTCCGAACAAGCCGCCTGTGACAGAATCCAAGACGGTCTACGAAGCTAAACCCGAGATCAAAGATTTGCGGCGGGAAGCTATCAATAAATTCGTTCCGGCCGCTGTCAGGGTCAAGCAGGAATCTATTAGAGGTCAAGGGAAGCTTTTAGAGCCAGAAGAGATGGATAGACTTGAAAAATCAGGCTACCAGGCAGGTCCTGCAGAGGGGCAGCCGACGGGTAATCCGGATGATGATGAGGAACGGCGGAGGCTCTTGGAAGAGGAAGAGATGCGCTTCAACCAAGAACTTCGCTCGGTGCAAATAGAGGAGGTTGAAGACGAGGAAGCCTGAATTGAATGACGAAACCGGAATGGGGCATCGTAACTAAACCCTGTACGTCAATGGATAGAATCTGGATATGCCCCAACATGGCTGCTCTGATAGCCTTTCGCAATGACCATTTGGGATCTATGCCTTAATGCAAAGATATAATAAACCAAGATAAGATGCTGGATTGATTGCCACATATCATATCAAGACAGAAATCGTAAACCAAAAAAATGTATGTACATACACAGAGCCTCCCTTACACTCCTGAACACCAATTATTTTGCACACCAGAGATGACCGCAAGTAAAAGAAAGAAATGACAAAAGAGTGTGAGGGAAAGGTGTATCTCCGACTTGATAAGGATGAGACGAGAGTCAAGTAACCAAAAGGTTGTATGCAAGAAAAGCAAAAAAGGAACTCCAAAATCCAACAATCAAATAGTATAGACGTCACTTCATAACAACAAAGGAAATCAAATGGTCGGTGATGTCTGTGTCCAAGCTCGAGTTTGCACAGGGTTGTAATAAAAAATGCATGAGGCTTCCAGGCCTTGCATGGTCAATGCCACTCCTCAAGATGCACTCTAACTCCACCGTAACTCCAGAATAGAAACCAAGAAGCAAAAGAGGTATTAAGAAATCAGTCGAAAAATGAAAAGAGGGACATCGGTCGGAAGATAGTATGCCAAAATGCCCCTAGGAAGAGCGCCTGTAAAAGGCTTCCTTGGGGCCACGGAACGAATCGAAAAGGTTGGTCCACATATCGTTTGACAACATAAGGTATGGTCCCAGCCATTTGTCAGATAGAGGGCTCAAAATGGTTGAGGGTTCCCCCTTTCACCTCAGGTTGCGGATGACCTTCCTTCCACGGTTCAGGAAGGGACTGGGCATTTCATCCCTCTCGGGGTCCCACACTGCTGGTGGCTCGCGATCAGATGACTTGAGGGGATTCGAGCCTGAAGTACGCGAGTCACTGGCGCACCGCTTCACCTCCTCGAGGGGTCGACCTCCGGCTCTGGCCTGCGCAAGTTCCACCAGGGTCCTGCCACCCATGTTGCGCTGCAAAACAGCCTTGAACATCTCTTCCCCGCCACCGTTTGTTTTGGACGTGAGCTGCTTGGAGCCAGACTTGCGGGTGGGAGATCCGGCGTCGGCAGCAAGGTTTGCAGAGGACGGAATCTTGGACAAGCGACGGTGAGGCGACTTGGGCCTTGCCTCATTCTGAACATTACCCGATGCTTGAGGCAATCTCGATTGGTTGGTTGGAAAAAGCGAAGGCTGGCTGCTCAGCTTCTGCATGAAGGCCGCTGTATTCTGCCGCAAAAGTGGTCGAGCAGGGGCCTTGAACGGGTCGGGTCTGACCTTGGGACGAGTCGGGGAAGGCAGGTCGGGAGTGTCGTCTTCGTCGTCGGAGTATGCCAGAGCTGGTTCCCATTTAGGCTTCTGTCGTTCTGGGTCTGCGAAGATATTCTTGCCAGATCCATTATTCTGTGCGGCCGTACGACGGGGCGACAAGGAAAGGGAAGCAATCGACATTGGAGAGGGCTCAGCCATTTGTATGTCGACAGGGGAGTCAATCACGGTCTTGGAACGGCACAGCGGAGTACGGGTCTCCTTCTTGATTGCCTTGTTCCCGTTTGCCGACGGCGACTCCGGGGACAGACGATTGATATCAGTGTTCGAAGGATCCTGATCATCCCCACCGCTAACAGAGGATTGCGATGTGTGGCTAGACTGAAATCCGCTGTCGTTGTGGGCATTGCTGTTTCTCTTGTGCTTCTCCAACTCGATACCAACTCGCTCGTGAACCTCGAACTCGAACCTCTTGCGCAGTTTTTCGAGTTCATTCTGCACTTGACGGTCAATTTCCAGCCTAGCTTTCACTTCCCATTCTCTGCGAACAGTGCTTTCGATCTCTGCTTTCATCTGTTGTTTTTCCTTTTCGATCTTGACGACGTTGTGTTCCATGTCCCTGACTTTGTGCAAAGCAACCTCCTCACGCTTTCGCAGTGTTCTGCCGATATCGACGACCTCTTTCTCTTTTCGGACCAAGCGGATAATAGGGAGATTGATCAAAGCAGCGGTGTCGGGTCGGTTGTCGGGATTGACGCGCAGGCAACTGGCGATAACGTTTCTCAATTCGGGGGAATAGAACTCTGGTAGAGGGGGAAACTTCCCCTCCCTAATCTTCTGCACGAGTTGGATATGGGTCCGGGCGTTGAATGGCGGTTCCTTCTGGCAAAGCTCGTACATGATACAGCCAACTGCCCAGATGTCGGAACGCAGGGTATACTTCTCTGCAGCGCAGATCTCCGGAGACATGTAGAAGGGGGTTCCCACGTAGGTGGATGCGAAGTCGTGGGAGTGCATCAGTTTGGATAACCCAAAGTCACCAAGCTTGACTGTGTTGTCATTACCCAGGAAGATGTTCTCGGGCTTCAAGTCGCGATGCAGAATGGTCATCTGTGCCTGTTTCCCCTTCAGACCGGAGGCTTTGGGGGCAGGACCAAGGACGTTCGACCCAATTTCCGGCGCGTCTGTACCATAGTGGCAGCGGTATAGTGCCGTCACCAGCTGTGCTAGGATGCGCCAGACGAACTCCTCTTCCGCGAACTTGTTTGTTTTCTTCAGGTTCTTGATGACCACACTCAGGTCTCCGCCGCCGCAGTATTCCATGTACAGGTATAGGTCTTGGCTCGCTTTGAGGTGTTCGCGATGGTAGTAAGCGACGATATTGGGATGACGGAGGGAGCTCAAGATATTGAATTCGGCCGTGAGCTGCTCTCGCTCCTTCTGGGACATCTTGATGTAGTTGATCTCTTTGCGACAGAGGATCTATATTAAATTTATTAATTGTCAGCTGTCATACATTTCATTCACATAGGTATAGCCTGTGAAAACTTACCAGTCCATCGTTCTTCCGCTTGACCTTTCGGATGATTCCAAAGGAACCACAACCTGGAGACAGGGTCAGCGGCCAGACGATTGCAGAAAGGATCGCACTGGTAATTACCAATTCTCTCCAGCACCTCATATTTGTCTGCCTCGGCCAAAGCAATTGCCATGGTGGCAGTCGAAGAGTTGAACCACGGTGATTAAGGTCTCAAAAAGGGATTGATGGAGGAAAAGACAACCGGCGTTTCAGTTATTTGAAGACGAGACTAGTTCATTGATGGATTAGAGGGTTGTCGAAGCTGCTAAAATACCTGTTGGGTTAGTATATCACGAGAGTGGTGTCAGAAACATGCAGCGCAGATGCAGAGAGAAAGAAGAGTTCAAGTAACGTCTCCATGCCACGGGATGTTTAGCTGCACCCCGTTGCCCAGCAACGACGTGCATCAGCCAGCCCTTGCTGATTGCAGCAGGCGGTGTGAATTTGGGCGGTGAAGCATGATGTTGGTAGTATACCGATGCTATCATCTCTGCTGTGTGCGATCAGTCGATTAAATGTCCCATTGCAAATAGCAATCTGATAAATATATATATAGGCACGGTGTACCATGCACAGTCTCCTTCTTGGTAGCAATTGATCCCTCGGTCTTATGGTCTATCCCTGTCCTCGTTCTGGTGGCAATACAACGGCTACCCCCCACGTGATCCTTATCGATAAGATGATCACATTTCCTCATCCCGCCCTCTCCGCCGCAAAGTCCGAGAGACTATCACTGGTATTAGCTCCCTCGAAGTATACACGACAAGACAGCTGCGACAGTTTCGCAATGGCGGAGAACGAACCCACTGTGCTTCGCAAGGATCAATTAGAAATAAGCCTGCACAATGAGAAGAAATTGATCAAGGAGGGGACGATCAAGGACGACAACCCACTAGATCTCAGTCAACCGTTCGAGGAATTATGCAATGCTTGTCGACAGGGTGACTTGAAAGTGTGCCAGGAGAAAATAACAGAGGGTGTCAATGTCAATGCCCGCGACCCTTACGACTATACTCCATTGATTTTGGTAGGTTGGCTTGTCCCCTTGCGTGGTTGACTGGTGGCAATGCGTCTGGTTGCGGATGCCATGGGCAATTTCATGAGGATTCAAGCTGACAGAGTGGTGGTAAATAGGCTAGTCTTTGTGGACACTTTGAAGTGGTGCGACTTCTTCTCGAGTCGGGTGCGTTGTGTGAACGAGATACATTCCAGGGCGAAAGGTTTGCGGTCTCTCTTCCCTCTCTTCCTTTTGGACTTTCCAATGCGATATTGGCTAACACGAGAGTCTCTATAGGTGTCTATATAACGCTTTAAACGATCGTATACGGAACTTGTTGCTCGAATACGATTATTCCAAGTCGACCGACCCGCTTCAACCGCTCGCTGCCCATATCTCTTCGCTTCTTGTTCGTGACCAGCCTGTTACCTCAGATATTGTCGTCACTGCGGATGACGAGTCTCTTCACCTGCATAAGTTCATACTGGCAGCACGGTCTCCTTATTTTCGTCAAAAACTGGCCGCTGCTCCTGACAGTACAACATGGCGACTTCCCAGTCACATTCCACCACAAGCCTTTGTGGCAGCAATAAAATATCTATATTTGGGAGAAGCCCCTCGTGAATTGCGGAGTGGACCAGGAACAGGGTTTACCGAGTCAGAGGTCTTTGCAGGAATCGATAAGATTGCGAAACACCTTGAAATGCAAAGTCTCCTAGACAGTATGCTCGATAGCGGGGACCGGAGAATGGCTAGACAACGGAGAACCATTGAGATCTCTCGAGGCCGGGATCACCTTGAGGAGTGGTTCCGGGAGAATGTTCTTCGGAATCGGGTTGTGGTGGAACCATCCAAAGCAGACCAGGTCAAATGGGACCGCAACAATGCGGTTTTCGCGGACATCTTGCTTAGGGCTGACGAGCTTCCGGAGGGGTTGGAGGAAAATACCAACGATGTCGAACAGCAGTCTGATCAGAATGATGACAATGTTCAGAAATCGACCTTATTCCCTTGTCATCGAGCGGTGCTTCTGCGATCCGAGTTCTTTCATGCCATGTTCTCTTCTGGTTTCCGTGAGGCGCATGTTTCAGATCATCTTAAGATAATTGATGTGGACTGTTCTCCGGAAGTCCTCGAGATTGTCCTTGCCTTCCTTTATACGGAGAAGACGGATTTCTCGCTCGACGTTGCGGTAGATGTTCTGTTTGCAGCTGATATGCTATTTATCGAGAAGTTGAAGACAAAGGCTGCGGTTGTGATCAGTACTCTTGGAAGCGGTAACATGTCACAGGCAGAGGCTGCGAGAACACGAGGCGGAGCGGAAGAGGATGAACTTGATATCTATTCCATCGTCCGCGCTGCTTGGCTGACCCGGGTTCAGCGCCTGGAAGAATTCGCGGCTCGATATCTAGCATATCGACTAGAAGCCCACATCGACACTCCTGAGTTTGCGGAATTGATTGAAGAATCGGCCTTCAGGGTCCAAGGAAGACAGGAGACCGACACCATTGAAATGCTGGATGACATCCGCTTTTACCTCGGAGAGCGTTTCCGGTTGAGATTCGACGACGCTGGTGTCCAGGAAATGATGGAACGAGAGGTACAATCAAAGAACGTTGAAGTCGATGCTGCTGAAGACGTGAGCAAGATCACGGATGGTGTCAAAACGCTTGAAATTCCGAAAACTGCAGAGAAGGGGGCAGATGTTGCTCAAGTAGCAGCACACAAACAACCTCAAGAAGGACAAGAAGTTCCAGAGTTCGAAACATTGGACGGTGAAGTTACGAACGATGAATTCTCGAAGGATGCAATCAACTACCAGATCCTCATGGACAAGCTGGACCAGTTGCTCGGGAACCTCAACTTGGAGGCGTGATTAAGGCCGCTTCAACCATATATATATATATATATATCAGGTGAGATGGAGTGTACGATTGCACTACTTTTTGGACATACAGTGACTAGAATTGGGAAGGATAGAATGCGGTATCAAAAACAACCAGTATATATACACGAGCTCAATGACTATAGCATGACATACTACATCATATTTTGGGTATTTTCATGTTGTCCTTTTGGTTCGCTTGATGGAACACGAAGACCTGGCTACCCAGAAGAGCGAGTACGTATCTTTCTTGCATCCAGAGGATGATGCTGCCGGTTGTTGTCTGCTGCTTCTACTTTTGGTATATCAACGCATAGGGTCCAGTTGTTTTGTGAATGACTAGGGATGTGTGAACACATACGCTGCCAGCTCTTTCTCAACTTACTCTCTACAAAAAGCCTTGACTCTATCTTCACACTAAAAGCTGTTGATATCCAGAATGCTGACCAAGTCCATATATTCCAAATAACAGCCATCCAGCATACAAACATGGGCAGATCAGGCGTAATCTCACGTGGTAAATTTGTTTGTTTGTCAGCTGAGTACAACCTCCTCAGCAGAAGAAACTTCCCTCTAACCCCTGCGATTAGGTATTAATCCATGACTCAAAGGTCACCTGGTGATACAGAAATGCTCAGCCTCAGCCGATGTGCACTAGGACAAACACAAAATACCCAATCCGAGTATTTTCGGCTGAAACGCAGTGGGCTGCGTTATGTTACGGTGTACAGCATAACAGAGTACCCCGTACAACCACTCGGTCAGTTAAACCATCAATACGAACAGTACGGAGTACGATAACTAGGTTCACACGGCTTCGAAGTTTGGATTACGGTTGCTACTACTATCGGCGGGCGATAGCGACAGTGACGGCGATGACGGTGGTGCTAGTGTTGGTTACAAGGAAGGAATCAAGGCCATACTGCTGTATATGCCTCGTTCTCTCACATACGCTTCCAACCCCGATATCATCATACCGCCCAGCCTGACAGGAGAGCCGCAGCGGTAAGACCAGCCAGTTGTCAGTGCTGTCCACGAGTTTTGGGGAAATACAAGGACAGAATGATGCATGCCACGCCACTTTGAGTCTGTGCACGCGCTCTCTCCAGGGTCGTAGAGGGGGGCCGAGAATCCCTCGTCATCGCCGGCGGTTACTCCCGCTGGTACATTTCTTGGGCACATGGAAGGAGGGAATGTTGGAGAAACCCAAAAACAAGAGTACGGAGTATGGAGTAGAGAGCAGGAGACGAACGCCGAGATGGAGATTACTATTAATCGAGAAGGGGGGGGGAGAAAGATGGTTTGCTCGTTCGAACTTTGAAAGCCGCATGTAACTATGGGACCAAGGTTTCATTCATCTCCGACACGCGACACGGAACGAGCCATGGATTGGCCTGGATGACTTGAAAGAAATGCAACTTATCCCAGAAGGAAGATCATCTCCGGTGTGCAGGTATAGTAAGCCTCTACTATTATTAAAATGACGGAAGGCTTGGGTGGATGGGTAGGGATGTCATGTCCGTTCGGTGTACTCCGTACTCCATGGGCTAAAGGAATGCTGCTCCATACAAGTACATCAGGTACGGTGTGACTCTTTGAATATGCCTCGCAGTCAGCCAATACGGCGTATATGTACACTGGCACTGATTTTCTTGAGGCAGCGCAAAAAAAAAAAAAAAAAAAAAAGAAAAGAAAAGAAAAGAAAAAAGAAAGGATTGTGATCCATGGCCAGTTACGGCGACTACCGCTACATAACACGAAATCGGAGTATTACTACAAAGTACTACTGCTGCAACAACCGATCACAAAGAAGAGCCGACCCTGCAATTGCGTACATACATACATCGGCACTGCGCGATGAAAGAGGATGATCTGATCTCCAGAGGCTGATTCAAGGCCTGTAACCGGTCTCTGGTCGCAGGACCTCGTCGGGAAATTCCGTCGCGGATCTTCGTGGGAAGCGCATGGCTGGTGATTTCGGGGGTTTTGCGTACCAATCATGTTGTACTCGTGCCGGAAGCGACGTTGGGCGACGACGCTTGAGAGCTAAAAGGCGCGAAGTTTATATTCGTTGCCACAGGATTATCACTGTATATTATATTATCTGCGTGTCCAGAATTTCTATGGGCTGTTATTGAGCAGAATACAAGCTGCGGATCGGCAACACCGGCGCCAGTGCGGAGATGTCATATTGATTGGTGCGATAATCTACGATGGATGCTCCTCTTCCTGCGCAGTCTGGATGTATGTGCATGCCGGTGAATTTGTATGACTTCACCAGCAAAACTCTACTGGTTTCGACCCGGCATATTCTCTTTGAGATGTTTTTATTTTTTTATTTTTTACACTTTGAACGGAGTACAGGAGGCTCTCAACTCCGCATAGAGATAGCAACAATAATCTCTCATGGTGGGCCGGTAACATTAACAGTGGGAAAAGAGATGGACACGAGGCAAAGGTTCCTTTGAAGGTAGCGTTTCACAAGACTGCTTTCCTTCTGCCTCAGTACCTGATGTGCCTCCTTTGTGGTACCAAAGCGTAGCTAGAATCAAAAGCCCAGAGACTTGGTCATTCATCTGTTGCAGCTGTTCACCCAGACACGGGAACTCACCAGACGGCGAAATGATAAGGGCCGTCTTAATTAACTGTTCATGCTTACTATACAGACCCGGTCTCGCCCATTCGCCGCCCATGCGAACGTCCTTGGGACTCCACGCCAGCAGGGATTATTATTCATTTTCGCCATACTGGTGACACAAGACCGATGCGGACAAGAGGAAACCTTTCTGTCGGGATGGGCTTTACTCTTTTGTGCAGTAGTCGCGGAGCATAGTTGCGTTGCGGTATTTCCTGATGTTGGCTATACCCAGAGCAGTATATTTTCCTTGACTTCGTGCATACAATACTTGTACACAGACATACAAAAGACCCAGGAGCGTGGATTAACCTGCAAGAGACCAAAAACTGAATCCCATCCGTCCGTCTGCCGTCGTCATGTCCTGTCATGGTGGTATTGGAGGCGAGACAAAGGGCGCATTACGTCTTGTTACAATCTCGTCTCATGATTGATTACATAGTGGCCTTGGGTATTCATACTTACTCCGTACATGCTTACATACTTACTTGCACGCATATGCATCCTGTGTACAGGGTTGTCCGTCTGTAATGTGTCCATCGGATCTGTCATTTACTCCGTACAGACGAAGAGCTAGGACCAACTCCAACGGTCAGACGCAAGGGCCTGCCGAGGAGATGCACGGAGCGTACGAGAGATGTCGATTGGGAGGATGTAGCACCGCATTGGTTGTTTTTGGAAACCGGATGGATGGGAATGGTTATGATTGATCTCTGCATGGGGATAGAGGATTGTCTACAAGTATACTCCGTACATATGTATCCTGTGTGACTGAATGTTCTATTTGCATGAGATTATGGTGCGGAAATATACATCTTGATATATACCAGGCGTACTATGACAACATTCTAAATTCATACTGTCTGTTCTCATGTTATCGTCTTATTTTCCGTGGTATACAGTTTCCATAGATCATCTACAGATATCTACCGGCATAGAATGATATCACTTGCCTCGAAATTATCACATCACATGAGACGAAGCATTACTTCGCATCCTATGTAGGCGTACACAGCCTGTATGGAGTACTCGTATACAGAAAAAGAAACACCACGGCAAGACCAAATTCAGTTATTGCGCCGTCCAAGAAAAAAAAAAAAAAAAAAAACGCACTCTGAAACGACGCACCCTGGACATATCCCATCACATTACGAAGAGCAGAGCAGAGCAGAAGCAAATGACGATGACGATAGTTATCAAGCCGCACCCTGCTTGCGTAGTCCTGTGCTCTGCACTGTGACAATGATGACTGAGGCTGCCGCTGCCGCTGCCACTGCGGCGCTGCCCTATGATGTAGTGGTATACTGGCTGTTTGATGCTGATTGACGGGATTGGTACGGTCAAGCCCCGAGGGATTTGTTGTAGACTTGTGGACTACAGTAGGATCTACCAGAAGTGCTCTGATGTACTCTTCTATGTTGCCTGTGCTGTACTCGTGCGCACGCCTCATGTTGGCAACTGCTATCCGACTGTGCTTAGAGTGAAAGAAACGTCGGAGGATGATCGGGTAAAGTCGAGAGTTGAGAGGTTCTCGGCAACAGACCGAGAAGTAACCAGACACAGACACAGACACAGACACAGACACAGACACAGACACAGACACAGACACAGACACAGACACAGACATAGCATAGCACACGACGTTACAGACTTGTAACAAGTCTTTTAAACTTTCCACACCGCAAGCCGATCATTGACAACCAATAGGAAAATCTCAAATATTTCTTTTCCTGCGTCTTGGCGGGACCTGAAACTATATTCGGAGATTTTGATGCAGTCTAACCCGCATTGAGCTAGCTCCATACAAAACACGTACGTAATAACAATACTATACGGTAAGCAATAAAGTTCGCCCTAAAAAGACCCTCCCGCCATTGTCGATCCTCCATGCATGGCACCGGGTCGTTTGGCCTTCTCATTGCAGTAAGCTTGACCGGCCTCCCGAGTCCATCTGTGGATACGTAATCCTTTGCCTTTGCTTTGCTCCCCTGGCCCCTCCTTTCACCTGGCAAATCCTCTAAGCCTATCTCGGTAAGATCCCGAACCTGCCACGCCTGCGGATCTGCGGGTTTTCGGCCTGAGGCTGTACTATTTACTGTTTGCGGTAGTCGTTACGATCTCAAGATCTACAGGGTTGTGGATTGTTGTAATTTACAGGGGCTTTTTGGTTCATTACATTCTCGTAACGTGACAGTCGAATAAAGTGCCAGAATAGGGATAGGGTTTGTATGCTGCTGTATATAGTAAAGTTAAATGATGATTTGCCTTGGCAGAGTCTACACTTGGCGTGGACGTGGTTACTTGGCCTTTTGACCGGCCAGTAAGCTGGAAGCTATGGCCAGAAGATTAATTGCTGATTTCCGATCCGTTATCGTGCTGGCTGGAACTGGCCATTTGATAATACAGTTCTCTACGACACTCTGTACAGTGCCGTTCTTCATTTCCATGTAAACTAAGATATCGACAAAAGAGGCGCAGGCAGGTCTGACCGCGTTCGCTTCTACCGGTATCAGATTCTATTCGTTATCGGACACATCCTTGAAGCTCCGTATTGTTACGGACATAGGGCGGAACGCATGTATATTAGACAAGCGCCGAAGGTCTACTGGCACTAGGCCGAAGTAGTAATAGTGCGATCGTAACCTATTTAGGTACAGGGCCGCCCGGAGCGGGCACGTGACCCCGACATTCCTTAGGGAGACCGCTGGGCGAACGTTAGAGAGACCAGCGTTCAGTCTAAGCACCAATGGGACTGGCTATTACTACCGAAGTTGTTACATACATATACTACCTCCATATACACTCTATCACGCTTCTACCATAGTTTACCCCCGCCGGGTGGACGACCAGTTTAACACGTATACTGTCTTGCCGCCGAGAGCATGCGCAATCTCTCTCGCTCCTGTAGGCGCCACACATACGTTTCAGACAGGCCATCACAGAATGACTTGAAAAACTTTGCGCTCTGCTCCTTAGATAACCCTGCTTGTCTGATCTCAAGGTCGGGGTACTTCCATGGGAAGCACGCATTGGGATGCGAGCCCCTGGTGTAAAAATCATGCCCCGCGCATTGTAGACTTTCCAAAAAGTGCCAACATGCGAGACAAGACAATTTCGATACGCCAATATAACCGACTGCCGGTGAATCACTCGCTGAGAGTTGAAGAACCCCGGCTTCTGGTCTTCCTCTGTAATTCTATCCAAAAGGAATCCCATACCGTGCTGCGCAAGAACCTTCTGGCTGAAAGTTCGCCAGTCTTCTGCTGCTGCGCGGAAATCAACCGGTCGAGACATGTTACGCAATGACTGGACGTGGAACTTTATCCTGCCCAGGTACTTACGGTACGAACGTGGGAAGTATGCATACTTGAATAGTAGTGTATACACAGCCCTCGAGATGTAAGATATCTTCTTGATAAATTTCTCAAGAGAAGGGAAGCCTGGAGAAGACCAGTGGCCGAATATGATAATGATTGAGCTAGGGCACTCACTTTTTGGGGCGGAAAGATGGTATTGTCAGTGCTCGATTTTCCATAACTCCTTTACTGTAAAGAAAATATAGTCCATCCCGTCAACGAACTTCAACATTTCAGCATCAGGAATCCTGCCCGAGTTGTCGTCGTAAACATCCATGACCCAACCAAGTACATGGCTAATAATTTGCAAACGTTTGACGACCTCATTGCACTCCGTGTCGTCTGACAAGCTCTCAACATATTCTATAAAAGCGCCTACACAAGTAGTTTCACCACAAGGCTTCTCTAGTTTCTGACGGGACTTCTGCTGTGAAAATGCATGGATCGCAACCCTAAATGAACTGACTTTTTCACGCAGAGGTTCCGGAAACAAGTCCTCATTCACTATTTCAGGCTCTTCATTCTTATCTCTGTTCCCTTTCCGTCTTACTGATTTCCCCGGACTGGCAAGCCACTGCCCGATCTCCTGGAGCCTGTTAAGGATTTCCCGGGCATGCTTCAAAGTGGCGTCGGGAACAGTATCTTCGTTTGAGGCGAGCGTCAGCGTGCCCTTTTCATTTTCTGGCTGGAAGCCAACGGCTATTACTTCTCCCTTTGGTTTTGAGATGAGAATGGTTGCTGTTGTATCAAGAATACGAGGGAGACCCTTATGACTCTCGAGTTCAGCCTGCTTGTGATGCAATGGTTGGTCGCTTGACTCCACTTCGGTCAGCAAGGCTATGAGGTATTCTGTGTTGCTGGCTGTGTTCATTATCAGAGGATCTAAGTGGTCAGGAGAAATAAATGGCGTATAAAATGAGGGCCGCCATTTTAGAAATCTACATGCGCTATAGACCTATAGATAGCGGAAAACCGCCACATGATGAATGAATGCTAGTTAACTATCATAAAGCATTCTGCCTTAATGCCTCAGTCGAGTAAATCACGTGTGCCCATACCAATTCCCATCAGCGACCCTTCTAGAAAGTAAACCGGCATCGCGCGGAAGCCCAGAATACCGAATCCATAATTTGGTTCAACCAACCTCAAACCTGACACAGTGGTCTCAGCAAAAATTGCCCAAAACCAGCTCGCGTGGCCAGTATCCCGAACAAGCGAGCACATAGGCTCCGACTTCCTATTCTGATCAGGAACCTCCGCTGAATAATCTATTCAACCAGTGGAACAAGTGGGTTAGTTGAACTTACCAGAAGTACATGATTGAACATCGTTTCTCCCCCACCTGAAAAATGGTCGAGAACTGTCTGTCAGTGAAAGGGCTCAATCGTGGTTCCGGATGGGTCAGATTGACAGCGGGTAGCGTGGTGCTCTAGAATAGATAGTATCCTCAGGTTCTATTATGGGTGATATAACGATGTTCGTTTTATCCTTTACAGTGAAGGTCTATACTCGGATGCACAGACGACAACTTTGCGCCGCACTAATGTTACCAGCAGCATTCATTCTCTGTCAGTACAAAGGAGTAGATTATCAATCAATGTTGCGGACAAGAACCGAGACTGACTTGATCCGACTCGGTCGGGTCCCATCGGCTCAGTCAGCGGGATTTTTTGATTGTTAGGGAAATTGTTAACGAAGATGCCACAACGCGTACTCAAAGAAAGTCCATAACTTCGCTTGGAAAACTATTCCTCGCTATGTACCAATATCTCGTTACTTTTTTTTTTTTTTTTTTTTTTCCTTCTTCTCCAACTCCTTTTCAAGATCTTGGCCTTTCACAAGGAAAAAAAAAAAAAAAAAAAGGATGATCATGGATCAGCCCAATAATGCATGGATCTGTACGTGTACGGGAAATGTATCGCTCAGAGACAATCCTCTGACACCCTGACCTATGCCCATCCTTACAATACAGTAAATTACTGTAATGCATCGGCTTGAATGCCAAACTCGGGAAGGCCCGAACGACCGGCTGCAGACGGGTCGCAAAAGCCCACTTCTGCCACGTGAAATAACAGAGATGCGAAAATATCGTTGGCTGTGCAAGCGGTCCTTGGCGTCCGTTCTGAGTTCGACGCCCGCGCCAGCAGTTCCCTACTAGCCCTAATGGGGTAAGTCTCCTGGTTGACAGGGTTGATTGATTGATACAGACGGTGCACTAATGTAGATAATAATGGTGATGCCTTGAGTATATGGATTATGGGATTCGTTATGGATATCAGATTATTATGGGGTGGGTTTATTGTCGACTTCCGTCGGAAACACTATTACCGATGATATTTCCGAAATGCTGACACTAAGGGCACTATGTACGAAGCGCTAAAAGTACGGAGTGTGTATGCGTACTCGTACACTACTCCAACAGGGGGATCCCTTGTTCCTTCAGCAGTACACTGTTCACATTGCAAACAGCCACAACGACTTTACTACCTGCTCAGCCGCCGATGATGAAGATCAGCGCCTTGACCAGTCAACGTGGCGGTCTGGCTTGGAGTACCCGCGCTATGCTACTTGTATGTAGACATACTCTGTGCCGCCCAAAGAAGGCAAACCAACAGGTTGCAGAGCAATCTGTACGCGAAAAAAGGTAGATCTTCGACCATCAACTAGTCCAAGTCCAGTACAGACAATCAGATCGTGGTAGATAACTAAACGGTGCAATCTGGTGTATATCAAAGTTAAAGCAGAAGGCCCAGAGAAAAAAGTTTATTGCCCTTAGCGGTGAAGTTCGAAGGGTAAAGACTTTCCGTGACATACGTCAGTTGGCTGAGGCGAAGCTTGGCTGGTCCACTATTCTAGATGTACTCGGGCGAGTACTGCAATTCTCAGTGTTAACCAGAGTAGAGAGGGAAACTCCAACTGAGTCGTGACGGGCATTGGTCGTGCCATGTCAAACTCTGGGAGATTGTCTTTTGTGCCGTGTCTTGTCAAAAACAAGGTTGGGCAAAGAGCAAAGTTTGCTTTTGAGGGATATACTGGCACTGTGTATTGGAGAAGGACCATGAATTCGACTGTTTCATGTTCAAAGCATGTCTGTCGTCCGTACCCTGTCTGTCCAAAAAGTATGTATCCGTTTGTGCACTTGGCGTTCACCAGTCACGATGCCTCCTGTTCTTTCCGGATACCACTAGCTGGGACTAGACATGTCCCGAGACATATCCCGGAGTTATCATCCAAGCCACGGAAACCCGACGATGGAATCTCGAGTCAGTTTAATGACACTTACGAGTTCGCGAAATGAAGAATGGAAACAAACAGTCGTAGCCCAGCTCCTGTCAATCAATACATCCGCGTTCCGATTATCCATCCTGGCTGCCTTGCCTGACTTGCCTGTTTGTAAGAGTAAGCATAATCGTCGATGCATGGGAATTCAGTCACAGCCGTATTAGTGTTGATGTCTCCTGCATATACGACACACCCCGTAGTAATACACATACTGTATACAGAGTACTATGGCCTGTCAGGAGAGGCAGAAAAAGAAGCAAGGAGACTAAAAACAAACAATGTGATCATCTGCCGCCAATAGTCTCAACAGCATATCTACTAACTATCACCATCTTCAGTTGTACAAATGACAAAGCAAGCATAGTGTTATGTTATGACAGGCCAAACTTCGGCAAATAGGCTGAAATGCTAGTGCCGACTGACAGCACTGGCCAATGATGCTCTGCCTCGGCTCGGCTGATGTCCGCAAAGGGAAAGCTCCAAGAGCAATAGAGTTTCATTCGTAAGCTGGAGACGTTGGAAAGCGTTGGCGGATCCCGCACATCATTTGCGCCCGTGTTATCAATAGTCTTATCTTCGACCACACTGACTATGTACAACTATGTATAGCAGGATGTGCACTATTATTCAGCCTATGTGCATAGTCGCCGCATATTTTATCTCCGACCACCCTATTATTGGTCCAGGGAGTATTAGTATGCTCATCCGAAATTTTCCCAGAGATGACAAGAAAAAGGAGGTACACCACAGAGTAGAGGGGGTTGAAAAGATCTGATCATGATCTTCGTGGTTTAGTTGCTAGTTTACACGAGCCAGGTTGCCAATCTTCTTACATGTACTCTGGTAAGAGCAGACTCTCAAGACTGGTGTAACTCAAGTCATCACCCAAAAAGGAAATGTCCTCGGTGGTAGGACACGATCGCCTGTCACCCGTGGTATTCAGGAACAGAAACATTTATCCAGAGTTGATACAGACATTTACTCTAACTCTGGTTAAATTCTACGTAAGCAGTCGGTTTTCACTGCTCAGGAATACTCGGTACAGATATCCCATGGAACCTATCCACACTATGGTACCTCGTAACCATGGACCCGTAAACCCAAGGCCGTGTTCTGGAAGAAACCAAGACCACAGTCACGGGCGATGATCACTGGGAGGATCTTCGGCACCGTTCGCGGGCCCCGTCGGTGGATCGTCGGACGAATAGGAGACCGGTCATTTTGTACTCTTTTAGTACCAGTAGCTAGGCGATGTACAGAGAAGCACAGATACCTGTACCGGGGAGTATAGTTGAGACGGTAGCATTAGGGACAAGGTTAAGGCCAGACTTTCCACGAGGCTTTGTGACGGTGTACGACCGAGGTGATGCTACTGTACAATTTCAATACTGTGCGACTCCTATTTCTGTAGTCTGTGGTAACTCTGCTGTAGGATCTGTAGATCTCCGGACACTCTCCGTCGCCCTGCTGCCTTGTCCCTGAACGGAAAATCCGACAGGAGATGTGTTGGCGACTGACCGGTGACTCACTAGTGTTCGGTATCGTATATGAAGTACATTGGGCGTTTTTGTTTGTGTGTCCAGATCCTGCGACTGCATTATTTATGCTACTATTGTGTACGGAGTATCTGTATGGAGACAGTAGCATTGTGTTGGGGAGGCTCATGAGGCTGGTTACCCGATCGGGCAATCAGGTCAGCGGAAGGATCCGCAGAAAAGGAAATCAACCTGTTACCATGTACATATGTTCCTCCAAGTCACATCCTTCATTTTTTCGATCACAATAAACAACTCAATAATGTATGTGAAGCAGACGACGAAAGTAAACAAAAATTGAATCTTTCATCTTGAGGTTGTTCGCTGTAGTCTGTACCGAGTACAGGTTCGGAATAGGGTACAGTGTACGCGTCCCGCACAGATCAGTTCCAGAACCATTCACCCAGGATAAACCGGATGATCCTCAAAAAGTCGTCTCCATAACCCTTTTTGGTCAGATAGATCTTGGTCCGTCCACACTTGACTTTTGTCGGCCGAGGTTTAATGCTCAGGAACAGTTGGATTTTTTTTTTTTTTTTTTTTTTTTTTTTTTTTTTTTTTAATTTTATTGAAGCCGTCGTTAATCTGGAAAATTTTGGGTTATCAACCGGGGCTATCGATTCATCGTGGTAGATCCCCCTGTTCTCCCGTATTTATTCAGAGTACTCCGTACGGGATAGTGCTACAGGATTCGTCAGTTGAACTCGTATACTACTGCTGCCCAGCTGTATGCAACTATCAAGATCAGAAGATCAAATGCAAAGTAAACAGCAAAAAAAAAGCAGACATCCGATGACCAGTCATCCGACCTGTTGCTGCACAGGCGATCCATGACCGCAGCGAGAATCGCCGTACTCCGTAAAAGCAGTCAGTAAGGATTGGGAATCTCGCTTATGCGCAAGATGCACGATGCATCACTTTGTTTTCTTTCTTTTTCTTATGCCGGGCAACTGGCCAAGCAGAAGTCTTCCGGGGTCGACCAAGGCTCTGGGCTACTATCTCAGCACACGGAGACACTTCCCATCAGGGCCAACACAGCCCACTCTGGATCGATCCCCCGCTTGTCAGGAGTAGGAGAAGTGAAAAAAAAAAAAAAAAAAAAAAAAAAAAAAAAAAAAAAAAAAAGTCAGGAGTAATCTTTCTCCGTATGAGCCTTCGTATAGGTATGCTTTTTTGTTTTATTATTCTTCTTTTCTTATTATGAGTTAGAAGCAAGTTGAGTTTCGGTACATGGAGAGTTACAAAGTTAGACACTCAACTGGGCATTGACAAGCGACTTCGATCCCGCTTCGGGCTTCAAACACTACAAACAAAAAGGGATCGTGCGGCAACAATTGCCAGAGCTTGCGCTAACCCTAAACGAGGAATCGGCCGTTGATGGGGCTTTTATTCATTTTTTCTGACAAGTAAGCCCAGGGCTGTACAGTACAGCATACGTATTAAAAAAAAAAAAAAAAAAGAAATAATAATAATAATAATAAAAAGAAAATAAGAGACTAAAATAAAAAAGAGAAAATCATCCGTGGATCTGCACTAATCCACTAACCGAAGTCCCCCCTCCATAATCCCCGGTAAAATAATTTCCCTTCTTAGATACAGAATACAATACGGACGGTGTACGTACCATGTGGGACCCACCAAGGCTAAGCATAAAAGTGGGACCACGGAGAGAAACCTTGCGACAGACCCATTCAGACTAACTGTATCGGGCGTTCTCGTCGAGCTACGCTGACAGTGTACGGTAATTACAAGTCATAAATTAAGCTTTGAAGCGGAGCCATCGAATCCCTGTCGAGAATACAACTAGTAAAATTACCGTCACAAACGTCATCTCCGGTTGTTCGCTTTCTGTCGGCGTCTCCCGCCCAGTGCAGTGTTTGATCGCCCGCTGGTGCTCGTCTAGTTATACTCCAAGAATTAACTTACGTAGATGGTTAATATTAGCAGAAACGGCCCTTTCGCAAGTCCCGTGGGACAATCGCCTCCACTACTCCCTCCGAACGCTTGTCTCTTGTTGCTTTTCCCCACCATTGACTATCCCGAGGGGGGAAAGTGTGTGTAAGAGGGGAGGTCTTGATATACCAAGTGGTACTTATATGACTGGTTCCCTCCATTCACTGTCAATTCCAGCCTCAACATCCAACTTCACATCCACTCGACAAAACACTCTATACTACACCCACCAACCTACCAACCTACCACAACCTACTCTACTACACCATACTCTCTACCATGGATGTCGCAAACCTGATCTCTCACGGGCCGGACCATTTTCCCAAGCGTCCTCTCTACAGCCCTCCCTCCTCCAAGTCCTTTAAGTTCGATGACAAGTCCTACTTCACGGCTGCTCCTACTCCTACCTCCTACTACTCGCGCTCTCCTCAACCTCCTCTCTCGCCTCCTGTTGAGGACCTGCCGAAATGCACCTTGCCCTCCATCTCGACTCTCTTCGAGGGCGCTGACAGCGCTGCTATGCATCCATCCAGTATGTTTACTTCTTAAAACACAAGGATCGCAGTAACTAACAAATCGCAGAACGCCAGAGAATGACTTCTCCTGACTCCCGCCCCCAGTCGCGGGCCTACGAACCCGTCATGGCTACTGTTCCCGTCTGCTTGCCTCCTACTCCTCCCATGCGCCCCGGCTCGACCTTCCACCGGGCCAGCCACTCTCCATCCGTCTCGTCCGTCAACGACAAGGCCCTCCAGCACCCCATCGCTCTCCCAACGGACCGCTCCTCTATCTCCAGCCAGGGCTCCATCCAAGCCGGCCCCTACGCCTCTCCCGCTCCTAGCGTGACCTACGCATCTTCTCCCATTGAGACCTCTGCTCCTGCTCCTGCCACCACCGCTGCTCCCGCCCCTACAGTCTACTACCACCCCAGACCAGCGCCCGCCATGGCTCCGGCTCCCGCCCCCGTGGCAGCAGCTCCTCAGCAAATGATCTCTCCCGTCAACCCTGCTTGGCAACACCACCACTACTTCCCTCCCTCCAACACCGCGCCTTACCAGCAGAACCACGACAGGTATATCTGCCGGACCTGCCACAAGGCGTTCTCGCGGCCCTCGAGCCTGCGCATTCACTCGCACAGCCACACTGGTGAGAAGCCTTTCCGCTGCACACATGCGGGATGCGGAAAGGCCTTCTCTGTGCGCAGCAACATGAAGCGCCACGAGAGGGGATGCCACAGCGGTCGTCCTGTTGCGACTGTTGTCTAAACGAACAAAAAAAAAAAAAAAAAAAAAAAGAAAAAGAAAGAAAAAGCACTGGTCGACTTCGATATCGGCTACAAACTATGATACCCCTTCTTCCGGTGATTTCTGCTCTGGTTTGATTTGATTTTTATTGAGTTCTTGATGATACCCTTGTCTGTGTTTCGATTTTTTTTTAAAAAACTTTATCTTTCATGTGTATATTTTTCACTTCTTGTACATTCTTACTTTTTTCGGTGAGGAGCAGGATATCACTGGGTGATAATGGGAGGAAAGCAAAAAATGATGAGTCCAAGGACTGATTCATGTTGATTTGGGGATTGATGATTTCCTTTTGTTATTTCTTTTGTTTCGATCAATCAATTGACGTGACATGACTTGAACTGAATACTTCGTGTTTGACTCTGTAGTCACCTGTAGACTTTGAAATGCCTAAGACTTATATCTCAGCTAGCGTTATAGTATTGTATAGTCTTGAGTAAGGAAGTGACGAAAACTACATCAGACCACGACATTTCAACACTTCATAAGTCTCATCTTCGTCAGCTATGTACAATACCAAGCAATAATAAATATACAGAAATAACAAAATATCGTCCAAAGGCGAGTAAGAAGAAACATACACCAGGTATCCAAAAATCAAACACTACAAAACGAGTTTCAAGCAGAAACACCATTAACCCTCTGAACAGACGACTCAATGACCCTCCCCTTCCCCTTAGCATTAGCACCGTGACCAGTCTTCACAGCCCGCAGCCTCTCCACCACATGCCCAAAGTTCAACTGACTGTAGTCCGGCGGCATATGTTCGCCACTGACAATACACAGTACCTTCATACCCGGCTTATAGGCCAATCCGCTGAGGAGTTTGGGCGTAATTAGGAAGTATTGGCCACCGCCTCCACCGCCCACGCTTTCGTCGTCGTTACTGGTGGTTGTGCTTGTGGTAGTGGTGGTGTGGGCACAGGCGATATCCACCAGGCGCTCGTGCACCATTCGCTCATTGCGCGGATCCATACCCTGATTGATTTCGTCGACGACGCGGAATGGGGAAGCGGAGAGGGACTGGAGCGCCATTAAGTAGAAGATCGTGCTGACTGCTCTCTCGCCTCCAGATTGGCGATGCGAGTCGAGGAGTGAGAGACTTTCGTTTTCGCGGAATTTGACGTGGATCTGGATTGACCATTGGTCGAAGTCGCTGTCGCCCGCCGTCCCTGTTGTTGTTATTGTTGCTGGTCTTTCGCCGTTCGCTGCGTCGATTGGTGTAGGCTCCTCGCCGGCTTTGTTTAAGGCGACCTGACCTGCGCAGCCGATGCGGGCAAAGGAGTCAGAGAATGCGTCGCTGATTCTCTTGACGAGCGCGTCCAGTTTCGGCTCCCATTTGCTGCGTACTTCGTTGATGGCGTAGTTGAACTCACCCAGTTGGCCCTCGAAGTCTGAGAGCTTGCTGCGCAGTTTGTTGATTTGACGCTCGCGCTCTTCGAATTCCTTGATCACATTACTGCTGCCTCCCTGCGTGAGCTCCAACCGGGCCTTTTCTGAATCAATGTCCGCCTCCAGCCGTTCGCTGGTGTAGTCTGCCAGCGTTTTGAGGAATTCTTCCAAATCGGGCTGGCGTTTGGAAGCCTTGACGACTGCGCTGGCTTCCTTCATCAACTGTTTGGCCGTTTCCGATGCCGTCTTGAGGTAGGCCATTGCTTCCTTTACTTCGGCCTGTTTCTGTTTCTGGATTGTGCGCTGTTCCTCGTTACGGTGCTCCAAAGTATCAGAATCAGAAATCGCCTCGATATGTCGGACTCTTGTTGTAAGGTGTTGCTCATGCAACTTGCGAAGTTTCTCGACCGCACGCTATTTTGGTCAGCTTCCGTAGACAGAAGACGTAGAAAGATTTACACGTACAGCGTATTCAATTGTCGCCTCAGCTTTTTTGATCGATAATCGATCTTGTTGATCCCGGATGCCACGCACTCTGGCCTTGACTCCTTCGGAGAAGCTCTCCATATTCTTCAGCCTGGCTTCATATTGACCTACGGAGCGTTAGATGAATGACAGGCGAATAAAGAAGACAGGAACAACAGACCGATCTTTTCAGGAATGGCCCTGAAGTGCGTATGTGCAGTTTGCTTGTCGGATTTCTCTCGATCAAGTTCCTCCTATAAGGGAAACGTTAGCTGTCATGATTGCAGGGGAAAAGAAAGAATAAAATACCATTTCGCGTTTAATGTCTCCATGCTCTCTGCCCAACTGGTCAAGTTTAGCTCTACCAGCTTCCGCCTTCTCATCGAACTCCCGAAGTTCATCTCTCAGAATCTGGATTCTTTGTTGCAATTCGTGTTTCGTTGATGCTTCAACAGGTTGAGTCGTCCAGGCTTGCGCCCGTCTCACTTGTCTCGTACGAGTACTCGTTGCACTAGGCCCGTATTCCCGGCGCCGGGAGATCTGATAGCTGTGTTTTCCGGACACCCACGAGGTTATTGTTCCATCCGCTATCCGATTGTACTCATCATCGTTGATATCGCGAAGACCGATAGGTGTTTGATGCAATCGGTTTTCGCTGCAGAGGAAAGCAACCACGGGATCTGGGCCGTTGAGAAAGTCCTTTGCCCAGCCGTCGAACCCAAATTGGCGAATCTCCCCATCCGACAAAGAGGGTTGGAAGCGGTCCAGAGGGACAGAGCTAGTCTTTATACTGATATCAGAAAGCTTCATGTCCATGCTTAGGTATTTCTGCAAAGTTCTGAAGTCGTTACGGCTCTGCGTCGTGAAGGCCAGGAAATCATTCTTCTGCATTAATGACTCGAGGGCATCGGCGTATTTTGGATCTTTCACAGAACATGAGACAATCGGCGGAGCAAAGACTTCTTTTTCGAACTTGTCTTGGTTGTCTAAGAGCCATTTGTAGGCCGCATACGTCTCGTGCGATAGGCTTTCGAGCTTCGTTTCTTGCCGTCCAGAAACAGAATCAAGGCTGGATAGCTGTCGCTCTGCCTGATTTATACGCGTCTTCCTGTCACTGAGCACCTCAAATATTGGCCGCCGCTCGTCTTTGATGCTTTCTCCGCGAGTTATAAGGTTTCGCATTTCCTGTCGTTTCTCCCTCTGTGATAGGGGTCAGCTAATGCTCTTGCTTATACCCACATAGTACTTACAATCCTCTCATTGTACCAATCAACGTCGAACTCCACAGGCTCCTCCTCCATTTGGCGTTTGAGTTTGTTGATGGATTGATGGACTCGGTTCTGTTCCTGCTTGTGCGTGGCAGCGGTCTTCCTCTCAGCCTCGATTTGTCCAGCCAGATCCTTTATCGAGTCTTCACGTTGCTCAATCTTCCTTCCAAGTTCCTTGGCTGAATTGTTCGCTTGCTCGATAACTTCTTCTTGATCTTTAACGGTGTCATTCAATGACTTGCAATAGTCCTTCTTCGCATTCAACACCCTGAAGGCTGGTTCTAGCTCTGCTTCGAGCTGCTGAAGCTCTTGCCTGAGGTTCGATGTATTTCTTTTTGCGGCTTCATATTGCTGGTGGTGGTCTTTGTACCGCGTAACGGGTTTCGAGAACTCCATCATCTCGATCTTTCTCTTGATTTCAACCCTCTGTCGCATCCGTTCAACATCCGCCCTCTGCATTTCTTGTCGGTTTTCGAGGTTCGTAAGCAGGTCCTTATCAGCCTGGTTATCCGTTTGCAACTTCTTCTGCTGAGCCCTCAGCTTCTTCAGACTCTCATGCCACTCGAGCATGTCCGGTCCCGCAGCAGCTCTCTGCGTCGAATGAAGTAGTTCAATTGGCGTAAGCGCGGCAAATTCCGCTACCTTATCTTGCGGCAGGAATTGGCAGAGGTTGTCGATTTGGATGGCGAAAGACTGAGCGAGTTCGTACACCTTGTTGCGGCCCACGGGCTTGTCGTTTAGAAAGAAGAAACTCTTGTTGCCATCCCGTTTGATAACTCGACGCACGACTGGGTTTCGACGGAAACGGGTCCCTCCTGCAAGTTCGATCTCGATACTGGCTTCTCGACAGCCATGCTTGACGTATTCACCGGGGTCTTTGGCGCGTCCTAAGTGCTATACAGCGGAAGCTTCTTATCAGCAATCTGCGACACAAGCAGGGGTATTTCTCATTCGTACCTGCGGACCCCATCCTAAACCTAAGCATATCGCGCACACCAAGGTACTCTTTCCCGTTCCGTTCGGTCCAATAACCATGTTCAATTTCGGACCAGGGAAGAACTCCGCAGAAGTATAGGTAACGAAATAATTAACCTTAATCCGCACAATAGAACCGGGTTTATAGCCATCCGCATCAGGCTCACCCTGACTCTGACTACCGTTCAACTGCGTAGCTTGCGTCTGAGTAGCCTGCATCCCACCCGTGCTCATGCTAGCCTGCGTAGAAGACTCCGACCCCTCATCTTCACACCCAGTATCCGTTCCCTGACCACCGCTCTCATCGCCCGTTTCGTCGTCGTCGTCGTCGTCATCATCGTGCTCCACAGGATGTTGTAATCGTCGGCGTTTGCTGCCAGTCGAAGACTGCGTGGGTGTGAGGGAGGCCTCATCGGTATCCTCCTCTGACCGTTGTCGGCGGCGAGGGACCGCCGGCAAAGAAGGCATCGTGTTAGGGTAGTCGAGCGGCTGCCCGGTGCAGCGCAGTGCCGGTGCTTTCAGAATCGCTTGCCTTTTTGAGATTGCTGCTAATACAGAAACGATCAAATGCGTCTACGCGGGAGACGCGACGCGGCTGTTCATTTGATGACTAAGAATTCCGATCAATACTGGTTACTTTTTGGGTAGGCGGTGTTTAGCAGCAGTTTCTTATTGCATTTCGGAGATGCGAAGGACAATCGGAAACGCTTGTCTACGTCGGGATTGTTGATTGAGAGAATATTTAAATAAAGACAATCTTGCAAAATGCCTATTCCCAAGAAAACACAACGAATGGTTCTGGCCGGAGCCGTAACGGCAATCACCATTGCGGGGTCCCTCTACGGTGCCGGGCTCAAGACGAACCAAGAGGTAGCCCAGGTACGATAAAATGCCAGACGAGCCGAGGGATTGGTTGAAACAGAACAATAAGATCCAATTGCTAACATGCTCTCTGCCGCATAGACAGCGCAGAAAACCCGCGAAATAACCCTAGACGAGCGAATTGCGGATCTTCGGCAAACACGCCAGAACTTGATGTTGAAGAGGGAGCTCGTTGAAAAGCAGATCCGGGACCTTGACATGCGGGTCGAAGACAGAAAGCAAAAGGGCATTGGTGGGCAATCAAAATAGAGGGACAGCGGCTGCATGATGGTTGATATGCAGATATGGTAAACGGAGGTTGGTTGTCCTTGCTCGTGGAGACATAAGCTAAGTCGACACTAGACCACCTCCATGAGACCTAAGATTTCGTCCCTGCTACAGTTCTTGCTCTTGAATCCGTACTATTGTTGGATCCGGGCAGATGAACGCCAAAGCGCGAGGCTTTTGAAGGACCGAGAGGCCCCAGGCGCCTGTTCAACTGCCCTTGATACAGGACTGCCAGCGTGCGCAGTTGACAGACATTCTCGGGTCCTTTTTAGAGACATGATTCCTGTCGACAGGTGACCGGACATGTCAAGCGCACACGGAGCTACAGGCATCGTTGGCCTTTTTTGAACTTGTATGGTATCCGCAAGTAAAATAACGAGAGAATGAATTAGACGGTCAGTGTTATCTATCTAACATTGAAGTATCTGGGTATAATCTATGTGCAAATATGTGAACCTATATATCCAAAATCCAAATTTCGTTTATCCCACTTTAGATAGCCGTTTTCAATATCAACGGACAGCACCTTAAGAAATTCATCAAAGTCGTAGCGCATTATTCATCCAAAATCCCCCGTGTAAGAGCAGCAAGACTAGCTTCATATCTCGCCGGATTGTGATCACTCAGCATCCCAGAGCCAAACCTCAGCTCTCCAAACAGAGTCTCAACATCTCGTATGAACTTCAATTGCACCCGTGTTGCTGGTCGTCCAAGCCGAGGTTGGCCGTCATCACCCAGGTTGGGGGTAAAAGCGTCCCGCTGGAGAACCCGCATTGTCTCCACGACGAACACCTCCCCAGGAGGCATGAGCTTGAGAGCGCACATTTCTTCGCGAAGACCCTTAAGGGTTTGCCACGCCCAGGCGTCTTCTCCAACACCGTCACCGGCGTGGACCAACATGGGGGCCTCGTTGACATGAAATTTGTTCACGATGCTTTGTCGCAAGCTCTCCCAGACTCGATATCGCACGTTGGATTTCGCGCCGGATGTGTCGCTTTTGAATGCTAGAGAGACAGCGTGCATGTCGTGCAAAATACCGAGAGAAAGACTCGGGACGACGTCTTGTCCGTTGACAACGGTGGTGATTAACCCGCGAGTTGCACGGCGTAAGAAAGGAGACATGACAGCAGGGGGGCCATATGCATAAACATGGATAGGACGTCCAGGAGGGAGAAAATAGTACGGCTGTACATTATATGCGCCGTTTCCGGATGGAAGCATACGCCGCATAACAGATTGGTAAGATGCAGTCACGAATGCTGTTTCAGCCGTTTCATTGACCGGCTCGGATATCATCGTTGCGAGGAGGGCGGCGACACCACCTCCCAAAGAATGACCGCACATAACCACCCCATAGTCCGGAAACTGCTCCAGAGCAGCCCTGATGGTAATCATGACTCGCCCACCTCCTCCTTCCAGGAGACGTCTAGCAGACGCGTGCATGCCCTTATGAACTTTCCAGCTCCTTCCCTGCCACAAGAGATCATCATAGTCGCAAGTCATATCGGTTAGGATATCCTCGAAGCCCCATGTCCCTCGAAGTGTCAGTACAACAGCTTTTGATTCATGGTCCACGCAAAGGAAGTGCACAAGTGGAAAACCAGTATCTGTTTCACCAGCTGCATTAGAACCACCTTCAGGGTCAACAAACGACGATAGAAGAATTGTTGATGGTGGTAGCCCTGCGTGGTTTGAGAAATCACTATGCTCCTGACTGTCGGAGCCTGAGGGAGGTGGAAGCGCTTGGGTGGTTTTGCGGACCCCCATTACCTTGAGGGCACTGGATCCATAAGATGCTAAAGAGAACCGACAAAAACGGCGGATATTGGACACGAAATGGCTTTCTGGAAAAATACCAGGGACTATGCCATCACGACTGAGCGCTTGGACTGTCTCCGTATCATCGTATGCACTATTTCTGGCACGGTGGGCAAGTATAAGCGATGTCTCCGAGCCTGCTGTCACCAAAGAATATATGCTAGGTGTAAATGTCTTGGACAGATGATGAAGAGAAGATGAGTTAGGGCGGCCATCATTGTTGACAGACACAGTCATATCTGCTTCAGATTTTGCCAAAGACAAGGAACTGCTGCTTCGTGCATGGTTTCTCATGCCCGCGGCCGATCCTGGACGCCTACCCGCAGGTCGTGCGGAATAGGCATCTGTCTGTGCCATGAATGACTCCTGGTTCTTTTCGCGAACTGAATATTGATCGTTTCTTGCACTTCTGCCGCGATTGACCTGCCGTGACCCTGGAGACGAGGCGGATTTCTTTCCAGGCGAATCTTGCAAATGCGACCTTGGTGCGCTTCTGTTTGCAGCAGACAAAGCCTCTTTATTGAGTGACGACTTTCCTTGGCTGGAACTTGACTTGGGAGCCTTTTTAGGCTGGGCCTCAGATGAGCGTACAGTCTTCTCAGACGGCGGTTTCAGAAACTGTTGCTTGGTGTCATCACTACTGTCAATAGTGGCAGGCTTCATTTTCTGAGCAAGCCTTGTTAACGAGCCTCCAAAACTGTCCTTGGATGCTGCATCCGGACTACTCTGAAATGGGTTGTTCGGATTCTTATGGTGTTGTTTTGGCGCGAGAATTTTAGCAGCCTTCCCTGCTGCTGCAGAGTTACCATGCGCATCCAGTTGACCTCCATATTGACTCGCAGAAGTGTCAAACAACGGTTGCCCGTTGTTTAGCGATTCATCATGCACATCACCTGTTTCAGGTCTCACATCTGCACTTTGCGACTGATTGAAAGCTGTCCTAAACACAACAGTGTGTTTAGGAAGACGCTGGGACTGACCAGCAGGAACTAGATCCTCGATATACTGGTCGTCACGAAACCTTTCCTCAATCATCGTTGTCCCAGGTGGCGGGCTGATCTCTGCATTGTTGTCATCAAAGACATCCACTGTGATAGTTCGTGCTGTGACTAGATCAGTCTTGATGGAGGCGTGGCAACCTCGAGGTAGCTGCTTCATGATGTATAGCCGAATGTCTTCCTCAGAAACCTGGTGCTGGTCTTCTGGCGAAATAGACAGATGAGGGCTGTCAAGAGTATCAACTATGCTCGAGCGACGCTGTACAGCATCGAACGACCAGTCGTCATCGTCGGGAGATATAAATGAAGAATGTCTGGGCTCTGTTTCCGCGCCGCCACTGGACGGGCTGGGGAATTCGATTTGATTCGTGCGGACGACATCTGCTCTCATGCCGTTGTCCAAAATGACTATGTCCCACACAGTCTCATCCCCGCCATTATCACGTATATATCGTTCAGTATTCTTCCTCCCCCAGCTTTGTAGTAGGGCGAATCCGACGGAGCCAACGAGAAGATCCCCCACTCCAATTCTTTCGGCATCGGGTCCAGGCACATTGCCTCTGAATTCCCTTCGAATGAGCGTAATTATAGCTGCTATCGCCCTTGAAGATTCCGTTGAACCAAGTATCGCATCGAGGGTGGATAAGAGAGCCTGGGACATATGCGCGACGGACGATAAGGTTGTCGACGAAAGGTGGAACGTTGCCGCGGCAAAAAACGACGCTGAAGTGACCGTTGTATGCAGAGTAGCCAACTAGAAAAAAAGTATTAGCAGAGTTTCACAAAAGAACATTCCAATGGTATATCACTTACACTCCGCTCAAGCAGCGACTCTGCCTCTGCCTTCCCACGCTCCCCGCCACTCCGAACAGCCACATCTCTTCCGGCTTTTGTCAAAATCCCTTCAATCATAGCCCGACTGAGCTCGAGCCCAGTCAACGTTGTGCTCCGAGCGCCCCTCAACGCAGCGCCCCCAAAAAACGTTCCTAACCGAAGGGAAAGCGACGTCGACTGGGTCACGAACGACACCAGGGAGGCAACCGGCCGCGGAAGAAGCGTGGCCGCACCCGAAGTGGCGGGCACATGGCTGGCACCGTCGTCCTGAACCAGATCCCTCGAGTCAGTTTCGAGCGCGACGGATTCGTTCGTGTCGTTGGATGTCGGGGCTTTTCTTAAGTATGAATAATTAAACATGCCAGTCAAGAGTGAAGCAATGGTAATTCAGCTCGACGGAAATTGGACATTGAGATACAGGCCTGCCTGTAGTAATGATATGTAGAAGTTCATGAAGTAATTGTGGTAGGCATGTCCCGTTCAGCCCCTTTTGACGCAGTTGTCAGAAGTTTGTTCAGGTTGAGATCTGGGGTTGGCATGTGATTCTCCGGTCCCGACAATTCGCTGAGTAATCCTGGTCGACACATGGCACTGCATTTCTGGAAAGTATCTACATAGCGCACAAGCAGGGATACATTACAGCATATTCTATTGGTCTACTCTGCGTACCTGATTTTGTGCCAGTCTGCTGACTATTTCACATGGATAACTAACTATATTACAACATCGCCATCCGATCACCAGGATAGTGGACCTTCCGGATCTTGCTTCGATCACATTCCGACAGCTCGCTGATCCCCGATAACCCAATGCTTTGCCACAAGTCCGCCAGAAGTCCCTTCATCACGGATTGTGCGCCCACTTTTCCTCCGATAGCGAGGCCATAGATCACCGGCCGGCTGACGAGAACAGCCTTGGCCCCGAGACAGAGGGCCTTGATGATGTCGACGCCGGTACGGATGCCAGAGTCGAAGAGAACAGTCATTTTGTCGCCGACTACATCGACGATCTCGGGAAGGACATCGAGGGAGCCGATCGCGCCGTCGACTTGGCGGCCTGTGAGTGTGAATATGTGAGCATCACATGCTTGAAGGGCAAAAGCTTGAATGGTGACATACCGCCATGGTTCGACACAATAATACCGTCGCATCCAGCATCAAGGGCTTGCTTCGCGTCCGCCGCATGTTGAATACCCTTGAGAACGAGGGGCCCATCCCAATGGTCCCGCAAGAAAGCTAGTTGATCCCATGTGTGAGGCCGGCCAGAGAACACCTGTGATGTCCACGATTTAGATGCCCCGACAATATCGTCCTCTATCTTGCTGCCTGATTCTTTTTCGAATTTCGAACGGAAAACTGGATCAGAGAAGCCCACCTGGGTTCCGATGCCACGAATGAAAGGTACGTAGGCATTATCCAGATCTGCAGGTCGCCAGGCCAGGGAGAATGTGTCCAGTGTGACAACCAAAACCGAGAATCCGTTATCTTTCGCACGCTTCAATAAGGAGAGGGTGATATCATCATCCTCCGGCCAGTAAAGCTGGAACCACCTCTTCCCGTCGCCGTTTGCAGCAGCCACCTCTTCGATCGAACTACTACTCGCGGTGCTGAGGATATACGGCACGCCGGATTTCGCACAAGCTTCTGCGAGACCTGTTTCCTTATCTTCGTGGAATAGACACTGAACACCCACGGGGGCCATGAGGAGTGGATTGTGATGTTCCTGGCCAAAGAGGTTTACCGAGACATTCTCATGGTCCAACTAACAAGCAGCGACTGGGTCAGCGACTGGCAATTAGTTGACGCTATGTGGTCAAGAGGGAACTCACAGCTCTCAACATTCTCGGAATACTGCATGCGTCAATCAATCGATCAGCAAGCCCACCCTATCTCAAATACCCCGAGGGAAAACACGTACATCTTCCATTGACGAAATGCAAGCCGGTTACTATCCATAGTAGCCTTCTCACCAGCTCCTCCTGCGACATAGTTGAAAGACCTGGCACCCAATGCTTTGCACGCTTGATCTTCCAAATGACGAGGATCAGTCGTGACAATGGGCAAGCTGCCAGACGTGGCACCTTGGCCGTAGATTTCGGCTTGGAAGGATCCGTAGTTCTCTGACATTGCGATAGCAATTGATTTCTCTTCTCTTGAATGGAATGTTAATGAAGATAGTTAGGACAGTAGAAGGGATTCTTTCCGGTCATTCTTATTGTTAACTTGTTAGCAGATGAGCTATGAATGATATCATCCTCCATATACTCCGTACTCCGAGTTGCACGTGACGATGTCTCGGCTTGCCGGTTTAGATGCGAATACATAGTACAACCTGGCTATATAAAGGGAATTCTCCTGGTTCAGATGTTGTGTACGGAGTATTTTAAGCTTCATTGTACTGCTCATCGCGACCGTGATGGCAGATATTCATGATCGTCGGTGCCGGCACACCAACGAACTCTCGGTATGCCGCCACAGAGAAGAAAGAAGAAGCAAGCGAAGAATGTATGTATCGCGAATCGAATCGAATCCGCACAAAGTTAATCAAGTGCCGTGATCTCGCATTCCAATGAGATCAGATTGACCATGGCACCTACCCCTGATAGCAACTCTGCTCTGCAAGGGCGATCCTGTCATCACCGCATAAGCTTATATCCCATTTGTCGATATATCATTGCCCAAGACCTGCTCAGCTCCAGCTCAGCTCTCCGCCAGCTGAAGCTTATCAACCCGGTATGTATTTGTATTTAGTGGCTGAAGATCTCGCATCTCGTCCGTCGCAATTCACCGGGCACGCCGCTATCGGTCAGTTTTTGGTGCGGGAATTGACTTTAGCGCTTATCTTGGATAATTTTGCAGCCAAGGAATCATGGCAGTCAAAGGCTAAGGCTTAATTACCCTGAAGAAACCAAGGAAAATACAGAGGATCTTTCTGACAACACTCCAACCGGCCATGGAGCAACATAGAGAGCCCAAGTTGGACGTCGAGTCGCCCCCGCCCGGGGTAGTATGGCGCGATGGGGACGACACTTCGGAGCCCTCGATCGCCCACGATGAGGCGAAGAGGGAGCAGAAGTTGATTCGCAAAATGGACTTATATATCCTGCCTTTTGTGGTTTTGTTATATTTGTTTAGCTTTTTGGATCGAGGTATGTTACTACGTGCACGAAACGAGATTTATATACTAACGTGACTGAGTGAATATTGGAAATGCCCGTCTATACGGTCTGGAGGAAGACCTGGGCTTGGTTGGGGATCAGTACCAGGTCGCTGTGTCCATCTTATTCGTCACATACTGTGTATGTCTCACCGACAAAACCCAGGATGCTAGAAACTAACAGGACATTAGTTGTTCGAAGTCCCCTCAAACCTAGTCATCAAAAAACTTAGACCTTCGCGCTACATCGCCTCAATTTCCGTCATCTGGGGCATCATCGCGACATTGACAGGCATTTGCCAGAGCTACGGCGGCCTGATTGCCTGCCGTGTCCTCTTAGGCGTCGTAGAAGCCGGTCTCTTCCCCGGTATGATGACCTATCTCACCCTTTTCTACAGCAAACGCGAAATCGCCCTGCGTACGGGGTACCTGTTCAGCAGTTCGGCCGCAGCTGGCGCATTCGGTGGTCTTCTCGCGTACGGAATCGGATTTATGGACGGCGTCAGTGGCCTCCGCGGCTGGCGCTGGATTATGATTATCGAGGGTATTCCGACGGTCATCATCGGCGTGCTGACGTGGTTCTTCCTCGCTGATGCCCCAGATACGGCGTACTATCTCAATGAGGAAGAAAGAGCACTTGTTGTTAAGTTTCGCTCCCGACATGCAGGGCATACAGCGTCTGCGCAAAAGTTCCACTGGGCGGACGTCAAAGACGGAGCTACGGACTGGAAGATTTACGCTTTCTCGATCGGCCAATTTGGTGTTGATACCATGCTCTACGGATACAGTACCTTCCTACCCACTATCATCGAAGGAATGGGACCCTCCTGGTCTACAGCGGAAGTCCAGGCACTCACGATCCCTTGCTACGCAGTAGGCGCCATCGCCTATCTGGCAGTAGCATGGCTAAGTGACCGACTGCAACGCCGCGCAATATTCGTCTGCATCTTCTGCGCAATCTCCATGATCGGATACGGGATCTTGATCTCAGACACACCCTCTGGAGTACACTATTTCGGCGCGTTGCTTGTCGCGCTGGGTCTTTATGTGGCTGTTGGTTTACCGCTGGCTTGGTTGCCGACTAACCTGCCGCGGTACGGCAAGCGGACGTTTGCGACGGGGTTGCAGCTTACGTTTGGTAATGTTAGTGGTGTTATGTCGCCTTTCTTGTATAAGAGCAATGAAGCGCCGCGGTATGTGAGGGGAAATGCTGTGACATGTGGTTTGGTGGGCTTTGGAGGGATTGTGTTTGGTCTCATGTGGGTTTATTATAACATTGTGAACCGACAAAGGGCCCATGGTGAGGAGGATGAGAATATTACGGGGATGACAGAAGAGGACATTCAAGAGATGGGAGAGAAGAATCCCCGGTTCGTGTATAGCATTTGATGCATTTTTAGAGTCTTCATTATGCGTCTTGATTAGATGTTAATGGAACAGAAGGTCCACGGTCAGACATAATTATATCTCATCATTATCTACCACCACTACCCAGTTGAGTGCTCAAAGGTATAATCGCTCAGTACTCGGGGTAGAAACCTCAATGGACGAAAAGCTGCAATGGCCATATGTCGAGCCATTTCGTTCACCAACGCCTTTGCTCTCACCGAGCAAGTCAACATAACTCTTACTTCCTTGAGCCTGATCGGTGCATGGGCCACCCTCATCGGAGAAGCGGCCCTCAGTATATGGACTGGATACAATAGGAGTTATAGCTTCTCCATCATCCTCAGAGCCCTTGCCCTTGCTCAATAATTGGGTTTGGCTTTCATTTGCTGGACCCTGCAAGGTCTCTTTGATGGAGCTGTGGTATCTTGTATTTAGTTTAGATGCAGACTGAATCGCAGATCCTCCATCTTCTGCCTCACTGCTCCTGTCCGCATCGTCGGTCCGGGGCGTGGAGGTCTCACCCCACATGACAGGCTTGAGTGCATGGTCATCGTGACCAGGCGGAGGATGACACGCAGCGCTAATCGCTGCACTGCAACTGACAGCAAGAGGCATATTGGTTCTGAAGTGCTTAAGCCCCATCCCTAGAATTGTGCACACCATCACAAACCCAAGAAGTATGGCGACCATAAGTGCGATTGGTGAATAACCACATGCAATCAGACGTTCTGTGGTAAGCCTCCCGGCCATGTCATACAACACGACTTCCACAAAAAAGAAGCTCTGGGACACAAGCCAATGTAATATTGTGTTACAGATCATTAGTGGGATACTGTATCGGTATGGAAGACTGAGGTAATAGGTCGAGCGCTGGAGTCCCTTTGCCCAGGAGACACGCAGTGGCTTGCGTTCTATGGCGTAATCATTGTACTCGGCGGCAAGAAGCATGGCGGTTAACATGTTGTTGTAGAGGAAATATGCACTCGAGAGAATGATCTGCGGAATATTTGCAAGGAGGGCTATGGATATAGTCCCCGAGCAATTGCTGGGGTTGTCGCAAAACTTGATTATTGAAGATGAGGCGATGCTGCCAAAGCCCAGCTTCCAGAGCTCTGTAGGCTTGATAGATTGGCCTTTAGCTCTTAACGTCATGACGCTCAAGTAAAAGAGAAAGCATGATACCAAGAGGAGAAGGAGGCAGCTGTACAAGTCAGAAGTGCTTATCAAGAAGTGACCAGTGTATGTACTTACAAGACGATTGTCACTACGAAATATAGACCGCCCACAGCGTCTCTCCATCGTTTTTTACCGGGCTGAAGTTTCGCAGGCTTGGATGGTCGTTCCCATGAATTCCGACCCATTGAAACAAGTTCCTTTGACAACAAACAGTTGCCCTCAGTGATTGTGTCAGGTCTGCTGAGGAAGGACGATATGGCGTCCCCAACTGTGAGAAAGATCTCCTTTCTAGTGTCACGAGCTGTCATGAACATGCAGACAATCTTGACGAAGTTGCATAGAATGACGACGATACATATTGGAAGACTAAATAGTAGCTGACATTCTTCTTCGACATTCTGGCTTAAGCAATAGTCGACCGAGAGCGCGGAAAATGAGTCAGCCCTAACGGAGTCCAACGCACATGTAGCTGCTGTATTTTGGATCGCAGCATCTTTCGTCCAAGAACTGTTCGTCCAGTAACTTGTATTGCCAAGTAATAACGGGTCTGACCATGGTATCGAGGATACGGACCAATCGCCAAGACAAGCCTTGTCGCAATCACTCCTTTTACATGCCCTTTGGCATGGGTATTTCTCACAGTTTCTTTCACCTGGTAAATCATCGTGGATGAGCTGAGGATAATTTGGCTCACTTTGGCACATCCACAAAAAAGAATATGACGAGTATTGTTGGGGCGAATTTCCCATGCTGACCCAGCGCAAGGAGTTATTGTCCGCAGTCATATCATTAGTGACCAGAATGAGAGTCCCTCGATCTGTAATGTAGTCGGAAGCATAGGTATCGATGCATTTCTGTGTATCGAGTCTTTCGAATTTTAGTACCTCAGAATAGAAAGTGGACATGTTCATCGAAATGTTCTGTTCAAAGCAACCTGCATGGCCATGACTTGGTGGGTTGTTGAAGTCAAAGTTCGCAGATGAAAGCAGGACGCCATATTCGCGTGTACCCAGTGCAGAAAACACAGTAGAATTGTACCTGTGCTTATGATTAGAGACTAATTGCGAGAGAGATGTCGAATACTGACAATAAATGAACCGGGAGGGAAGACATTAATAGCACTATCCATAGCACAACCCTCCTCCAGTCAAAAAAACGGAAATTCTTTATGCTGGACACACCAATGTTAAGCCATTTTCGCTGGGCGTGAGCACCTTCAACGTCCTGACGAGATGGCGAACATAGACACTGCATACAGTAATTACTCGCTGCCAGCATGATTGTACCGAGAATGTTAATCAGTAAGTGCAAGCCGCGCGCCCAGTTCCTTGAAATGGAGCACTTTCCCTGGTAAAGTATGGAAGAGCTAAAGTCTCGACCTCCAAACTTCGGATAAGACATGGAAACAGCGATGACGGTGAGAACGATGTTCAAGAACAAGACAGTGGAGGCAGAAAAAGCGCTAATGAGGACGCCCACAGCCCATTCGCGTTGTTGGCTCCTTTCCTGTTTGATCCTCCGGTCTATTCTGTTGACAAATCCTCGAGGCAAGCAGGAGACAAACTTGGAGGTCAGGGATGTGCTAGGTTCGTTGGAATCCGAAGAACGACACGTCCTACATCCGGTTAGCCACAGCAGTTCTAACCTGCTCAGTTAGATTGGAATGCCAACCGGCCCAACTCATATTCCTGAACATCTGTTCTACCTTTTGAACGATGCAGTAAGTGACCGTGCTTGGCACTGTCAAATGGCCAATACCAATGCCGCTTCACAGAGTCTGACAGTGAGAGTGGCTCGCCCATGGTGCGTGTCTGTTTCCATTTCCCACAAGCTCGAAAATTACGAAGCTGCGTCTCAGACCAGTGCTGGCGCCGCGAGGCTCTTAAATACCGTAGACTCAACTATACAATAAGGTTCTTCTTGCCAGACTTCAAGTAGTCATAAGGGATCCGAGCAACGAGGCTGTCAGCCTTGTGCCGCGGGGCAGATGTGCTAGCCTTTCAGCTCTTCTTCTACTTGCCTTGAAGCGACAAGGATCTGCTGTTGGGGTGACCGGATTGGTTTAGACATTGTGCGCTTTGCTTCTTGGCACTCGATATACGGGATATCCAGCCAGTCCAGTCGGAAATTATATGTGGCGGTAAGGAGTACACGGGTCGTTCCTGACGAGTGATGGGTGAGTTCTTCCAGAAGTTGCATCAGGGGTAATTGTATGAAGGAGGGTCACATGATCATACTGATTTGTTTTTCGTGCCAACGTCACGTGTACCAACCGGCCGGCTTAACGAAGTCAGCAAGAGATCTATAGACAAAATTGCGACTTGTAGGTGAATTTTATGTCTGACAGAAGGATGCCAGTCGTCGGTTGTATATAGCTTCCAGAATGTCTTCTCTTCTGACCTTCATCATCCCCTTTTTCGCGGCGTTTCTTGTTGTCTTTTTTTATAACGGCTCGCTGTCATCCCCAGTATTTCAGTTCCTGACCTCCTATAATCAGCATCCAATTTCACTACATAATGCGAGTTGGAATACGTGGCTCAATCCTTCTCGTGCTATCTCAAAGGGTAGCGGAGTATCGCGGAGGAGAGGATGGAATATCCATCACCATTTGGGCGGGAATGGGCCATGGGTTGAGATGATTGACGATGAAGAATTCAGGCCGAGAGGAATTCATCCCCCCGAGGGCTGTACTGTTGATCAGATACATATGGCATGTTCGTTTATGTCATTGGTCTCTGGATATGATGCCACTAACCGTGTTGCAGATTGCGCGCCATTCAGAAAGATATCCCACGACATCGGCAGGAGATCGTAGGTTGAATACCTTCGCTACCTCTCTGTGAACAGAGGGCTATCTCAAACAGTCAACAGTCTAACTTGATATGTATGATTTAAAGGTCATCTTGCTCTTATGAAACGCATCGAAGAGGCAAACGTACCTCTGAACGGCTCCCTGTCGTTCCTGAACAATTGGACCTATTTCACCAACGACCCGTCAAAGGATCTTAATCAATTAACTACCACGGGTCCCTATGCAGGCACGCTTCAAGCGTTCACCACTGGTGTCCGTTTTCGAACCCGCTATGGGCATATCTTGCCGAACAACATAAAGACACGGTTTTGGGCCAGTGACTCAAACCGTGTTATCCAGACTGCCAAGTATTTCTCTTCGGGGCTTTTTGGCCTGAACTGGGAAAAGGACGGGGATGCGGTATTGCAAATCATCCCCGAAACTTTTGAACAACGTGCAGATACACTGACACCCGGTGATACATGCCTAAATTATCTTGAGGATAATCTACAGGGTCATGATAACGGGGAGAACGTGCTGGCACTATTTCAGGGTACATATATCCCGCCAATTGCAAAACGACTGATTGAAGAACAGAATGGAGATCTCGGGATGTTCACACTCGCTGAAGTATACAGCATGCAAGAAATGTGCGGGTTCGAGACAACTGTTCGAGGATCAAGTCCCTGGTGCGATATCTTCACTTATGAAGAATGGGAAAGTTTCGCATATGCTCGTGATGTGCTCCATTACTATCGCGCGGGTCCTGGAAATCCCTATGCCGGTGCGATGGGCTGGCTTTGGTTGAACGCGACAACATCACTTTTACGCTCGGGTCCTGATGCTGGTTCTATGTTCCTTAGCTTGTGAGTGTGTCTCTTTTCTGCTTCCATACTGGTAGACTGATAAGCTCTTCAAGTGTCCACGATGGCGACATAGCCCCATTCCTTACTGCGCTAGATATCTTTCAGGACTCGAAACACGATCCAAACCTCCCAACCACCCATGTTGCAAATGACCGCGTCTGGCGTACGTCCTCTATCCTGCCAATGGGTGCTCGAATAACTCTGGAACGGATGACTTGTCCATCGCCTTCTTTGGACCAGGACGACACTTTTGTCCACATCAACATTAATGACAGGATTAAGCCGTTGCCCTACTGCAAATCTGGGCCTGGTGCTTCTTGTCCATTGTCAGATTTTGTCGGTCATGTACGTCGACGAGGAATGGAAGTAGGAGAGTTTGGTGAGGTCTGTGGTCTGGAAGGTGATGTTGGACGGATTACCTTTCTACATCAGGAAAACATCAACGATGAGTGACTTTCTGTGTATAGCTAGTATATATAACAGGATTCAAACGATAAATACCAAAAATAGCTGGATCAGAAATGACTTGATTACCAGATTCGGTATGGATACCGCCCGCGGGTGGTGAATTCCAGGGACAAACGGTTTATCCCGTATTTTTCTGGGAGTTCTATTTATTATTTCACGCAGGTTATACAGATTCCACTCACATTGAACGCAATATCAGTTGTAATGATCCGAATCCTTCAGATCTAAGCATTCCTAAGGCATCCTCGGCTAAACCCTAACGGACAACCAGCACTTCCCAACCCACAACCAGCCGAAAAAACAACCACAGCAAAATTATCCCATACCAAAATGAGAACAAAAGACAAGAATGAATACAGCCTCGTAGCAATTGTAATTCCATGAAGTGTAGCATATCCTTTATCCCATACTCCTCTGGGGCGCCAGTAGCAGCTTAGCGAGCGCTTCCGTTTTCGCCGCTCCCCACACAAATCGACTTTCTGTCGGGGAGCCGAGAGATGCGCATCATCAGCAAGTAACGACTTCAACCTCCTCCCTCTCTTCCTCCCACCCCAAGAACTCTTTTTTATATTCTTTTTTTAGCTCTTCTCCTCGGTTTCGACGGTTTTATTTGTGTACGTATTATTTTTCTCCCTATTTTGCTGGTGGTGGTGTGGTGGTGGCTCCCGTTCCCCTCCCCCCTCTTCTGCGGGCGCGTGAGGAACTCCCGCACCGCACATTTAATAATCAAATTCGGGCCTTTTGGGGGACCCTTCAACGTTGACCCAACAGTTTGAATGCGTTATTGACGGTTTTGTTTTTTTGCTTCAGAAAGAACCCCGAATCCTAAGTCGTCACAATGGATCAAGCGAAGTTGTCTCGGATGCAAGCTAGCGTGCGGATTGGTATGTGTTCTTGATTGTTGGACTCTCTGGTTGTGCGATTTCGCGCGGCTTTAAATTGTTGTATAGAGACATTGATAATGGCTAACATTTGATATTACTTGAATAGGGTATGTATTCAAACGTTTTCCTTCATATTTCTCTTTCCCGAAGACCTACAACCGTCGACCACGAAATTACCCGAATACCTGAAATCCCAGCGATCCACAAACAAAACAATCGACTAATGAATCAACAGAGGCAAGGGTACTCCCCGCCGCAAGGTCAAGAAGGTCCACAAGAGCTCCGGTGCCGACGACAAGAAGCTCCAGGCCACCCTCAAGAAGATGAACGTTCAGCCCATCCAGGCCATCGAGGAGGTCAACATGTTTAAGGAAGACGGCAACGTTATCCACTTCGGTGCTCCCAGAGGTGGGTTTCTATAATACACGAGTTGTGTGAATTGTGTACTGATGATGGGTAAAGTCCACGCCTCCGTCCCCTCCAACACCTTCGCCCTCTACGGTAACGGCGAGGAGAAGGAACTCACCGAGCTCGTCCCCGGTATCCTGAACCAGCTTGGCCCCGACAGCCTCGCCTCGCTCCGCAAGCTCGCCGAGAGCTACCAGAACATGCAGAAGAACCAGGCCGGTGGTGAGGGCAAGAAGGACGACGAGGAGGATGATATCCCCGATTTGGTTGAGGGTGAGAACTTCGAGAGCAATGTTGAGTAAAAAGGATATAACGAAACGAAAAAATGAGAGAAGAGAGATCATATCTTAATGCAACATGAAAGATGAAAAAGCACATCCGGATAAGAGGAGAGGGATTTTTTTTTTTTTTTTTCTCATGTTGGAACATGATATATTTTTCGTTTTATCTTCCTTTGCCCATTCTGACAATGACATATATGACCCAGTTCAGCGAATAAATCATACCAGCCACGGCTTATGATTGGCATTTCAAGGTTATTGAATTCTTTTCAGCTGCAAGTACGATTTCTACGTTAACATCTGGGAACGAATAGGACCATATGGAGCAATGAATGGAACTGAGCCCATGCAGTAGCAGCTAACGCCAATGCAAATATAATTCGAATCCCTAGACAACCTATTATGCATGCAATTAAATAGTAAAGACCCGCTTCGCAACTTCAAAAAGAAAGAAATCCAACACTGAAGAAGTCGGCATAAAATGAAAAAATGATGTTATCATACATAGTCCACGGGTATCTGCTGTTCTCGAAAATAATGAACCAAAGAGCCTAGCATTTCTGTTCTTCTCTTGCTTCAATGCGATATATAAGCTAGTCTCACGATTCCTCTTTCAGTCCACACATGTCCGTACCAACAAGTAAGTCAACCGTGTACCAGAAGCGCCAGTACACGTTGGAGTTGTCGTAATCGAATGTGCCGTCTTCGCGAAGCAAAGGCCCGTCGCCAACGATATCGCCTGTGAACCAACTGAGGATCGGGATCGACCGGACGACACGCTCGGTAACCGTCGGCTGAGGAGGAAGGGCTTCAGTCAACGGTCGAAGTTTCGTCCGACGCACTGTCGGGATATGTGTCATAAACTCGGATTCTGGTTTGGGTTCTTGGGGTTGAGGCTGAGGCTGAGGCTGAGGCTGGGGTTGCGGTTGAGGTTGAGGTTGAGGTTGTTGTCGTTGGTGGAGAGTAGGGGTAGCAGGTTGCTCAAAACCGGTTGCCGTGGCTGAGCTTGCGGTATTGGTCGAAGAAATTTGCGACTCGTCGTCTTCATTGTCGATAACGTTGGAAAGACTGTTCACTGCGAAAGACCGCGGCAAGGTATGTCGTTCGTTGGCCTGGTTCTGTAGGAAGGTCGTCGAATGAGAAGTGGTCAAGGTTCGTGGAGCTTTACGGCTTGCCGCTGCAGACTCCTTGGAAATAGGAATGTCCTCTGCCGGTCCTGACCCATGGTACAATTCACAGTGAACAAGATGGCCGTCAATCTCCTGTGGCGAGAAGAAGCAAGCACGGTCCGCGGCGTTGGTAGAATCGAACGTGATCTTAATCCAATGGAAACCACCTGCATACCGCTTCGACTTGCGATTCGCATCGGCGGACAAATTCGCACGAATAACCACATCACCACCACTCAACATCTGGGAGTATCCAAAAGAGTTGGGATCGCTGCGCGGGTAATCCTCGCAAATCAAGCCTCGCGAAATCCTCTCGTATTTATCAATCACCTTCCACTCCGAATCCTTGCTCTTGTATCCGTAGAGTATGCATTCCGTCGCGACTTTTTCCGTCTTATTGTCGAGATTCGATGCAGATGAAGACTTCGGCAAAGTATGGTGAGTCTTTTCTTCATCCTGCTGTTGTGCGAACAGTCGTCCAAACTCGGCAACGTTGACGTTCTCTTTCTTCGCTGGTGTCCCGGTACGTGTCCGTGATCGTGCGGTTTCGTAGCGGGCATTTCTCCTTCGTCCAAACGGTCCGGTTTCCTCGGGTGGTCGTCGGGGGTTGCGGGATTCGCTGTCGTCAGAATCCATGTTAGTGATATTCGCGTGAAATCATAGGCGCCAGCTGGGACACTAAACAACAGAGTATATGACGGGTGAGATAAAGAAAGACATACTCTTTGTAAACATAACCCCAGGGCAGAATGTTTCCCTTCTCGTCCCGCGCGCGCTCCTCAGGCGGAACAAAGTGATACTCCATGACCAGGATAGGGTGTCACAGAACTGTTTTGAGAAGATGATCTGTCTCTTTGGATATTATAAGGGAGCTAGAGAGCCCGAGACGCTGGATTATTAAGGGGTTGGCACTGTGAATCAGTGCAGATCGGATCGTGTTTGAGCTGGCCTTGTCAGAGCAGGAGTGAATCGAAACTTTTGCGGCGATAAACAGTGCGTTAGCCAGGATACGGTCACGTGATTTACACACGAGCATGGCATGTCGGGCACCTATGCACAAACTGGCTACGCTCTTTTTCATGCAATAATTTTGCTTGTCAAATATCTCGTATTCCAACAATACAGTGGTAGATTGTAATTAACTACCAATCGGCACATATATCCAAACGTAGACGTAGATAAGTATTAAAGACGGGAGTCATGATAGAATCACAATTGGGATTTCTCCTCAATCTGCTTCTCAGTCCACTCCCAAAGCTTCCTGCCAAACTCGGCATCAGACGCATACTGAGTCTTAGCATGCGTCCCAATGGGAACATAGTAACCCCCATTAACCAAGTCCTCCCTCTTCACACCAGCAGCAAACAGCTGATTCATCGCCCCAGTCCGTACACTCCGGAATCCAAGCGACATGGCAGCAAGAGCAGACCTAGTGAGCGCGTTCGACGCCTTAGCATGCTCATACAGGTTGCTAGACACGGCGCCCGGATGAACTGCGACAGACAGGATCTCCGGATACTGGCGCGCAAGTTCCGCCGCAAAGAGGATGTTGGCGGCCTTGGACGCGCCGTAGCGAGTCCATGTGCTTGCGTCCAAAAGAGCGGGAGTGGATGTCATGACATCAAACGACGGAGCGGCACTGTGACCCATAGAACTCAACGTCACGACTCTAACATCCGGCGCGGGAGTCGCGCTCACGACAGTCTTCTGCAGCGTGGGCAGAAGCAGCTTCGTGAGCAGGAAATGGCCGACATGGTTTGTCCCAAACTGCACCTCGAATCCTTCCTCCGTAGTATCCGGGGGGTTTCCCATTGTCCCTGCGTTGAGCATCAAGATATCCAATCGCTCACTGTCAGAGTTAAACTTTTCTGCGGCCGTGCGGATAGATTTAAACGAGGCCAGGTCGAGAGGGATGTGTCTGATGTCCACGGGGGGGGAGACGGTTTCTTGGATCGAGGTGATGGCATCTTGCGCTTTTGTCGCGTTGCGGGCGCCTAGATATATACGGGAGGGACTGTGCTTGGCGAGTTGGATAATGGCCTCTTTTCCAAGGCCGATATTACCTATCCGAAGAATACTGCGTTAGTAGATGGGTAGGTAGAACTCCAGGGAGGAGAAACTTACCCCCAGTAACAAAGATAACCTTCCCGGTAAGATCACCAATATCCCTCTGCGGATCAAACGACGACCCCAAAGCGCCAAAGGTAAGTTCATTCAACGTGGGACCAACACTAGAGAAAAGATCCCTAGGATGGCGAAGACCATAGGACGCGAAACCGAAGACAGGACTCATTGCGCCGGACATTTGCGAAGACCTGGATAGATAACAGATATACCAAAAGCGTCAAGATAGGAGATATGCGGTTCAACGGCACATTATCAGGATAACACTGTAGATATAAGAAGTAGAGTATAAATTGACCGAGGCATATCGCCGACGTGAAGAAAGCTAAAGCGATCTGCCAGGGTGATCTCCACCGCAGAACGAACAAATGATATTCGAACCCGATGTCGTGCAGTCAGCCATCTCTGTTCAAGGATGAGCGTTCAGTAGTATTGTTCCAGAGTCTGTCGGAGTCAAGGGTTCGCACAGAACAGAGAGAGGCATGAGTGGGAATCATATGATCGGCGCCAAGAGGTTTTCAGCTGACTTCCCAAAAGGGTTAGTGGGAGGTCGTGATAGCACTGCGACACAGCTGCATCTTGAGGATACGCGCTGATAGTCATTGTGGCTAGTTCTCATGCTCGAGTGATACAAAGATAAGAGAGATACCTGTTACTCGAGTCAGTGACAAGAGGGACAGATCCATTTATACCCATACCGTCGGAACACCACCTACCAATATCAGCTGCCCAAGCACCGAAGCAAGATGAAGTTTCTCTGTCTCCATGGTGCTGGCACCAATGATGAGGTACGGCCTATTATAGGGCTAATTCACATTTTACATCAAGTACTAATGGATTGATAGATATTCGACCTCCAATCTGGTATGCACCATACAATACCCATAAACACAAAGACCCCAATGCCAAAATGTAATCCTAACCCCAATCAGGCGGAATACGCCACTCCCTAGAAGAAAACGGCCACACGTTCAGATTCATAAATGGAGGAGTCCCATCCAACCCCGAGCCTGGTACATCACCCCCTCCCCCACTGTCTAACCCTAAACATATCTAACAATCACAGAAATCGCAAGCATCATGGACGGCCCCTTCTACACGCACTACACAGCCAACGCACCCCCAGGCCCCACCCTCTCCACAGCCCTCCAATACACCCTCTCCATAATCGAAAAAGAAGGCCCCTTCGACGCCGTAATGGGCTTTTCGCAAGGCGCAGCCCTCGCCTGCTCTCTGCTAATCAACCACTCCCAAACCCATCCCAACGAAAACCCGCTGTTCAAAATGGCCGTGTTCATCTGCAGCGCGACGACGTGGGATGTGAGTAATGGGTTGGAGGCTTTACAGCCGACTCCAGGGGATTATCCCGTGGGGATTCCGACAGTGCATATTGTGGGGAAGCAAGATCCGTTGTATGCGGAGGGGAAGAGGATGTATGGGTTGTGTGAGCCTGGGAAGGCGGTGTTTTATGATCATGGGTCGAGGCATATGGTTCCGTTTGATTTGGCGAATACGGAGAGGATGGCGGGGATTGTGGAGGAGATGGTTGAGCAGGTGGAGGGTCTATAGATATTATTATACAGAGAAACTTGGTTGGTATATACGGGCATTGGTTAGATAGATCAAAGACAGATATGCAGCAAATGAAGCGTTCATATTCCATTCGTAACTTTCCAGGTCTGTAAATGGCATATCCAGGAAGCAGTCTATTTAATCCTCCCGTTTCTTTGAAGCCCCCGGCTTACCAGAGCTAAACTTAGCCATGAAAACCGCTAATAGCAAAATGACTATACCCAGAATAATACTGTACGTTATTATCGGTGTCCCAGCCCTATTTCCCGTCTGCATATTGCCGGAACCATCGAGTCACAGCCCCGCAGTCTCTTCAGCAGGGAGAACCTTTCCAAGGAACTGCTCAAGGTCTTCAATCTCCGCCGGATCAGCAGAGTGAGGAAGGTCACTGCAATCAGATTAGCCACAATCCTGCTAACAAACAATAATCCGGTAAAAACTCACGGGTAAGAACGGAAGCTAACATCCTCCATCCCCAACTCCTTCATCGCCTTAGCAGACATCTCACCAAACGAATGCGGCACAATATCATCATCAAGACCGTGCGCAAGGAAGAACGGAGTCTTCTTATTCGGCCAGTCCTCAGCGACGTAGTTCTTGATCCGGTCACTCAGAAGCAAGTAGCAAGAAAGACCGAAAACACCGCCCAGCTTCTCCTTGTTCGTAATGCCCGAGAAAACGGACATGGCGCCTCCCTGCGAGAAACCACCGAGGACGATCCGCGATGACTTGATTCCGTTATCGACCTGTTCCTTGATCAGGGTGTTGAAGTATTCGCGAGAACGCAGGATGCCGGGCTCGTCTTGGGTGCGGATGGATTCTTCGAAGTCGAGCTGTGGACAACACAGTCAGTATCAACTTCCACAATACAATATAACAAAGGAACTCACATCACGACCAAGCTTGCTAAGATCATACCACCCCGGCATGCTCATACCAAAGTTCTATATACCCGATTATCCGTTAACCCAGCGTGCTCCCCACTTAACCAGCAAGCCGGGTCTGCAAACATACCACTGTAATGGGAATCATAGGCGCATTAGGGAAAATGAAAGCGACTTCATCGAACATGCCACGACGGCGCCAGTTTTGGGCGAGGGACATCCTGCATAGTTTGACGTAAAGTATGAGCATCGCTATTCCATTGATCTGCGGTCGTCGATATAGGCAAGATAAACGTACCATCCAGCGCCACTATTCGGAGAAAAGAGTCAGTCAGCAAAAATCCTTCGAGTTCTCTATACAAAAAATGAAAAACCAACCTATCACCCAGACCATGGGCCATAATCACCGTCGCGGTGTGTTTCTTGAGCGCGGGAACGACATAGGGGGCGCGAGGTGGCATTTTCGCTTCTCAATTTGGTTCCGAGTTTGACTTCAAAGTGTGATAATGAAGGACAAAGAAAGAAGAAAAAAAAAAAAAAAAAAAAAAGACGAAATAATTTGTCTAGAAAAATGGCAAATAAAGTAGAAGAAGGTGCCTGGATTTCCCCGCGATTCTGCCGCCGAGCTTGCGAGTTAACTATCTGCAGTCTCGCCGCCTTCTATATCAGGACAACGCCAGTGAAGTAGGAAAATGCATGTCGCATTATTTTTTGAGACGTTGGACTCCTGGGCTTACTTGATGTTTGATCAGGGTATAAAGAAGGTATGGTGCTGTCGAAGTGTTGGTCACCATTCGTCGCGATTATGGCCTTAGATCCCGAAGGAGATATATACAGGCGGCTCATGATAAGCATTTTATAGAACATCACTGTCCAAGTTCATGCAACTCCTTCTCAACGGTCTCAATAACAGCCGAAACTAATCCTTCCTCGACAACACTTGTCTGCCACGAGAACGCCAAAACCAAGCACCCATCACCACCCGAAATGACTGAGATCTCAACAGCGCATCCCGTAACACTAGCACACTGAGAGAAGATCATGCGGCCAACCTGCGGTTTTGAAGGATCGTCATTCGATTTGAGACCGGGTGCAAAAACGCCGATATTTGACAATTCGAAACTTGATCCCCGTGGTTTTCCTATCTTGGATAGGAACAGCTCTTGATGGATGTCGTTGACGTATTTGAGAAGATTTGGCGAGGCGTTCGTGCCCTGGAGGCTTAGGGTGCTTTCTATCGTCCTTCGAGACCGTTGGGCTTCGTTCCAAGGAAAGGAATCCACCAAGACGCTGTCGCGTGAGTAATATTCATTGTAATCCTGTATCCAGACGCCTATCGAATCGTCGTTGACGATGTCAGGGAGGAATTTCCGGGAGGAGAGGGGACCATCGCATTTGATCTGTGTGAAAGTCTCGGGGAGGTGTGTGAAGAAAGCGCGGGAGATGACTGTCTGCAAAGCCCCGGTGATCGTAGTGTTGTTGCGACGACAAGCATGCCTGAAAGATGTTGCGAGGGATTTGGGAATGACAATATGGCGCATTTGCGTCTCAAGTGGGACACGAATCTCTGAGCCAGTCCACAGCCCAGGATCCCTCCAGGACCAAACCTTCGCTTTGAACAAGGTAGTAGCAAGGTATGGGATGGTGAGGGTCATGGGATGAATCTCTTCGATGTTCGGGAGAAGTGGCATCGTAGGCGAGGGAATCACTCGCCTTGCTCCCGTTGGCGATTCAGTAGCTGCATGCAACGCCTCTAGGAACGTCTTGTGGAAAGTTTTTCCAGAAGTACCGTCACCAACAGCATGATGGAATACAAAAACCGCCGTAAAACGGCGCTCATTCCCCGCATCAAGCAAAACACAAACCCTCCAATACTGAAGCGGCGGAGAAAATGGTGTATTATGCTGGGTATTGATCAACTTCCCTAGTTCATCGTCTTTCTCATCTTCACCTGGAAAAGATTGGCTGCGTGTTTGAAAAGAGACACAACGCTCTAAGTCGATCTCTGGAAGACGCGCCCAATAAGGCTCCTTCGTATCTTCACCAATAGGAATGGCGGAAAGAATCGGATGCTGGCCAATTGCTGACTCGCATGCTCTGTATATGTAGTCTTCTATCGAAAGAGCGGACCCAGGAAGTGTATATGTTGCAGCAACTGCGACATTGTAGTAGAACCCGAGGGGGTTACGTGCGGTGGAGTATTGCTCCAATCGACCTGATACCGTCAGTCGGGACAATCAGAAGCAATAACCACACTACTTACCAACAGGCCGCAGTTTTTCAAGCTGGTTTATGTCCATATCTGACAGTTGAATGTACAAAGTACGGATGTGGAGGAAGCCAGCTGCACAGCAGCGGGAGGAAGCGAATATATATATATAAACACGTGACTCATCGAGATCAGAATACGAGAAGGAATATATACTCTAGTCTATGTACATGGTATGGACAACTTAATACAATCATCATCACTCGTACAGCATAACTTTTTGCCTCGCCCACCGTCTATGAAAAACACCCGGGAAAAGAGAACCGAATCACAGCACCGCCATACCACCCACAACAGCCGCACCAAGCATACCCCAAGCAGCAGTTTGCAAAGCGACAGCACCACCTGTGGATGTCGAGGCCGAATCCGAGTCCGAGGTCGAAGAGCCGCCGCTCTGTGCGCCGCCATTGGCAGTAGACTCGTTGGCGTTACGCTGGGCAGCTTCACCGGTGAAAGGCGCGGCAGCGACGTTGGTGTTGTTTTTGCAGGACGAGTCGGAGTAATCGGTGTTTGAGGAGAATTGGATATCCGCACACTGGTCTACTTAGCATGCTGGTCTCAAGATTGGTTGAAAGGGCAGTTGAGACATACCGCATAAAGACCCCCGGTAGGATCACCATTGCTCTGAACCTGCACAGTGGCATTCATGCCATCTGTGACATTGACACCCAATGTGTCCTCGTCAAAGGAAACGTGCGGGATACAAAGCGAGCCTAATCCCCGTGCGCCAAAAGTTGGCACCAGCGTAACATTGAAGTTGCTACCGGGGTCATTGCCCAGAGACAGCAGCACTTCGAAAGCAGTCTGCGTGTGGCCCATTGTCACGGCCACAGGGAAGGAACCATCCGAGATGGAAACCTTGGTGCGTTCAGACGATTGAGCCAGGCCACCGCAGGGGAAGGTGGTCATCCTGTCCTCATTTTCACCACGGGGAGTTGGGTAGTCGAGTTTGAAGTGAGCGGCCACGAGGGGTGCAAGGACTGCGAGGGAGAGAATGGAAAGCTTCATGGTTGCAGTGGTAAACAAGGATTCCGTGGAAGCTCCGGATATTGAGTGAGAGAAAATATGTAGGATATATAGAGTAGGAGCAGGGAAAGAGGGAGAAAACCGGGAAGGTCTTTATTACATTACTACAGAGCTCTAGCTCCAGATCCAACCGGGTAATGGCCCCGAAACAAAGACCATAGAACGATAATTGCATGATATTACTCCCGCAGCCCTACTATAATACATGGACCCTGCATAGATACTAAGATCCATGCTGAATAAGGGAAACCGCCCAAAAGAGCTAGAGTTAATCAAAAGAAGTTCGAAAATGTGCTCAATCATGCGCAGATCCACTCATTCCGATGGAGCTTCCCGCACTAATTGCGGAGATTCGGTGGGAGCCGGATAGCCGACACTCGCGAGGACATGTCCGTTTTGGGATGGGCGAACCGACAGCCCGACAGAGTCGATTGCCTATTCTGGTGGGAGATAGACAGATAGACAGGTCCATGCAGTGAGTTTCGGCACGTGTGTTGACCTGGGGTTCTATGACGCTGATCGATATCAACTCAGTTCGAACACTTTTGTTTCGTCTTTACAGAACAAAGTGTACTCCATAGAGTCATGCTGAAGCGGCGAGAGTGCAATGTACGTATCAAAGTATATACATTATGTCGCAGATATGCTATATGTACAAGGTAATAACAGTAACCGAAACAGCTGAATCTCATCGTTTGCCGTGTCTCTTTTGCTGACCCAGAACGCCCTATCCCGAACTCCAACAAAGCCCGTAAATTTGTATATAGAAGAAATTGGAAGAAGAAATCGGATCAATGGTCGTGATCATTCCATTGAATGTATCGTCCCACAGCCAATTCCCCCAAGAAAGCACCGCCCAGCACGGAACAGAAGTATCCTACGTTCATCGTCATGACAGCCAACATCCTAGAAGCATGTGTCAGCAAACATCCCTTGCGTGTGCATTCTTAGAATCAACCACATACAGTAAATAAGACACTCCAGTAATACAGAGGTAAATCAACGCCCGAGGAAGGTCCACGCTGAACCTCCAAGGCAACGGCTCGTTTGTCACCCGACGCACCACCTTAACCGTCTCCTCCACGCCCTGAGGAGTCACCAAAGAAGCAGTCTTTGCGTCCGGGTCAGATTCGATACGTCCGGCTTCGGCAGTCTTTCCTTGGACAGCGACATAACGGCGGTTGAGGTGAGCAGCTGTCCATCGTTGTTCCAGGATGGCTTTAAATGCGACGAGACATCGTCCGATGATGGCGAGGGCAATAAGAAAGATGCAGGTTCCGGCATAGGTGCCGCTGGAGGAGGGTGTCCAGGCATTGGAGAAAAGAGGAGTGTCGTGGTTGTTAACAAAGACCATGGCCATGGACATTGATGAGGAAGATGAAGAGTGGTCCATGCCGGACATGCCAGACATGTCGCTGCTTCCCATATCCATGTCCATTTTGGGTAGAGGGATCAATGTAGAGAAAGTGAGATATTGGGAGTAATCGAGATGGACTGAAGAGGGAGAGGGAGATGAGAAGGAACAAAAAAGCTATAACGACGGCGGTTTTAGGGCCATTATGAACCCGGAAATACTGGCAGAGACGCTAGAGCACATTTCTGGAGTCTGGGCGGGGCGGATGAGCAGATTCCTGTCTGCGCGCCAATCACTGCTCTCCCGAGACCCGCTGGAGGTCCGCCCTCAGACCCGCCAAGACCCACACTAAACCCTGCGCGGATTGTGAGAACAATACGGAGTACGTTATGTACCGTATTCATAATTAGTCACTGCATCATTTCATGACTTCTTTTCCTCCCCCTCCATCCTCTCTCTGTTACGACGAGAAAGACATACACACAGCATGTCCATGTCCATGTCAATGGGAGGCATGTCCGGCATGGGCCATATGTCTATGGGTGCCGGCGTGCCAAGCCCTTTCTATCTCCAGAGAATGTACTGGGCAGTGGTAGGAAGTGCTATAGGAGCTGCTGCCGTTGTCAATTTCTTTAATTGGTTTCTGGCTCGCCAGAGGTAGGAGCTGGCATTCTCCGGAAAAGTATACTGGCTAATAACTACAGAATGCGAGATTCGACCTATACTCCCGCTAGACCCAAATCCCTGTTATTCGTATTTTGCGCCACTGTCACAGCATTGGTGCGCGAAGCAAGCTATGCGACTCTACCTCCGTTATCTCTCAAAGGCCGGACCTTTCACTTTGCTCCTTTGGGACCGGTTGCCATCATCCTTACCAACATAGTCACGCTTATGGTGCTTTGCTTTTACAAGTTGGACACAACAGACCAGTGGAAATGGGAAGACGTGGGCTACCGCACGGGATTCATCACGATTGCGCAATTGCCATTGATCTTTCTGCTAGCAGGAAGACAAAATATCATTGGATATTTGGCTGGCATGGGCTACGAACGACTCAATTGGTTTCATCGATGGGTCTCTCGGATTCTATGGCTGACGGCCACGATTCATATGGGCTTTTGGTTCCGTGATTGGGGCCAATACGACTACATTACATACAAGCTGAAGAACGATGCTCTGGCGAAGCGTGGATTTGCGGCATGGGTCATTTTGAGTTTCATCGTCATTTCATCCGCCGCCCCCGTGCGGAATATAAGCTACGAGATCTTCGTTTTGCAGCATCTGGTCACCTTTGTGGGTTTCATAGTTGCAGTATGGCTTCATGCTCCGAGTGAGGTTAAAGCCTGGGTGTGGATCCCTATTGGACTGCTGATCTTCGATCGCGTTGCACGATATACATGGGCTACCTACGCTAATCTGTCGATCTTCCACCGTTCCGTCAACTCCAAACACCCACTCTGGGCAAATCGCGCCTCATTCACACCGTTGCCAGGGAATGTGACTCGTATCACGATTGAGAACCCTGGTATTAGCTGGAGGCCGGGTCAGCATGTATTCCTCACCTGCCACTCCGTTGTGCCGCTGCAGTGCCATCCATTCACTATTGTCTCCTTACCCGAGGACAACAAGATGGAATTCTTCGTCCGCGCAGGAAAGGGCGGCACGAGTAGATTTTTTCGCTACGCATCCAAACACCATAAAACCCTTGGCTCTGGCGAGATATCGCCACAAAAAGGGGAGCGCACCGTATTCATTGACGGCCCATACGGAATGCACAGGCCACTCCGCCAATTCGACTCCGTCGTTTTACTAGCAGGAGGCACGGGTACGACATTCATAATTCCCTGTCTCAGGGATATTGTGGCGGCATGGAAAGGAGAGTCGCAGCAACCGGATTCCAAAACACGACAGGCCGCGACCAAACGGATCCGATTCGTGTGGGTGATCAAATCACGCGCTCACCTGAGCTGGTTTGACTCGCAGTTGCAGACAGCGCTTGCAGCCGTCGACGAGTGCCGACGCAGTCAGCCGGACCTCATAAGAGAAATAGAAATGAGCATTTACATCACATGTGATGAAGCGCTGGAGCCAACCACCAACACAATGGACCGGACCATATGCTCGCAAGCTCAACCCGCCACCCTCTTTATTGCTGAAACGCATGATGAAAAGGGGGGAATAACCCAAAAAGAGGACAACGTCACGGTCCAACCGCTCTCCTCCAGCTCATCCTTCTCCAACCAACCAGCAACAGGCTGTCTTCCAAACGGCGGTTGCTGCTGTACAGCCCGCGTCGAAGACGAAGACGAAATCACCGAACAACACCGTTGCACCTGTTCCGGACACGCAGCTGTCCGTACCAGTCCTGTCATTAAAAAGAAGACTGACGAGAAAGCCATATCACCAGCACAAAACACCATCCCCATCCTCTCCGGCCGCCCACAACCACGGACCATCATCCGGAAGGTATTGGAGAAAGCCGAAGGCGAAAGTGCCGTAGTTGTTTGTGGGCCACGGGGGCTATCAGATGATGTTCGTCGGAGCGTGGTGTCTCTTAGTGATGAACGGGCTGTGCATAAGGGGACAGGTGCTCAGGGGATTTATCTGCATGTTGAGAGTTTCGGATGGTAAAAGTTGAGTTCTGCATATACCTGGCGTTGTGTGTATTTGGATATTGTACGTATAATATTCATGAGAATGAAATGAAACAGTGTTTATGATGAATTCGAATCCGATAAAAAGGTTACTACTTTATCCATCCGACCTAGTAAACGCATTGAGAAGAGGATGGTAGTGATGAGAAAGGGTACCCCGATTGGATGTTCCTAACTAACTCATCCTGCAATCAAGGATACTCATCATTCCGTTAACGATCTTCCCTCTCCCTGCGTATGAACATTGCTGACTAGTGAGATCCTTCTGTCCGCTGAATACACGCCCTTGGCCATTTCAATCACGATACCGTATATCTGCTAATTACATCCCTCTGAGCTGCCGTATGCCCGAGATTTTGATGTTACTGATTTAACCCAATCATCCATTTTGGCAATGATAGTATTGTATGAGGCTTTCTGATCCCAAGAGAATAGACAAACTTGGACATAGGGCAGTGACGGCTTGCGCCTCAGGCAGTAATGCCAGTCATGTGACCGTGCATGCAACGCTGAGGAACCAGTTCGATGCATAAAGAAGCAGCTCCTTTGCTTTGAATTTAGCCATTGCTTAGACATCTAGTGCCAGTCTGGAAGCTTCTAATAATCTAAAGCTGCTTGTTGGTTGATACTAGCTGCACGACCGATATTACCCGAGGCGATGATGTAATAGGTCAACTCACCTCCAACCTCACCTCTGCCTGACTTTTACCTCGACCATCCATCAACAACACCACGACACTACCAGACCAATTCTAAATCAATTTCTCTATACAAACAGTCAAGATGTTCCGCTTTGTACGTCTCCCTTCACCCCTCCCCCACCCCTATTATTAACCCAATCCCCCCAATACCACCAACCCCTCCACCCCCAAAAACAAACTAACAACCCCAGCTCCAGCCCAAATCCCTCCCCCCGATAACCCTCTTCCACAACCCCACCCTAACCTCCTCCGCCCATGCCCTCACAATCCTCAAACAAGCCTCCACCATTGCCTCCGAAACAGCCACCGAAGACCAAGCCTCCGACTACTCCAACCACGCCAAGAACCAGCAGACCGAGTTCCAGCTGGAAGTCACCGAGGGCTCGCCCACGAACGACCAGCTCAGGAGTATTCTGGATTATGTTGCGGATAATGGGGTGGGGAAGAAGAAGACGTATGTGCCGGGGGAGATTGTAAAGGGGGCGAGGGATGCAGAGGATGCGTTGGCGAGGTTTAAGGAAGATAAGGAGAGGTTTGTTAGGCCGATTGTAGGTTTTCCCTTTTCTTTTACGGTGTTAGGGATGTGTGCTAATGATGGTAGACTGTTGACTGGAACGGTGGACGTGCCGTCATCGGTGAAGACGAGTCTGAGATTCTCAGTATGTTACGCCAGGTTGGCCAGTCGGACGTCGACTAAATGCCTTCATGATCGATCCATCGTGTTTCATAAATACCCTGTTGGATAGCTCGATTTACTGGATCTATCATACCAGTCTATGTATCATACACAATATCAATGCACTCAACTCCTGACCATGACCTCCTGACACTGAACGCGTAAGGTGAAACATGCATCGAATTAGAATGTACTCGCTCAAAAAGAGAAATGAAATGAAAACATGAAGATGAAATAACCTTGTCATGGTCAAACGAGATCCCGCTCGGTGCCAGAAGAAAGACCGAAAGAAAAGAAAAGAGGTAATGCCTAAAACATTGTTCCAAACGACCCATCCGTTGGAATTGGTTTTCGAGATGAACTTCGTCCTGCGCCTTCAATGGCCGGTTTTCGATGACTGCACGTTTAATTAGTATAACAGCAAAAAACATATAGAAGCAAAGAGCGTACCGGAATGTAAACCCAACAAACAACCCCTTGCTCATCTTATCCTCCCGCTCTGCCATATCCTCCAATGCTCGTTGCTTGTCATGAACCTCCTTGTACTTGGCCATGTCGGATTCATTGGAGAAATCGTCAAAGTATCCAGCATCCGTCTCCGAATCCAGCTCGGGCACAAACGGCGGGCGTTGGTCGCGAAGACGTGTAAAGTCGACCTCGTGAAAGTAGTCATGTGCATGAATCTCGTGAATATTCTTGAATCGATAGTCCTTGGACGCCACCAGCTTGGTGATAAAATCCCATGTTCGTCGCGAAAGGAAGTAATTCGGGTCCTCGTACACCGGCTTCCGTAGCACTTTTTGCCATCGTTTGAGGTTTTGCCAGGTCTCCTCCACTGTTGCGCCGGCGAAGGGCGGATACCCTGCTAATGCCTCAAACAGCATGCATCCCAAACTCCAGTAGTCCACTGTGAAATCATACTGGTCTCCTTTCAGAACTTCCGGTGCCATATAGTCAGGCGACCCGACAATCGACTTGGCGTAGTTAACCTGACGCTCACGCAACGAGCGATATCCTTGACGTCGTTCTGCCGCGGTTCTCTGCTCCATCGGTCGGCCGAAAGGAACCGGCGTGTTACCCACTTCTTCCAGTTTCACGCGCATCGATTCAATTTTTCCCGGATTCAGCATACCGGCTGCTAATCCAAAGTCCGTCAATTTCACATGGCCCGTAGAGTCAATGAGGAAGTTCTCTGGTTTGAGGTCACGATGGATGTATCCCAATGCGTGCAGCGCATCGATACAGCTGAACATTTCGGCCACGTAGAATCGAGCATGACGATTATGCAAGACACCGGCGTTGTTCAGTAATGTTCGAAAATCTCCTCCTGGTACGTATTCCATGGCAAGGTAGATCTGGTCCTCATCTTGGAAAGCATAAAGCAGCCTCACCAACCAGTCACTTTTTGCCGCTGTCAGAATATCACGCTCCGTAAGGATATGCCGGATTTCGTCTAGCTTGAAGAGTAACTTCTTGCTCATCACTTTGAGCGCGCACACCTCCCGCGTGTCCTTCTTTTGTGCCAAATAGACCTGGCCATAACCACCCTGGCCGACCTGCGTCAGGAGTTGGAAGTCATGCTGGCGGAGACGTGTGCGACGCTTGCGCAGATGAGCGCGCTCGCGACCGAGATATTTGCGGAGTGCGGGTTCGTATTCTTCGATCGGGGTATCGGGAGGGTCGGGGTATGCGGTCCGGAATTGGGACTGGCGGTTCCCACGGTTATGGACGTAGCTAAGGAGGTCAAAATAATGGTCGAGGAAGTCTGGTGCGGTGGGTCAATTGTCAGTCCATATGATCTCGGGAAGGGATGCATAAACCAAACATACAAAGTTGAGTCACATTGACTAATCGCTTCACGCGCGGGTTCTGCAGCTTCTCTAATTCCTCCGGAGTCAATCCACGCATCTGAACCTGACGTCTTCCGATGGGATCGTCTCGTGGTTGCTGGTAAGGCTCATGGCGGGAGAGGGCGGCGGCGGCAGGATTACGACCAAAGCTCTTCTGCGGCAACCGAGACGGTGCAGCATTCTCTTTGTCTTGGGATCTGCGGGTAGGACTGCTCGAGGGTTGATGGATAACACTTTCACTGAAATCCTCCATGGAGCCCTTGGCCTTGGGCGGGGAGAACATGGGATGATTGTAATGGTTGTAGGTAGCCTTGGGAGACGACTTGGTGGGGGACGGCGGCGCAAGCTTCATAGCCTTTTCAAAGACATTGGGTAAATCAAGCGATCCCGGGGGCATCCTATTTTTGCTGGGACTGCCCTGAGGTGTCTGCGCCGGACTAGTGAAGCCATTTCCTGAAGGTGTGGAGGGACGGTCGTAAGGTTCGTGGCGGGTGTGTAGCAATGGAGGAGGCTCTGGAAACCGCAGGCCATGACGCTCTGCGGTTTCGCGAGCGATATCGACGGGCATGATTGAGGTTGTGAATTTTCCTTTGTGTTCTTTCCTGTCACTCTTGTAACTTCGAGGTTTCTTCACGTGATAAACCGAGATGGCCCCTTGATAAGGGCGCGCAATAATCGCAACCGATCTCGATGCGGATCGCTAATGGGTATGTATAATAGATAGAATTGAGACGAATCGCAAGAAAAAGAATTTCAAATACGACAGAAGGTGAAAAAGAAAAAAGGCAACTAAAAAAAAAAAAAAAAAAAAAAAGTCGCAGGATGAAGGGATACGGAGGAATGAGAGAGGGAGGGGCGAGGAGTGGGAGAGAGAGAGAGAGGGAGGAGGCGGCGAAATGGCAGCTGTGGTTGGTCAATCACACCACCAGCCAATATTAGACTGAAGCCAAACACACGCAATTTGGGTGCAAAGGGGGGAGAAGAATGTCTTTGTGGGAGACACAAATAGGAAGGAAAATGAAGAAAATGAAAATTTGAAAGTGAGATAGGATGAAGATTATGACGAATACACAGAGTTACTGAGGCAGCGAAAAAAGCGTGGCGAGGAAAGAGAGAAAGTGTGGCTGCTGAATCGGGCGCAGCTGAGTCGTGCCTTCCTAATCTGGTAACGAGGCTTGACCCAACATAGAGCCGCAGTCCGATTGTGTCAGTTGCCAGGGCAACTTTCTATTGTCGCACTGAATAGAGAATGCTTTGAAAATGACTATTAAAGTACAATGGCAAACAAGTTTTGCAATCTCCTGTTTTCCCCTTCAAACAAACCTCAAAAAGCTAATCGACCCGGATTCAGGAACCAGTGCACGCGATTGGATCCTCGGGGGGACCACGATCGAGCTGGACAGCAATAAAAATGGAGCACAACTGCAAGTCATCGACCACTAGTTTTGTTTAGACACGGGATTAGCAGTCGTAGACGGGTCAGAGGGGTGGAGGGGAGCCAGATGTCGCACGATTACGGAGTAGTCCGATACGACGAGGCTAGATGCATTAGACCTTGTCTAGTATATTAAACTTCAGGCTTGTTTTTGCATTTTGTGCATTATTATGTGTGTCAGCTTCGTTTTATATTGAAGTCCGCGATCTCCCGCAAAGCCCGGTTCAGATCCGTGTTCCTTGGATGAAAAAAATCAAATTACCTGTTCGGGTATGGCCTGCTCGTGATCCATGGTCCCGCGTTTTGCTATGACGTATTATTTGTTTACGTAGATCTACACATACAAATTCATACTCAGGGACCATGGTTGCGAACCTATGGATCTGATCCATACGAACACCGAGTTCGGATATCATTGCGGCATTAACATCAATCACCTGTACGTATTACAGAGTACTCCGTATCCCCAGAGCCCGGAAAAATTTACGCACCCTCCTTAGCACGTTGTCCGGTCTACCTCATGTCAGCCATCGCAATCCCAAACAAAAAAGGAAAAAGAAACCCACATAAAACGCCAACCCTCCGCCCTCAGTCACAAAAGTTATCTTCGATCCCTTGGGAAAATAAAACACGTCGCCCGCCCGAGCCTGCACCGACTGCCCTGTCGCGTCGGAGATCGTAACCTCGCCTTCCAGGATGATCTTCATCTCGTCGTAGGTGTATTCGTAGACCAGTGGGGTGCCTCTTTCTAGGCGGAAGAAGCCGCATGAAATGGGTTTTTCGGGGGCATTTTGTTCGCTGGCCGAGGCATATGGTGGTTACTTGTTAGTACTTTTGTATACAGTACGGAGTAGTCCGTGTCCGTTGCCTGGGAGTGAGGGACTGACTGACCTCGATGCTAAATCGCCAAGAAAAGCATTCTCATTGGCAATGAGGGGCGGCTCAAAAGTCGACTGTGCCTTGGCGTGGTAAACAAATGGAGTAGCCATTGCGTCAACTATACAAATTCAAATAAAGCAACTTAAAGCAAAGCTACCGCTCCACAAACACCTGCACTAGTAGCAGCCAGCACAAACCATTTATACACCCCTCACTACTTGTACAACGAACCAACGAATCCGTACATTCGCATCCAATGTCCACACAAAGTAACCGAATCCATGTCTACAGTTATCAGATATCCGAACCGTGAGGAGAACATGACTGATACTGTGAGGAGAAACCGACACCAGTGAGCCATCCAATCAGTGTCCCAAATCTAGATATCTGGGGTTTCTTTTCCGAGTCTGGTTAGTCGGTCCTTATCAGTGCTCTGTATCGTACGGAGTACAAGGCATAGCTGAGGGTGTTACTTCAATGCCTCTTGCTATGGTCTAAATTAGCAGTATTATAGCGATAATAAAGAGTGTTATTCTGGTAAATAGTGCAAGAATCTATGCTAATTTGGTATTTACCCCGGATGTGGTAGTAATATATCGATATACATGTATCAGTTCCGTAGGTACGTACGTATGTAAGTAACCTGCGGTATTACATACAATACCCAAACCACACCATACGGAGTACAGAAGTACACCGGCTCTTGTATACCCAACTTGTATACTTCTTAACTAAACGTGATCCAAGCTATCTTATTTCTATTCCTAATAAAGTATCTCTCTATAAAACAACACATTCAGACAAAATATCCATATCAACAATCCCACCACCTCACCGCATCATCTAACCACTCTACTCAAGTACAACCAGTGAATGCAATCACATCATCAATCCTGCTGGATTCCTACCGGAACAACCCCAGTGATTCTTCCGATTCGATCAGACCTCGATATATAATGCCTTCCCCTCCTTCTCCTCTTTCTCCTCTTCACTCTTAACACACAGACCATCGCCCCAACTCAACTCAACTCAACATCGCTCACATCGCTCGACAAACCCAAGCAACTTTCTCTCTATCTCCACTTAAGGCATCGCCCCAACGTTCCCTTCTCCATCAAAACTAAACTGACCGACTACAGATCGAGGGTTTGCAAAAACGGTACATCCCTGCATGACTTGGATAGTCCACTTCGTTTGATGAAAAAATCATAATATTATTACAAAAATCGATTTTGAGAGACTTGAAAGACTTGTGCCACTCGACGAATTCGACATCTGTAGCAAAGTCAATACACCATAGTATTGAAAGCAGATATCGTACCACTTTGAGTTCTTTTCGGAATCGACAAAGACTTCCGTGGAATTGCGCCATTGCGACAACCTTTGCTTTTTATTATATCCCATGCGCCAATCCGAGTTTCTTTCTCCCACCAAAGCGCCATAATTTACTGAGGGAGACTTACGACTAGGACATTCTTCGATATCGTTCAAAAACAAGTCCAAGCAGCAATCCATTGTTAATATTTCACTCGAACCGAACGCCACGCTGATCGACTATTACAATCGAATCGTAATATAAGCAGACCAGAAAGCAGCACTTGCATACACAAAGTATCCAGAAAGCAACAGATAAGCATATCCTTTTTGCACCATGACCACAGTCTCGATCACCAGGGAACTCGAGCCATACTTGGCTTCTCTCCGGTCATACCTGGAGGACCACCCGAGCAATCTACCGGATAACGAGCCCGCAACGCGCTCAGAACGCCAGCCTGCTATCAAAAAAGACCCGGAGGAGCCATCGAGATCGAAAAGCAGTGCTACCAGGAATCCCTCCGCAAAGCGTCTTCCATTACGCCCTCGATATTAACTGAGCCTGTTCCAAATTCAACCTCTATCCCAGGAACACTATGTAAAGAATCAAGAGTTAGCACTTTCACACTCAAATGAAGAAAAAGTTATTGCTTACCTTCCCAGCCCCATTTTTCCATCACATTGACCCAATGCAATCGTCCCCGGACAGTCTTTTCATGCTCGATATTTTCCAACCCTGACACAGCAGAGCTCCGTCTTGAAGTTTGGCGAGAAGTGACAGAGGGAATCGCTCGCTCCTCCCGACCCCATCCTTTCCCCCAATTCTCCGAAGAATCATACATGGTATTGCTGCAGCTGCGTTTGTGCTTCCGCTCCTGCTCAACCTTGTATGCATCTCGACGGGTCCAGACCTCTCGCACAACCTCGAGGCATCGATCGATACCACCTAGCATCAATCGAGATTGGATGGCCATCCAACGATTCAGAACCCAGTCACGATCCTCTTCTTGCTCTGCTTCGCAGCCAGCGGCAATGAGCGGGAACATCTGAATTATAGTCGCCCGCGAACTTGGTGGCACAGTGGCAAGCAATATCAATACCCGCTTGGCCAGCTCCGATGTCGGTTCTGAAGGCATTTCTGGGACGGCTTGATGCAGATACAACAGGGTGGCCCAGCGATAAGCATGAGCTGTTTGGATGCTATGTTGCACCTCCGACGTGGGGTCTTCAGGCGGTTCGAACCATCTCGGGGGCTCCCACTGCTCAACAAGTCTTTTCAGCTCAATGGCTTGGGAGACCAGCGAGATGGAGTTGGAATCACTTTTTCGGACCCGTTGGACTAACCCCGCCACCTGGTTGATGAGCGGAAATAGCGTGGCAGCACATCCCATCAGAGGATCGATTTCATGTACAACATCGCTCGAAAGTTGAAAGATGGATAGGTCCATTTCTGGGCCCTCGCAGTCATCTCGCGACGTTAAACGAGCAATCACATCCATATACAGCCAGGTATTGTACAGAAACCGAACGCGCTCCAAATCAGCCCCATGCACTTTACCCTGAACGGCCAGATCCAGGACCTGCGACACCAATGCCTTGGCTCCTCGGAGATGTTGGATGCAAGAGCGAGTATGCTGGTCCCATGTATCCGCAAATGCTAGCGCTAGACTTGTAGCCAATGCCGCATCAGTCCTCATGCTTTCGATATTTTGCACCATATACGCGATGCTTTTGCGCATATGATCCACTCCATGGACCCTGAGGGCTGGGTTTTCTTTGCTGGAATGGAATGCAGCCATTGAGAAGATAGCGTGGCGCAGGGCCGGGGTGTCTTTGGCCAACGGCCAGATCAATGTACGCCAGGGATTCTCATGCATCCCATCCTTGATCGACAATATACCGCACGTGTTTCTATTGAAGCGTAACACCAACATCTCAGGACTTGCAGCTCCTAAATCTGGTTCGCTAGGGATGCTGGATTCCATGAGTGCTTCGGTCCTTGACGGAGAAAGCCCGGGATCTTGAAAGAACAACCACTGGCCGGAGCTTGGATCGGACTGGCGCACGATTTCCTCAATTTCATCATCATCCCCTGCTAGCAGGGCGGAGAAGCTGAAGCTATCTGACTTGGATGGACTAGGAGTCCACATTGCGCCAAAGGAGTTGCCAGAATCTGCGGACGATGGGAACAAATCCGACAACCATGGAGCTGACCCGGGAATTTCAAGCTCTCCAAGTGAGGACTCGGGAGTCTTCTCACTCAACGCATCCAGATTTGACTGGCTATCTTCCTCTACCCTAGGTGGGGTGTTTCGCTGCGGCAATCGACGCCCTTCTCTTGATTTAAGAGGAGACCCTTGACTTGTTGCAGCCCTTGCAAACGATATCGGACGTGAAATATTCCCTCTTGATCTTTTGTTCGGCGTGGTCGGGAGCGGAGGCGGCAAAGTGACTATCAAAACAAATAGCGCGGTTAATTGTTAGGACGATACATTATAGGAGGGGGGTATAGGGAGGGGGGGGGGTTAGACATATGACTTTACCATTCCTCGTCTTTGCAGAAGTCCTGTTCGCCGCATTGGTCTCTTCGAAGGGTCGCCACTTGAAATCCTTCTTGTATCCTCCGCATTGTACCTTGCGCCGTTCACATTGAAGACAGCTTGGTTTGGACTCGTCGCACTTTAGCCGTTTGGCCTTGCAGGTAATGCAGCCTGGATGGCAAGTAGGAGCAGAAGGTCAGCATCTTGTACATGGTACGCTGCTATTCCAGTTTTATGCTCTCATCCGTTCATGTATTCATATCCATGCGCCATTATATCATAACCGATCAATGAGAATGTCTAATGTACTGTACCATTACGACTTTTCGACTGTTTAGGCTTGCTGGTCGCATGCCCACCTGCCGTACCCGTCCTTGCTGCGGAGAGGGATGATCTGGCTGGAGGAGCCGACGAGGAGATAGAAGAGGCAGGGAAAGATGAAGAAGAGCCAACACCACCATCAGTGGTAGCAGCAGGAGGAGCAGAAGGAGGGGAAGATGAGGGAATATCCAGAATAGCCGAAGGGGATGGAATCTTGATGCTTTCCATGCCCAGTGCTTGGAGAGTTGGAGATCGCATAGAAATTGGAGGGGGACACTGAATGAACACGAAAGGATAAGATGAGGAAGAGTTATTGATAGATAGAAAGAGAAACCACCGCACAATATCTCTATAAGAACTCCATGGAGACGAAAGAGATAGGCGAGTCGAGATAGAAGGGACAGATAGATAATGGAGGAGTTCCTCGATCAATCATGTACTCATGCATCCGCGTGAGGAGAAAGCAGAGAAAGAACAGTTGATAAGCCGCGGGGGAGAAGAACAAGGTTCCACAACAGGAAACGAGAGCCAGCGGAAATAATCAGGATGATAGCGTACTTTTTGGATGCTGTATTGCCTGTAATATTATTCGTCCTGGTGTATTAATAGACGATAACGTGCTGGACGTGAAGCTATACAACTCGGTGGTCACGGGACCAAACACATGGTCTCCCCACACTTTCCGGCGGTACATTACATTGGCATCTCTCTCCACAGAACTCCAAGTAAGCAGTAAGTAAGGTTTCTGATGAGTTATTCGGTCTTCTGACATGTTGCATACAGGTATTTTACTATATTTACCCTCCGAGACAACCTCACCACAAGTGGACGACGATAAGACAGCGCTATTCTCCAAACGAGTTTTCGATCACCGAGATTCCATGGCATTGACATTGCTGCGAACCGCAAATTGAGCGATTTGTTTGATTCACGCTCTGATGGTTCCAGACGGCTCTATACAAATGATGACGGACCAGGTGGTGGGTATTGGTAACTGCATTGTCTTGCATAGTTCAGTGCCGCGATCACTGGACCACATATCTGTTCGGCTCCTTGGGACCTCTACTGATGATTCCAATTGACTGGTAGAGGGTTCAAAGAGTTTCGCAACATTGCGACGCCTTCCCTGTAGAGATATCCAACGGGATAATACGCTCTAGTGTCCCATAGATAAGGACAAACGCAACACACGACAAGGAATACCGGTGGTCCGAGTGAGATGAACGAACTGAGAGAAGGATATACCGAATTGAAGCCTAGACCCAGTGGAATTGCTATTTCTCAATTCTCCTAGACCGGATGCGGGATGTACTGCTTATGCTTTGCAGGCATGCCATAGTGTTCTAGACCAAACTAACCGCTACTGCATGGCAACTCAAAGTTACACAATAAATAATAAACTGATATAATGACCGGGATTGTCATTCTATGCTCTTGTCATGCTGTCAGACTACAAGTACACTCCGCAGAGTACATATGCGGATAGCGGAGCGAACCCCAGACCGAGGCCCGAATGGCGGGGGAAAGGGACGTCTTCCCCAAAACAACCTCCGCCACCATCTTTCTTCCTCCTCTCTCCAATTACACCTTCTGTATACTAGACAACAAAAATGTTTCGATCAGTTCCTCGTCGACTCCCGCGACGCCTTCCAACGTTCTCTCCCTCGACTGCTGGCAGTCCATCCCGCCTCGCTCTGCGATCGTTCACTTGCGGTTATCCACGGATGTCGTCTCCGCTCCCCTCAGTCGAGCCCCCCGTATCCACCGTCTTACCGGGCGATTCATACCAGCTGCTTTCGAGCGCTGACAAGGCCGGTGCCGCTGAAGACGCTTTCTACGATCAGCAGATTAAAGATGTCGAGGCGTGGTGGAAATCCCCGCGGTATGAGGGGATCAAGCGACCATACTCGGCCGCGGACGTGGTTAGCAAGCGCGGAACGTTGCAACAGACATATCCTAGTTCGTTGATGGCGCGGAAGCTGTTTAATTTGCTGAATGAGCGGGCTACTCAGGGACTACCGGTTCATACGAGTGAGTTTGTTTGGGTTGAATAATTGGGGATATGGATGGAATTCTAACGGTTTGAATTCTAGTGGGTGCCATTGACCCTGTGCAGATGACACAGCAAGCCCCGAACCAGGAGGTCTTGTATATATCGGGCTGGGCATGCTCTTCTCTCTTGACGACGACCAACGAGGTCTCCCCCGACTTTGGCGATTACCCCTACAACACAGTGCCGAACCAGGTCCAGCGGTTGTTCAAAGCTCAGCAAATGCATGACCGAAAGCAATTTGACTCCAGGCGAAAATTGAACCCGGAGCAGCGCAAGTCCACCGCATATGTTGACTACCTGCGACCCATTGTCGCAGACGGTGATACTGGGTAAGCTGCTCCAGTTACTATGACAGATGAGATGCAGTGGCTAACTAATTACCATAGACACGGTGGATTGACTGCAGTCATGAAGCTGGCGAAGCTCTTTGCCGAGAATGGCGCTGCTGGTGTCCACTTCGAGGACCAGCTTCACGGTGGAAAGAAATGCGGTCACTTGGCAGGCAAGGTCCTTGTGCCAATGGCTGAGCACATTAACCGACTCGTTGCTACCCGCTTCCAGTGGGACATGATGGGAGTTGAGAACCTTGTGATTGCTCGAACAGACTCTGAGAGCGGCAAGTTGATCAGCAGTGCGATTGACGTGCGCGACCACGAGTTTATCCTTGGTGTTACGGAGGATGTTGAGCCTCTGGCGGAGACTCTCCAGGCTATGGAACGGGAGGGAGCTGCTCCTTCGGAGATTGATGCTTTTGAACTGGACTGGGTCAAGAAGCACAAGCTGGTCACTTTTGACGAGGGTAACATACGACCACCAGACTGGAATCACAACTCAAGCTAACATCTTCTAGCTGTCGACGCCCACCTCGAATCCGAAGGCGCCTCCCAATCAACCCGGGAGGCATACAAGACCAAGGTCGCCCAGAACCCCAACCTCTCCCTCTCCCGCCGTCGAGCCCTGGCAAACGACTACGCAAAGGCCCCCGTCGTCTGGTCCTGCGACAGCCCCCGCACCCGCGAAGGATTCTACCACTACCGCGCCGGCTTCCCTGCCGCCACCAAGCGCGCACGCGAGTTCGCACCCTACGCCGACCTCCTATGGGTGGAAACTGGTGACCCGGACGTCGCCAAGGCGGGACAACTGGCCGGAGAAGTGCGCAGCGAGTTCCCGGGCAAGAAACTCGTCTACAACCTGAGTCCGTCGTTCAACTGGATGGGCCAGGGATTCAACGAGGCTTCTCTGAAGTCGTTTATCTGGGATCTTGCTAAGCATGGGTAAGTCAACCAACCCCCAAAAAATATTCCAAAAATACACCAACTAACGAGAGCAGATTCGTCCTCCAACTTATCTCCCTCGCCGGCCTACACACCAACGCCACCGTCACAACCGAACTCTCCCGCGCCTTCAAGGACGAGGGCATGCTCGCCTACGTGCGCCAGATCCAGTCTCGCGAAAAGGAACTCGGGGTCGACGTCCTGACGCACCAGAAGTGGAGTGGAGCGCCGTACATGGATGGTATTCTGGGTGCTATCCAGAGCGGTAGCAGCAGCAGTAAGAGTATGGGTGAGGGGAATACTGAGAAGGGTGAGTCTTCTTCCAGCTTTAGAGGATGTATTGGATTACGCTAACTTGATTGTTGCAGGTTTTTAAACAGGGAAAATGGGTAGCGAGATAAGATTGATAGAATTAGATCTTGTCGGTTTAACCAATGTAACACGAACGAACATGACGATAGTCAAATACAGTACTCCTGTAGTATAGAAAGAAAACGACTTACAAAATCCATACCCCTAGTAAAACAAAACATATTACTCTTAACTCAACTGAGTTAAGCATAAATAACCATGTAACCAACACCACTGAAAATACCACTACATGATTACCAGTATTTACTGTACCTGATTCGAGTGGTAATGGAAATTAACGGTAGTATTACATACAGGTACATACGAGTACTTGTACTTGTACGGAGTACATGTACATACAGACGCATCTATGAAACTCTAGTGTTTACTCTAAGCGACAATACATCGCTGTATATCTTTTTCTCGAAATAAGTTCGAGGTCGGTATTAATGGTAAGGTCGATGTTTGGAGATAACCGATTTCTTCTCTCATCGCAAGTAGCACAATCGATTGCAATTATGGCGTTAAATCGCTTGAATATAAACAACGCCAGTATTATCATTATCGCGTTAGGAGTTGCAATCACAACACAAAATTCAATATCAACGCAGATAGCAGATCAATCAATACTTCCACTAAACAAGATAAAGATATAGGATATCTCCGTGGCTACACTCGAAAAAAGAGACAAGGCGGAAAGGGGAAATAACAACCAGGGAATATAAGCGAATCAATATGAACACAAAGAGTAGAGGCTTAAACGGCTAGATCTTCACTTGACAATAGAAAAGAGAAAAGAGAAAGAGTCTTAGGAGGCGAAATAGCAGTAGTGTATCATAAAGGTAAGCACTCCACGGGAAGAACGAACTTGGTTTATACTGGGGACATTGCACAGTCTGGACTCATAACCCAGGCAAAAGAACGGGACAAGGGCAAATGGGCAGGGTTGCTGTAGAACAAAAGAAAAAAATCAACTTAAGGCGTACCACATATACCTAAGAAATCTCGAGGGATGGAATAATAAAGAACAACCCAATTTTCCCATAAACGACGAATATCACTCGCTTAAAAACCGGACAAAAACATGCTGCAATGACGTAGCGAAACTAGTTGACGCGGAAACAATCCAAAATAACTGCGCGTTGTTAGCATGCCAAATTGTGCATTAGATAGTGGCAGATACTGACCTTCATGACCTCTGCGGCAACCGCTGCCGATCCACATCAGGGTGTTCAAGAAAGCGTAACGGTCGTCTCCGGTCTCCATAGAGAGGTTCACGCGATACTTATAGGTGTTAGGGTTAACAGCGTCCGCCATATTTGGGTCATTAACCTTATCAAGTACATCCTTAGAGCCCGTTAACCACCCATTTGTCTTCACAATGATATACGCCGGCGGATCGTCCGCAGTTTGAAGCATGTAGGTCGCTCGGAGACTCGTCACGGAATCTTTGGTGATGATTTGGGAATCTTGCCCTCCAGGCTGATAAATTTGTTAGAAGTACACTGCAACGGGTATAGAATGAATGAAATAAAATGGAGACAAACCAGGATAATACCCTTCCCCCATCGACCAGCCCACTGACCACCAAGGAAAGAAACCCAATCCCTTTGGCCCCACAAGCTCTGTCCCACCGAAACCCGAGGGTTCATCTTGATGCTCATCCGGAAGTCCAATTCGAGAGACGGAGCGGGAATCTGTAGCGACCGAGCGACGTCACCCTCGGGGAAGGTATGGAGTAGGTTGTTGGCCGGGATCGAATCTTTCATAACGCTGAGGTAGGTGGGACATTCAAGCAAGTGCTGACGTTGCCTGCTGGTGTTCTTCGCGCGAACCTGCTGACAGTAGATGCATTGGACGGACAGACACTGTGATTCCCCGGTCAAATTACTGAACTCCCAACCATAACCATAGCCTCTTCTTACCTTGTCTTCCTCCTTGGCACGGAACTCGACAAAGGCGGCATGAACATCATCCAACGGCGGCGCCGGAAGACTCGAAGCAGACGTTTTCGGCTTGGGCTTGGGAGTCGGACGTGAACCTTGCTGGGGGGTGCCGGAGGACGAACCGGGGCCAGCGGTAGGCGGGCCACCAGGCGTGGACAGGGTACCACGGCCGGCAGTCATGTTCATCGGGGTCTGCATCGGCGTGGCATGGGGATTGACACCGTTCGACATCATGGCACCGTTAGCGGTGGGCATCGCAGCCCCGGGGCCAGGGCCAGCACCTGCGGCGGCGGCGGCGGCAGGTCCATTTGGCGTTGGGGGATAACCATTTGCAGCGCTGATACCGTTGGCGGCGGATTGGGCAGACTGGGACTGCGGCTGAGGCGCACTGGGATGACCACGGAGACCGGGACACTCGAGCAGATGCTGTTTCTGACGCGAGGTGTTCTTTGCGCGAATCTGTTGACAGTAGATACACTGGACGGAAAGGCACTGTACCAGGGTAACAGAAAAACAGGATGGTATGTCAGTAACAAGTAAGATAGTTATATTGGTGGTGTACTCGGTATAGGCACAAGTGGTGGGCTCGTTGAAATATTACGGGGGAAATACAGCAGGACACGCACCTTATCGTCTTCCTTGGCGCGGAACTCGACAAACGCCGCGTGAACCTCCTGGTCGACCGTCCGACCCATGTTCGCGGTAACAGAGTCGAAAAAGTCGATACTGGACGGACCAGGGGATGCAGTGGGGAGTAGAGACGAGATGATGGCGGTTTCGCAATGAAAAACGGAAAAATACGACAAGGGGACGATGTGGTGAGAGGGACGATGGGCGTTTCAACGCTTTTCTCGTTTTTTTCTGGGGAGGGAGAAAAAAAGGGAAGAAGCGGGCGGGAAAGAAAAACGGAAGAAAACCAGAACAAAACGAGACGAGACGAGACAGTGGCGGTTAAGTTACGCGAGCAGGACCGGGTCTTACCGCCCGCGTAATTTTGATCCTGCCTACACCATTTCTCTTCTTTTACTCTATTTCTTGTTTTCTTTTCTATTTAATTCAATGCATTCAATTATATTACATTCATTCAATTGTTTTTTAAATATAATGGTTAACCATTGATGTTGTTATGGACGCGTTCTGCGGCCTCAGGCGCCAACTTACCGCGCGGCAGATGCGCTGTACTCGTCGAATATACACAAGAATAGCATAGACATCAATTATTGAATTGAAGATCGTATGCTGGACGATGCACCTAACCGTTCAGGTCATCATATATCAAGTGTGAATAGCAGTGTGGTCGAGGTCCCCTTATCATTACCATGTATCGCGTCTTCCATCTACATCAATAACACAGCTACCTAAGTACAGTGCAGTACAAGTAATTGCATATACATTATCGGAGTCCACACTATTTGAGCATATACTTAGCCAGTGCAAATTCATTTTGCCAAATTCGACATTTGCTGTCCCCAAAGACAAACAACGCGTGCACATGGCTTGCTTATTCGACCTCACTTGCAGCACTGCCCCCGCCAATCTCGTGTCGCCGTGTGTCTGCTCTGTCTATTTGCCTTGTCTGCCTTGTCCAGCAGTACGAACTACCATAAAACCGAAAGAAATGGTGATATAGGTTGTGTTCTCAAGTAGTGTGTATTTAGTCAGATCTAGATATATATCTAACGTCGACTGCTGATGCGTATTACTGTACTGGGTACGGAGTACCGCGTATGGTACTCCGTATACGAATACGAGTACAAGTGGTTTTACTGTAACTATGTACCAAGGTACTAGTTAACTACGGCTTTTGGTGCCTGAAATCAACGGTATTGTTGACTAACGTAATCCACAAGCGAGTGGCCACCACAAGCGAGTGGCCACCTTCCGCCCCATCTATAGTATTCAAATGCATTTATTCCAACCAAAACGCCATTAAATTAAGAAAACTACCTAATTAAGTCTAACTGGGCATGCATTTCTCTTATGTCCTTCATTTCCACAGGCCCCGCACTTTGGTAAAGCTCTCATACGCGGCTGTAAAGGTGGTGAAGGCCTTCTCAGCCGGGGGGGTGCTGGTGCTTCAATTGCTGCTTCTGGCTGCACAAATAGCTCGTGAGCCTCTGGAGCTGAGAGACCACCTTCATGAGGTATTTGCCTTTTAGATCGAGTACGCTTTTGCTTCTGCTTCTCATTTGCAGCGCGTAATTCACCTATTTCTTTCTCAAGAAAAGCAGTTGATTGCATTGTGATTTGACAAGCTTTAAGAACCTGATTTATCGCGGAATTAAGTGGACTCGGTGGGCTCTTTGAACGCTGCCTTAATAAAGCTTTGATTGAGGATGATTGCTTTTGTAATTGGACGAAATTCGACAGCGTTTTAGGCTCCCAATCACTTCCCTGGCTTCCGGGGGGTGTTGGCGTACGAAGCCGAATATCAAGCTTTGAAATCACTCGATCAGGGTTGTATGGCACTAAACCAGCTGCTGCAAAGCTATTCTTGATAGTCTCAGGTTTGAATACTTTGATTCGTGCGTGTGGGTAGGTGTCAAGAAAGTCTAATTTGTCGATATGATTTATATTGAGCCGCATTTTCAATTCAACCATCTGGCCATATGATCGCTTTAACACTGCAAAACAACCGATATCAAGTGGCTGTAAAAGATGTGATGAATGTGCTGGCATACAAATTGGGATGATAGCATTTTGACTGCAGATTTCATTGAATTTTGGTGTTAAATGACTTCCATGGCCATCAAGGATTAAAAGTCGATATTTCCCCTTTGTACGAGCAATTGTTGATGGAATAAAGAGCTTTTCAAGTCACTGAATCCCAATTTCATCAGATGTCCATCCATTTGGGCTGACTTCGATGCGCCAATCATCCGGGAGGTTATCAAACCAAGACTCAATAAAGACCTTGCCTTTGAGAATAATACATGGAGGCAAGGCCCATCCTGATGCACTTATTGTCTCAATTGTGGTAGCCCATTCACGATTTCCAGGTTGTAAAAGTGAATGCTGACCATAGTATTCAGCCCTGGTAACAACCTTTGCAGTTGCTGTTAGACCCATTGCAAAGCCAGTCTCATCAAAGTTGTAGATATCATCAGGGTCAATGCCATATTGAAGTATCATACATTGCACACAATTAAAGCACTCATGGATGATTTTCAGGTCTTCACATTTTGCACGCTCATAATTATAGCACCTTGAGAATCAGGTTGAAAGCTCTGGGTGCCTTTTCACATAGTTTAAGACCCAATTCTCACCAACTGTTTGAACCGGGGTAGTTCCACACGACTTAAGTAGAAGATTGGCCATTTCTCATACAGTATTGGGCCGGGGGGCTGCTCCATGAGAATCCATTGAGAGTATCCATTTTAGAAGCGATTCCTCTTCTATTTGTGTCAATTTATGATTATTGGAGCGAGATTTGTGCTGATTTGTACATCCAGCAAGCCGGCACTGGAGAGTTGTATGAGGCACATTGAATTGGTTTGCTGCTTCTTGAATTGAGGTAATTTCTTGCTTCTTAATAGCCTGGATAGCTAATAAGATCCTACCCTCTTGCTCTATTGAATTTTTAGAGCTTCGGGAGCGAATTGGTGGCATGGTGGGTGGTTGAAGAAGGAAGGGTGCACGAAATTGACGCGAAACGCGGTAGGGTGGCCACTCGCTTGTGGATTACGTTAGTTAACTATGGGATCCACGTGATCGACGTTGGGATGATCTGTTGCTGTTTTTGTATTCGCTTGCAGAACAACGTTACTTGTTTGTATGCATTTAGCATATTCTGGAAATTGAGTTCTATATTGGGCTTCTATGATGTGAGTAGAAAGATCGGATATCTTTTCAATAGCAAATCGCTCTGACAACGCACAAAGCTATATACATATAACCAAAACTAGTAGATGATGAAGAAAAATGCAAAACCGTTATGTAGCCATGAAATAAACGCCAGCAAATGTCATAAGAATAACCAAGATTGTGAGAATCCAAGCTCCCGCCCGGTCAGCGGTGGTGATCGGATCATCAAGGACGCCAATGTATGCATCGTCGTCTTTTTCCGTGCCCGCATCAGGATCACCCTTACTGATGCCGCCGTGGTCTGCAGTAACACGCTTCTTCGCGGAGTCGACCAGATTCGTTTGGAAAACTTCCATCGCGGCCATTTGCTCCCCAACTCCCGTGCTCCCATCGTAGTCGGCGCCTTTGGTCCATCGCAATCCACAGGCATTCTTCGGACCACTGCACTGTAAAGCGGCTGCTTGAGCAGAGGCACGCAGCTTGGGCATGAGCATATCATGAGTGAACGGGGCTATTTGGACTGTGGCGGCGATCCAACGGGAGAGGTAGGCTTTGAAAGAGCGCTGGTCGACGTTGCAAGTGCCCTGAGTCTCGCAGGCAACCTCGCTCATGACGTTTTTACCGTCAGGGAAGAAATAATCTAGGCCCTTGACGATTCCCTCCACACGGGATTTCCAAGCGTCAGATTGACCTGTCTGTATCGTGTCAGTAACCAACTGCATTCAAACGGAAATAGAGAAAGGGGTGACTTACGAAATGGTACATATTGGCCGCACCAAGCAACATGACACCTGTATTGTAGGACCATTGAATATGGTTGACCTCACTGCAGTTATTCCTGTCGTCTGTACCGTCGAAGAAATGGAAGTCCCGACTAGCAAGACCAACACCAAACATCCAGTCCCAAGCGTCTTCAGCCCACGCCGCATATGATTCATTACCGGTATACACCGCAAGACGGGCGGCCAGGTTGAAGAAACATCCATTGGATACGGTATTCCTGTAGTTGAAACCGCCGTTGAAGGAATATATCTGCCATTTTAACCCACCACCACATTCCTGTTCATCCCACCGCGGAACCTGGGTATTAAAGACGGCCTGAGCTAGCGCTAACCATTGAGGTTGGTCTTCTGGTGGGTTCGGGTATCGTACTTCGGCGGCAGACATGGCGGACAGACCCCAGAAGGCCTGGTCATCGTTTCCTAGCGTACGAGACTGATTCGTGGGCATGAAGTTGTTACCAGAGCCGGTCTGGTGCAGCAGGGCTTGGGTAGTGATATCGTTCCATTGCGAATCTCCCGTGTAGTACCAGTATTCCACCAACGCTCCGAACATGGCACCCGCTTCCCACCAATAGTAGGGATCGGGAAGGTTACCGGGGACATCACCTGGCCTGTAACCAGTGTAATATTGTAACATTCCAGTCGCTGCGGTTTGGGCGGCATTTTTGATTGAATCTGCGATAGTCAGCAGCGTTAGAAGAAGAGGAAGGCCATGTTCACGTACCTTGATTGTCTATATCCAAGCTAATAGACGCCTGCGCCAGCTGGGATCCCAAAAGTGTCCCAAGCAATATGAAATTGCTCCGGGAGAGAGAAAGACGGGGTAAAGATAATAACCTTGACCACTTCATAGTGATAAACGAATGTTTAGAGTTGATGATGTGTAGAAATAGAAATGAGCGACAGTATGAAAATGAATAAGAACGAAGGCAGAAACGAGAGGAGGCCGATGAGCGAATAATTATGATGAAGAAGATGCCTGGAGAACAAGGACAAAGAAGAAAAAAGACCCAGGCAGCCTTGAAGACCCTCAGGCCTCAAAAAAAAAGCAATCAAGGTGGTGACAGAACGAGTGGATGTGGCACAACGCCTGAAATGAAGAACGTAACGCGAACACATGATGGAAGAGGGCCAGAGGTACCCTTTTATTCCACAGCGAAATGAAATGTATTTCTATTATTTTGACGTTTCCTTTTGAATCCTTGGCCGGTGGTAACAGTATCGGCCAAATACATTCTGGAATCCAGTGGATGCTCGGCAAAGCGCGAGGCCAAGGCCTTGGCTGAAGCTGTTTATAGGAAAGAGAACGGAAGCACCGGAGAACTGGATTGGAAATATCATTTTTGGAGAGGTCATTTTTCTGTTTTCGATGAGCATGTACTAGTATACGAAGGATGCGGGGTATAAACTGCCGTATTGGATAAGAGAGATGGCGACGATCAACAAGGAATTGTCCCTCCATGACAGCGGAGAATGGACCATAGGGAGAGAGAGAGAGAGAGCGCTTAGCACGAACCGCAGGATATGGGTGGGTGTTCCCCGGGTCTTGTCCTGCATATTTACCAGTGTCATGTATATAGACCTAATTTTGTCAACCATGATGCATAGATCTCTATCGATCATCAATCAATCAACGGAATCAGCGTTGAATCTCCGCCTGAAAATCACACTGACAAGATCCACGCTTGTTGATCGCTGGCACGTGAAACTGTGGCGGTGGCTTTTTCTGCACTGCCTCGTTCTTTCCAATTTTGGAATCGTCTTCCGTCTCTTGAGCAACCGCCAACAATCAATGCGATTAAATGCGATTAGGATACTGCTTGCTTAAGGGACTATGTTCTTGTAGTCTAGACTATTGTATACTATGGACAACCGGTTATTAGTCCCCTATACTCCGTACAGTAGAGTCGACGACCCCTATTGCTCCCTGCGACTTCTCTGTAACCGCCTAGCAGTAAAATGGAACATTCGGTTTCATAGCCACGCTCTGATTGGTCGAACCAGCTAATAGCGCTGCCTGTGCACTGCTATTCTTGGCCGCGCCCAAGATCACGTGCATCCCGTCGGAACCGAGACCATCCCCAGAAAGAAGGCGGCGGCGATTTCACCACGACAACCTATTCACCCGTCATCTTATCCTCCTTCCTACCCACTTGTACCTACCTTTGCAGTTTCCTTTTTCTCGTGAACCCGTGGACCGGTGATCATCGAGCTCTTTTTCGCATTCATCTTACGATCCGCATTTGATACACCTGTTTTCTCCCTGCTTTTCTCTCCCCGATCGCCCAAACGAGACCATAACAGCCCGACCTCAAAGAAAAATCTACACCACGTCATACCTGTTCGACTTTAAACGTTCAAAAGCGATTTCTCACGTCTTACGAAAATGTCCGAGCCACCTTACGACCCCTACATCCCTTCTGGCTCGAATGGCGCTGCCGGTGCCGGTGCCGCGGGCACCACGCAGCATGGTGGTGACCCGAAGACGCAGCAGGTCTCTAGGGTGAGTACTGCGGTCCTGTGATGAGGATCGGATTCTCGCTGGCGTTGATAGATCATGGCGCTAATCTTATATTCCTGCGATAGGAAATCGATGATACGATCCGTGCGATGCGTTCGAACATTGTCGGTGTTTCGGAACGTGGCGAGCGTCTAGACTCTCTTCAGGACAAGACGGACAATTTGGCGGTATCAGCGCAGGGTTTCCGCAGAGGTGCCAACCGCGTGCGCAAACAGATGTGGTGGAAGGACATGAAGATGCGTGTATGCTTGGTCATCTGCGTCATCGTTCTGCTCGTCGTGATTATCGTCCCTTCTGGTATGACTAGACTTCCCTCCTCAATTTGCTCGGGTAATTTGCTGACGTGAGCTATAGTTGTCGCAACTCGTCATTAAGTGCCGTGTTTTGCCTTTTAACGGAGTGGATGTCCTCTACGATAAGCTCTCGGTGATCCGAAGCCGTGGAGCCTTTTTCCTTTGTTCTTCACTTTTCTTTTGTCAGCCTCCAATACCTCGTCCTGCTCGTCTTTTATCTACTACCCACGCGCCTTCCGACAAGCGTCAACGGTCTGCTGTTCTGTCTTATTATTCTCACGACCTCAATCCTCGATACGCCTTCGACACTACGTACAAGCTGATTCTGCTTCTCGCATAATCCATGTCACGATCCGTCGACGGGTGAAGATGTAAATGATACTCCGCTGCTGCTGCTGCTTTCTCGTGTTTCAGTACGGTTTTCTGTGTCTTGCGTGTGCTTTTGTATTCTTCGATCTTGTTCCTACAGCCTCTTTTAATGAAGCATGTCTATCTTTTCCCTGGATGGGGACTCGCTATTATTCAAACCGTGCTTTATTGGTCTAGACGGGATAACTGCGGACAAATTCGCGTAGACACGCCCCAGTCATCGCATAGACCCGACAGTGAGTGGAGAGACCGGCGTCTCAAGTGGACAATCTCGCATTGTTATTATTATCAGATCTTCCTCAATTCCTCTTTCTGCATGGCAGCTACGTAATAATAATGGATAACAAATGGCAGTTGATTTTTGTTGAATATTGGACCCGTTAAAATAGAGGGTCCGGTCACAGCAAATGAGAGCCTCGACAGCCATCTGATATGTATAAAGAAAATGCAGAGTGGGGATAGCGGCTTTTGACCGCTTCTGGAAGACATCGAGATCGTATCAGATGTGAATGGGCACAGCTTTCGCAATGGAGTATGCTCCTCGTCCAGCTGATGAGAGACTTCTTTCCTCATTCTCACACAGAAGAGTTTTATCCATCACATCTCCAAGTGGTTACATCCTAGGATCGAGCCACATCCGTGGAGACTGCACATTGCGCACAAAAACGGTAACTATTTGATATATCTTACTGGGGGCTTCGCTGTATGCTCTAGTTTCCATCTCGTACGTCTCTGATTTGGGATATAAAGAAGTTCTCAAGCTGGAAACAGTCTCACCAAACCAGTATATAGCCACATAGGCTATTACATTGGTCATCTCCAGGTGCAACGACCTACCGGTCTCCTATCATTTCATCCTCACAACCCTAGATTTAAGTGATCAACTACCACATTTCACATGAAGCAACACAATCCACTTACCTCTGGCCATGGAATACCATCCTCAAGCCGCACTTCCGACTCCTCAATCATCCTTCCCTTCTGAAAGAAAACAAGACCTTCAGGACATATTTCATCAGGGCCGAACTGGTAGCGCCAATGTATAGCCGCAGCAATGTTCTCCTTCTGGATAGTTGACTCGTAAAATGGTGCTACCCGTTCAAGCTCGTGGATGCGTTCTGCGCGAGTCAGGGGCCATTTTGGGGTGGAGTTCCAGGGGAAGGGATTGAAGGAATTGTTATCTTGCTGCTGGCACGTCCGCCGTAGATTCTGTCCAGGTCGTACTCTCCCTCAAATACGTATTGATCTTCCATGCGCATGCATACACGTCGATAAGGAGTTGATAGACGTCTTTCACGGGACGGTCGTGCAGCCAGGTCCTGCTTTCAAGGCGATGGAAGGGTTTGTCAACGGCCGTGGAGAGATTCTTGGGAAAGGCCGCAGTGTTTGCAATGTTCGTAGAGGGTTTGCTCGTGTTGGCGCTCTGAGCAAACGTCTCACTTGCACTCTTAGCACATGTCTTTTTGTAGTTTTTCCAGTCTGCTTTCTGGCAGTTGCGAGAGCAGTACCACTGGGTTTTGCATTTGGCGCAGCGTTTCAAGGGAGTGGCATCCGTGCCCTGCTTTTTGTAGACGACGCAGGACGCGTCTGCCATGATGGATGGTGGTAGCTGTATACCTCTGAGGGATATTCTGATGAAGATGTGATGGGGCGAGAGAGAAGAAGAAGAAGAAGAAGAAGAAGAAGAAGAAAAAAAAAAAAAA